GCTTCTAGAAAGGGAAGAAAGTAAGGGACGCGTTCAATCCACCCCTATACCTATACCTACACCTCTTTACGCACCGAGTATCCAACTCATCACCAACAATGGCATCTCCACGCCGCCGCGGCCCCGGCCCCGCCATAGCAGCGGGCATGACCCCCATTCACAATGCTCAGCTCGCCACTCCTTTCTCCACCCCCACCTCCAGGTCCACGGGTCGTTCCACCGGTCGTTCGATTGCCCGCGACCTTCTCCCCCCGCCTACCCCACTACCAATGCACCCAGCAGATCAATACCCCGCTGGAAAGATCCTTTCCACGGCTGCAACAGCATTCGCCCTAAAAGCATACCTCGAAACCCTCCTTCACGGCCTGGGGTGGGACCCCGCGGCTATGACTGTGCAGGACTTCGTAACACAGTATTCGTGGCTGTTATCCGAGGAATTGGACACAACACCTGAGAGAGCTGCCGCGATATTTCTGGAGATTTTCGACAAGACTACTCCAGATCTTAGGGCCGTATGCCATGCGATTATCGGGGTGGAAGACAAGTTGAGGTGCTCGAGGGAGACCAGTAAGGCAATAAGACACCTATTTAAGAGAAATCATGAGGTAACGCCTGAGACAATGTTGGAGATTGGTGGTGATAAGCTGGACGAGAAGGTTGGAAGCGCCACATTGAAGGGGAGGAAGGAGGGGCTGGGTGGTGGGGTTGCTATCTGGAAGAGGATCTTTGGTGGGTTATTCAGGGAAATGTTTGGGAAGAAGAAGAAGGGGAAAGGAAAAGAGTGGGAACAGTAAATCAGAGAGATCAAAGGACAAAAGTGAGAACTTAAAGTTGCATGTTGGATTATCAAGCGTTTCTTCCTCTTTTTTTCCTTCTTTCCTTCTTTTCTCCTTTCTTATGTTTTTAATGACTACATGGGCTTTTATTTATTTTCGAATATGGGGGTATGAAACAAGGACCTTTTTTTTTTTTTTAATTGGAACTCCTACACACGTTAGCTTGGTACGGCTAACTATCTATTTAATTAGCTTCTTATGTCTCTTTTTTTTCTGATCATCACTACCGTAAAATCTGAGAAATTTCGTTGCGCTGCAGCAGGGATAAATGCGCATATAGACCTATCAGAGGCAGTCTTTTAACGTCAATCTGCAAGTTTTGGTGTAAAAGATCCCTGCTGCAGCGCAACGAAATTTCTCAGATTTTACGGTATCGTATGATGAGTCTTGCATAGCCTATTGCCATATGAAATATGAGTAGATTCTTACCAATATTTGCTAATAGAGTCGGCCGACGTGATAGAAGTCTTGACTCTAGTATTCAAAATAATATTCAAAATAATATACTATTCACAGAGAGCCGTAATTGGGATTAATTGATTAAGGTTTCCACCAATTCTATGTGGTCGCTTAAGTTTAGCGTTCGTTTTAGTCATTAAAAATCACTCGGTAATCATCAATGTTAGCAAATTTAATTGATTGATTGATTGATAATTCATTAATTATCATTAGCAAATTTCCATAGCCGGCCTTGAAACAGAAGAGCAAAGATGGGGAGAAGAACACAAAAAGAAAAGAAAGAATGGTTCAGGCAGGGAGATAATGATTTATCCGAACACCTGGCCTACTGAATGATGTACGTAGGTGAAGCCCCGGCGCTATGGTCCACGAGTTATCTTGCCGGTTCACCCCGATAGATCTACCTCTAAATTTGGGTGCCAAAGAAGATATCATGATAATATTGACTAGCTCTTTGGAGAACTACACTGAAATATATCTATAGAATAGATTGGTAGGGTCTTTACACTTCATTTTATGAGTTTCACCCTTTACTGACCCACAGCTATGTCTATGCTGATACTCTCTGAGATGCCTCAAACATCTTGAAAAGCCGTCCGTTCGCACGATGGTCCCCCCCCCCCCCCCCCCCCCAAAAAAAAAAAAAAAAAAAAAAAAGTCACAGACGCCTCACCAGAGCGACGTTTATCGATCACGAGGTAATATTATCACCTCGCCGGGGCGGCTTCTTGGACCACATCGATCATACGGGAAGTATAGACCAGATAGTCATATCTAAATCTAAATCTTGATGATGTTACAACTGATTTCCCTTGTGGATGCATTTTGTCCATCGCACAGGGATGAGATAATCATGTACTATCACTCGTCTTCATATTCGCGCCTCTTGAACTGTATATCCAACAGGCGAGACGAGGCCATAATCCAACGTTCTTGAGAGGCCATATGTAATTCTGGGGATAAGAGAAACCCATGCACGAGGGTCTTAACACGCCTGTGCAGCAAATAAGGAACACTAGCTATCCACAAACTGAACTAGATACGTAGTCCTAGCTATTTGGCATCTTCCGGTTCAGTGGATGGGAGTATGTGTTGGTATCTTTTGATACCATGATCACGGTCATGTTCGTGGGTAGCCAGTATTCGCGGGTATAGTGCGCTGCAATATTTCCAAGCCTGTCCTGAGCAGCAAGGTTAACGTCAGTATTAGCTACCTATAATAACTTTATGTACGGTATAACGGTACTGTGTACTGCACGTATTAGAGGTTGGAATCACGCACCAGATAGGTGGTAGTCCGGATCGTTAGGTGTAGTAAATGAATTTGGTGAGATCCCATCTCTCTGAGAAAATACTAGAATATCCCGAACCTAAGTTGTCTTTTAATTATACCCCGCGGTATAGGAAGACATCTAGATCTACGTCACGTAGTGGTGTAGGAGCGGGTAACTAAGAGCGGGTCCCATTACTGATACGTAGATGGATATCGACCCGACCTCCTACTATAGCTAAAGAACACCATCTATCTTGACACCTCAATAATTGGGGACAAACATCTCTTCTATCTAGGGCCGTGCCAGTCATTCTGGTATGCGATATTAATGCAGTCCTTCCTTTCTCCGCCATCATCCTAGTACGTCTTTTTTCATGATCAGTTCCTCCTTCGAAACTTCATGCACCACCAGTACCATCCAACGTTTCGAATTTCCTCCACCCAACCACCACCACTACCACCAATTTTCTCAAAAACGGTGACAAGTTGGAAAAAGTCTAGCAAGATTGGGAGGATGCCGGTAAGCTTTACCTCATGATTTAGGAAGGCAGAGAACAATTGCTTTCAAAACTTTCGTACTATCTCGGCCTATCCTTTTTGCATTTACGCTGCCTTTTCCTCGAAAGAGTCTACAGTGATATACTTATCTAATGACCGGGGGCTTAAGCTCTTAACCCCATGAGGTATAATTGAACAATTCCCAACGTTAGGGGGGCCTCGAGGGGGGCCTTTCAAGCAGGATCGTCTGGTCGGAAATGGCATCAAAGAAGCTTCGAAGAGGAAACCGAATAAGCCAAGGTTTCTCTATTCTATACGATTAGAAGGTTGGATATCTATGAATACAACAGACAAAGCCCGGTCTACCAAGTAATGTTGTGCCTTAAATTCCTGGAAGGGGTGACCATAGTATGAGACTTCTCACATAACCAACTATACGGCTGCATCGGCCTCATAATAGTCAAGAAGGTTTTGGTATAATACAATGTCCATCACCTACCTACTGGTTCGTCAAGAATTCGATACACCTGAATCTAGTCCCCGCGAGCATCACGGTATATAAAAGAATGGCTTATACATCGAAATTTAAGGAATCTCCCACACCATTTAGGAAATTCCAAATTTTGATTGGTTTTATATCAACTCATACAGATCCTAATGGGCGTTCAATTGAAAACCGTGAAGCCATATCGGCGAATCTTCTAGCGATATTTCCGGGCACATATCTCATATATTATACTATGTACCTTTAATAAAGGGTTTCAGAAACATGATTTGAGTATGCAGTATGAGTAATGAAATATTATCTGAATTAAACAAAAGAAAAAGAAATTCTTTATCGGTATGCAATTTATTTATTTAGGAAGTTACAATATCCCCAAGAGAACTGGCATCCATAGGAGATCTATCTCCGTGCGCTTGTCTGCCAAGAAATATTTTCCGACTGAATGATCGACCTTCCTGAACGGACTACTTAGGCGTTCAGTAAATGGTCGTGGGCCTGTTTTCACTGAACGCCTTAGCAGAGCGGGCCTAAAGTCATTATCCTGGGGCTTGGAAGCTGTGGATACTTGGGTGTTCTATACGATACCCTCAAATGCTGTTTGGCCTCGATATCAAAATTGTAGATATCGTGGGGCTCGCATGGGAATGGTTTGTAGTAAATACAATAACGATGGAATCATACGATATCACTCGGTCACATGAGACGAATAGTTGACAAAGTATTCTCCCTTGTTAAACCCGCTAAAAATTACTGGTATTCATTGACCCGGACCAAACAACCGCACCCGCCGAGAATGAGCACTGCAGATATATAACTTACAGCTGAGATAACATATACCAACCTTTTCGACACAAGGCAAGAGGTGATCCGGTTGCCATGAGTCAGCTATAGTCTTGGAAGCGCGCGAGGTTCTAACTTTGGAAATTAAAACTCATGAGAATCATGATTAGGCTCGCACATACTCATCTATTCTTAAAAACACGCCCGTTCCAGTCATAACCGCCGACTACTCTACGTTCTTCTTCCAATACATTACCACAACCCCAGCTAGGCAAAGCAAGGTCAGGGTGCAGATCATATCAAGCAACTCTCGCTCGAAGCCTTACAAACTGATCTGCATTATCACCGATGCAGGGTTCATGTAAAAGATCTGCCCTGACGTCACAAACCCAGATCTCGATAAACATTTCGTTGCATACTCATGTCGCCGTGTTTGCAACGTCCCTTCAATATATGTTCCACGGTGAACATGATACTCTGTATAAAGTAGGCAAGGACTTTTGCATGTACATACGGTAACTATTTCGCATTTGTTGCTAGACATGCGTGTAGATCTCTGCCGATCCCCACCAGCCTGTTGAGAGAATATTTAGAATATTCCATCGCCGAGAAGTGCCACCGAGGGAGAAAAAGAAACACGTCCACCTACCCATCACCGCACCGGGTGCTACCAGGTATCTAGGGTACATGACGTTTTTTTTTTCCTCCGAGCGTGCCACCGCCACCGCAGGATCTGTTCCTGGTCCCTGTAACTGGCCTGTGGCTACGTTTGTTCCTGCTTTGCACCGCCTGCAGTGCTGCTGAGCCACCACAACCCGGCTGAAGTAGCTCTCACGCAAGGGACAGCATGCTGCCAGAGAGGAATAACCTCGATTGGCTGGGGCTCGATGCACACTCTCCAACGCCGCGGCGCTCGACATGTGAATGTTTGCTTGCTTGGTGGAGCCTCATGTGATGGGCATCATATAAGGGTGGGTTAGGGTTATTTCGCGGAATTAAAGGAGGATCAGTAAGACGGTTAGGCGCCGAGATCTGTAGCCCTGCTCGCCTACCTGTCATTCGTTCAATTGCGGGTTTGTGGGTTTTCGTACGAGAATCGAATGTCCCGAAGACGACAATGGAGAGGTGGATGTGGGTAAACCGCGGATAGCCTGATATTCTCTGATCTGCTCTACTATTCTATCGCAGAATTGGGTATGCGCACGTACGTTGGTATCGATAATATCTCATCCCGGCCCCCACTACGAACGGTACGTCACTTACCATGTAGGTCTGTAAAAACCGATTGATTGAATTGGTTTTGATTCAATTGAGATGTTGGCCAGTACCTCAAGGATAGGTAGGGTTTTACTTTTATATTGACCCCCAAATTCTTTTTCCCTTGTGTCCGCGTGAGGGACGATCTAGAAACCCACCACCATCATGATCATATGTAAAATAGAAATAGAAACCCTGAACAAATTAACCCCACCAATTACCTCCATAGATAATTGCCAACGACTCGTTTTTTTTTTTTTTTTTTTTTTTGCTGCTTCTGCTGCTGCACCCTGTGCGAGACGGAACCAACAATAACCTCCAACAAGTTTAACCTCCCCCCCTTTCTAGCTAGTGAGCCCTCTCTGATCGATTCGATTGGCCGGCTGGCTAGTTTAGATTCCAACGACCAACAAGATGCCGTCCCATCCCATCCCTCCCATCCTTCCCCCAATGCCCAGCTACTAGCAGCCAGCCCAATCGGCAATTTGTAAATTTGGAGAGCTAGTAACTCTAGAGTACTCAGTAGAGTGTACCGGGGCCAGAGTGAAGCGAGCCTAGACACTCTATGTAGGAGGAATTAAACAGAGACAGAAAGTGCGGGGTACCTGTGGGTGTTTTTGCATGCCGTTAAATTTCTTGTCTTGATTATGTTTGTGGAGATACATGTACCTAGAGTAGAGTAGGTAGGGCACACAGGCTACCTGTCCCGCTTAATTGCAATTATGGGGATCTGTTTCCTGGGTATCTAGAAAACGTGGGATGAACATCAAAGAGCTTCTTGAAGATCGTGATCCTACTAATAATTACCTATCTGTATATAGAGTCTAAGAGCTATAGGTTATGCCGGTACTCTACGGCCGGCGCCATACATACATACATATTCATACCTACATGATGAGAAAAACGGGGGTCCCTGAAGATACGTAGGGCGACAACGGCACTTTCTTCCTTTCGGCTCCCCGGAGAAAAAAGAGGACAGGTAAGAAGAGTATTTGGGAGTCGGAGAGTTCTTTTTACTTTTTTCTTTTGCTGGATCTGGGACTGAACTGGGTGGGGGAAATTAACCTAACCCTATGATCAATGATTTGGATTACCTCTGGGCCTGTGCGCTAGCTAGCGAGCGAGTGAGTTAGTCGGTAAGTTGGAAACTCAAATATTAGAAAATCGAGTTAGTCCACGATACCGAGTGACAAATGTAGCGTAGTAGAGTATTCTGCATTAATTATTTCCGCCTATTAACAATTACGGCCAAACTCAAACGCTAGAAACAACACCGGCCGGTACTGTACCTACTGCAACTCCGAGTAAGATACGGATACACACACAGTACGGTATGTGCCCGCCAGAAACAAAACCAGTACTCTACCTAATTCATGTAGTTATCGTCCACCGATTAGTACCAGTACCAGTAGCAGTGCACAAAAATACGACACAATACCGTTCCCGTACGTACACACCCAAAAGTAGATCCCGAAGTCCGCCCGCTCACGTATCCCCCGAAACCTAAACCTACACATTCCCCTCTCCCTCTCCCTCTACATAGCTACACAGGCTCACTAAACACCACAAGTAGAAAGGCATGTAACACGTAACCACAACGGCCAAACCGAAAAAGGGGGTTGTGGTACCCACTCCCACTACGGAAGAAGAAGAAAAAAAAAATCTATTAATGGGGCTATGCAATTTACTTGATTTTATCCGCCCACCACCCTTCCCTCACCCCCGGCTGAACGCAGAGTAGAGTCGATGTAGAGGTGGAGTAGAGATATGTAGAGGGGGTAGAGTAGAGGATCAGGTAGAGTAAGGGGGGGGGGGGGGGGGGGGGGGGTAGACTATGCACCAGCTACATACCCGCTGGTTCGCCGTGCAGCTGGTGGTTTGGATGGGGGTATTGCTATTTATTGTCATCGCTAATAGTCTAGTTGGCTGGGTTAGTTATTAGATACAGCAGATAGATTATGATTATATAGGATGTGTATATAATATTGATATCTTGTGGGAAAAACTACATATGTTTGCTCAGCGCAGAAATACGAGAAAAGCGGTTAAAAAAGTAATCCGCGTGAGGGGTCAAGGGCAAGGCAAAGGGCAAAGTAAGAAAGAAAAGGCAAGCCACCAATTGTAACTAAGCGCCCGAAGAGTAAGGAAGGAAGCGAACGAACGGATTCACGGCATAGTACATATCACACGATCAAGCAAGCGAACGGAATGGAAGACCAGTAAGATGATAGCCAAAAAAAAAAAGTACCAGTCGAGGTAGTTTTTTTGATAATTGGTAGTAGCAGTACTAACTAATGAAGTAGTTTGTAGTAAAGGTAGTAGAAGTAGTAGTAGTAATAAGACAAAAGAAGAAAGTAAAGTATAGGGTGGTTTTGTGAAAAATGTGCAAAAAAAGAAGAATACCAGTTCGTATAATAAAAAAACCAAACCCCTCCCGAAAACCCAATAGTAAAAAAAAAAAAAAAAAAAAAAAGCCAAAACAAAAGAAAAGCCATCGTAAAGATGAAAGAATAGTTAGTGCGAGAAAGGAAAATAAGATATACAAAAGAATTGAATAAAAGAAAAAGCCCAATCCAGCCCCCACCAGTCCAGTATCATAATGGTCCATTATAGTACAGCCCCCATCCAGCAACCCCTCCAGCTGAAATCAAACGCCCCCCCCCCTCCCCCCAAAACAAATTTTTCCTTTTCCCGTGTCCTCCCAAAAATCAAAACTTAATCCCGGACCCGAATCCGAACCCGACAGGCGTCGAACACTGCTCCGATGCCTCCTGCTTCGAGATCTCGTCGTACTCAATCTTCCCAAGCCTGAACATCCAGCTGCTGCACTCGCCGCCAACCTTCTCCTCCTTCTCGCCAGCGCCCGCATTGGGTGTCTGCATCATCATATCCATCGCCTCAACCTTGCTCTTTAGCTTGTTGATCTCGACCATCTGCTCCATCACAGTTCTTACTGGTGCCTCCTCGGCCTCAGAGTCCGATGAATCATCGCTGGAGCTCTCATCCGCACTATCATATGTCTCGGTGACAAGCACTGAAACGGCAGGGATGACAATGTGGCCCTCAGCAAAGTGCACACGGCGAGCCGAGGGGTTAGTGGCCCGCTTTGACGGCTGGGGCGCTGGCAACTCGATGTTATGCGGGATGGCTGAAGGAGCAAGTGGGTGAGAAGTCCTGACCAAGAGATCACGAGATGAGTGAGATGCACGCTGGAAGCGGCGCTTTCGGCTCTTTTCCTTCATCTCTGAGTGCATGTCATCATCTACTGGAGTGCTGCACTCATCTGAAGAAGAGGATGAAGAAGATGAAAATGACTGGACAGCTGGCATTGAAAGCTGGGGAACCTCGCTGGTGGGACGGCGGGCATTCATCTGGGTGTTTCGCATGGTGGCGAGGGCGTTGGGGCTCAAGGGACCAGCTGTGAGGGGTGCCTTGAGAGCAGATGACGACTTTGAGCCGAATGTTCGGGTGTCTGCCGCAGTGATCTTGAGCGAGAGCTTTGGTCGGGCAGCGGGCTTCTTCTGGAGTGGCAGAGGAGCGAATGACAGTGGTGAGAATGTCTGCTGCTGGTGGTGGTGGGCAGGTGATGAGGGGAATGAGAAGGGTGAGGGTGAGTGCGACTCAACGATGGGTGAGGTTGGGAAGTGGATAGCGAGCATTCTGAACGTTATGTGGTTGTTGTTGTGTATGTATGATGTGATGTATGGAAAAGCTAAAGCTACTAAAGTAAAGTAGTAACAAAGAGGCTCTTGAATTTGTATAAAAGGTATTTAGAAAGAATCTTTAATGCTAAAGATCAACAAAGACTATTGTAGAATCCGAAGGGTGGATATCTGATCTGGTTTGTGTGGTTTAATAATGTCTCTGTGGTGAGGTGGTGAGATTCGATTCTTGGTGGGGAGGGCGAGGGCTTCTTTAAACACAAAAGCTCAGTGCGACTTCCCAAGAGCGAAGGCGAGTGAGTGGACCTGCTTGAGTGGACTGGATTGGTGGTGTGCTCGCTGCTCTGCCTGCAAGTTCCCTGCCCGCCCAGTACAGCCAGCCAGCCAACCGACCAACCAGCGAACACCATCCACAACCTATTCCTATTCCCACTCGGTGCCACCCCTGTCGACCTTTCCCCTCTCAACTCCACTGCAAGCAAGAACTTACCCTTGTGTGGCACACAACCAAAATAGAGTTGACGCACGCAAAGGAGAGAGAAAAAGCATCCTGCCATGGCAGTCCCCGGTTCAGCCATCCATCATTGGCTGCCACCGCCAGTCAGTGAGCTACGCTTTTTCGGGAAACACCCCGATTCTGCCTAGCGTGTGGTTATACTTACACTCAATCACTCAATCACTCACTCGTTCACTGATCACTCACTCAACTCCATCTTTCCCTCTCTCTCTCTCTCCTGAACGACAAGTTATCCACTCCACCACCCCACTCCCCATCCCAGTCAGCTCCCCATGGTGATCTTTTTCTTGTTTTTTTTTCTTCCCTCTCCCACACACACCACCACCCCTGGCAGCAGATCCCATCCGTCGCTCCCAAGTGGCACGTTAAAAATAGTGGGACACCCCTTCCCTTCCCTCCCTCTCTCCCGCAACTCGGCTCGACTTGGGCGAATCGAACCCTAGAGGAATGAATGGATATGCAGGTTAATTCTGCGCTGCGTGCGTTTTAGCTAGCTAGAGAGCTAGGTATGAAGCTAGAGGGTACTCTAGATATGATTTGAATTCTTTAAAAAGGTTTTTTTCTTTTCTTCCTTTCGTTCGTTCGCTACTCTACTGTATGCAGGACTTTGGGGGCCGAAAAGAAGAGAGGAGGTAAGTACTTTTAGTAGCAAAACGCATGCTGTTTCCTGTTCTGTGGGGGATCGAAGTTCTCAGCTAGAGTTCTAGATAGATTGCAAGACAAAGTGCCAAAAATGGGCTTTTCTACATACATTAGAGTAACCACTAACCAGCTACATGTAGATAGCAACAGACCCCTATCCTATCCTACCTATCCTCTGGAACATCAACTCTAAGTAGTATGTGGTAGTATTAGTTACACGATAGTACCCAACTACATACTTTACAGACTCTAATCTCCCCCGATGGGTATTTTTGGTAGAGAATACATTATCAGCTTTGATTTCATGGCTGTTAGACATGCATGCCGCACTAGTACTTTAGGGTCTGGACAACAAAACAAGCAAAGCACTAGAAAAAAAATCAAAAAAAAGTGGTCTCAGATCTACTTTGGTTTATGAGGATCCAACTGGGACGGCATGGCGTGGCGTGGGCTGCTAGAACAGATAAAGAAGATAGAGGAGATAGAGATTTAATAACCAACACCAATCGGGAGGTTAAAGAAACATCAACAAAATACCCGGTACTAGACTCAAATATGATGATGAAGTATGTATGCACAACTGTACATCACGGCACTAGCAGACGTTGAAGAATTAAAGAACAATACATCTCAGGAAACACGAAAGCCAGATTCGAAAGCCCGAAGCCCGAAAGCCAAAAAAATCGTATCACCCGCACGTCGCGCACATGGCAAACTCTAGGGCCCTACCTAGCTAGTACTACGTGATAGAGCACAAACAATTAATTACATGTTCTGTCTAGAAGAGTACGCCACGCCAGGCTTTTTCCTTCCCACACACAACACCTCGGGTTAATTTTTTTTCCTTCTTTTTCTGTGCCTCATGCTCGAGCCCAAGCCCGTGGGGTCGGTCGCGGAAAGCCGGCCGCCCTCGCCCCTCGCACTCGAGATCGTCTGATAAGAAGCTTTTTCCCCACGGCGTGGTTATGTTGGTGATATGGTATTGGGAATTAAGCTAGTGATAATAACGAATTAGACATATAACAATGACGCTCGAGCTACATAGAGTGGAAATGATTGTGATCATAGGATTATATATAGCTATGACTCGCGAGGGAGGTGGAGGTTCATGATTCGCAACAGTTCATGATTCAATCTCAGTGTACCTACATACCGACATGTGCAGCGCGCTGGCCATCATGAATGACCGGCCAGCTAACTACAGTGTATCTAGGCGGGCGGCACGGTAATAATTCACTCCTGACTTCGTGATGTGATCTAAACTATGACTAGGTAGAGTAGTATCATGATCATAAGTCGTACCTACATGTACTTGTTAGACACAAAGCACCTCACTACTAGAATATTAATTCGAATCCCAGATCAACCGTATTGGACGGCAAAAGCATACCACCCCCTCGGCCCCCACCTTGGGAGAATAGAATATTCCTCTAGCACCTCGGGAAATATCATGACATGTCCAACGTCCCGGTGAACAGGTTTATGATTGCGCACCGAAATTCGACGGGAGCTCGGTTCATGCGGAGGCTTGAAACGGGTCGAGGTTAGCTTATTAGCTAGCTAGCAGATACGGTTGGCTACTCTAGTCTGACATGTCAGCGGGCTGCCCTTTGTAATTTCGATTTCAACTCTTTTGGGGAGGAAGGTGGAGAGAGGAAGTGCAGTGGTGGATCGAGAGATTATGGGTTATGCTAGCTACTAAGCTAATATTGCTAATAGTAACTGCTACATGTAATGTAGACTATGTTCGTAAGTACAATACTGTAGATAGCCAAGGTGGACTGCATTATTACCAACGATGAGAAATACTCTATCATCGAGAGTGGGCATTCTGACTGGGTTTCCGTATTGCAGCGTAGTACTCAAAAGTGGGGGGACACGCGATTATACGGTTCAGTAGATACTTTACAAGCAGGTACTCTTCTAGCTAGAGTAGGTCAGCACTCTACTTGCATAGGGTATCAACCATGGGTTACCCCAGTCTACGCCGTACTCGTCACCCAACCCCACTCCCCAGTACAGCGGGAAGACGACTACGCCCGAAAGCTAGACAAAATCGCTGACAGCGGGAAAGTTACTCACACTTCACTCACTTGCACCCACCCACCCTTCAAGTGCGTAGTTACGCTGCAATTATCAAGCCAAAGTAAATATTTAGAATAAGCACAGTACTGGACGAGAGCAAGCAGACTACATACCGAGGCACGATGGCAACCAGGCGCGCGTCAGCCTCCATGATCCCTTCCAGCGTGTAAGGAGCGCCGAAACTTGTTTCCACCGTACCCCGGTTTTGTTTCCCTCTCATTTCTGTAGTTTCTGCCATCAATCGCAAGCGAATTGAACAAAACCAGCTGAAACTATCCCCCCCCCCCCAAATCCCTCCCCGCGCGCGCGCGCGCCACAATACTCGCGCGCATCCCTCCAGCTCTCCGGTGAGCTTATGTATGGCCACAACACCTAGCTAGCCAGCACAAGGGACATCCATACAGCGCCGCACCACCGAGTGGGGGGGAAACAACCTTCAAGATTGCGTATTTTTTGTGTAAACGCGATCTACCAATATCTACATACATACCCAGGAACCAGGTCTTGTTCTTCCTGGCTTCCTTCTTTTATCCTCATCTTGATACTACCACTACCCTACTGCCATATTAGCCTACCCGGCAGCTTCCAATAGTACTTCCCTCCTTCTAGTTCTTCTGCCTCTCCTGTGTTTTGGAGATTGGATCCTACCTTCTTGGCTAGCTGGGTGATCAGAGCAGAAGGAGAATTAAACAAACCTCCCCTCACCATCCCCCGGTACTAGGATCAACCATGCCCCGGGCCGAATTCACCACCGAGATCCCGGGGGAGCCCCATCCGCTGCTGAGCTTCCTACCTATCCTACCAGCCAGTGAGATGAGATGAGGAGGGGTCTCACCACATGCTAGTGCTAAATCGTGAACCGAAATGAGCAAAGGCAAAAGAAAGGACGTCTGGAATATTCGACGATCCCCACTCTCGATCTCTTTTCAATTGGGTCTCCATGTGGGTTTTCTAAATGGTTTTGTCTGTGTCACTCGCTCACTGGCTCTCACTCGATTCTGTGGTCTCGGCAACGGCCTTCTTGTGTAACGTCAGCCGTCAGCTAGTAGACTAGAGCCCTAACCCTGTAGCGCATAACCATAACCCCTTAAGCTTGGGTTTTACGTTTTTTGTAACGCAGCTGAAGCAATGGGTATTTCTGTTCAAACACGGGGGCAAGCAGGCGGGCAGGTAGGCAGGTAGGCAGTGAAGTAGGAGGATGGTAATTATGGATGGCGATGCAGATGAAACCCTTCTAGAAAAAGAACTGGAGCTATAGGTAGGGCTTCGATCTTAAGATCTTGTTGGCTAGCTAGCTAAGCTGAATGGGATGGGGTAACAAACCATAGAAGGTACAACAGACACAGACAGTGAGTGAGGAGTGGTGCCCTAAGCGAAATTTCGCATCCCCCAAAACATACAGTCAACGCGTCACTTCCCGCGTTGCCGGCCGGTTCGGTGTTTTGTTTGCACTGCACTGCACTGTTACATGTGCTCTCCTCCACATGTTGAACAGTCGTGCAGCTAAGCCCAGGGCAGGGCAGGGTAAGGGGGTTAAGGATGGGGAGGGGGTGAGTAGGACCTTACACAGCAGCCAGATCAGAGAGGGAGTGGATCTGACTGTGGCTGTGGATCTGCACGGGCTACCCGAACAGGTCGATCGAATAGGAGAATTAAATATCATTCACCCCCCTCCCTCCTTACAGCTAGCCTTCTTCCAGCCAAGGCTTGAGGCTCCGTCGTGTACGTAGATCAACCGTTCCTGTTATTCACCGGAGGGTCCCTACTGTACAGGGCTTAGCAGGCCCGGGGGAGTTTCTTGATTTGTTGTTTGTGGTTTTTTTGTGGAATAGAGGAGCTTAGAGAGAGTACGCAATGCATGGTTCAACGATGGGTAGAAAAAAATCAAATTTCCTTCTTGGATCTTTGCGCTCTCACCGTGTGGGACTGCCGGGTGGAGTGGGGTGTGGTGGTGGGTTGTGTATGGTGGCCGGACTGGACTGGACTGGACTCTCTCTGGAGGGAACGGTAGTTAATTGCAATTGCTTGATTATGATGTAGGTATGTGTACCTACGTAGAGCTCGAGCACTCTATCTACCCGGTTCATAATTATGATATCCAGAGTACCTACATGATGTAGGTACATGGAGTTTAGTATTGGCCCATTCCCACGCGGTGAACAATTGGCCTGGTCGTCTACACGTGACTTGCGGCATTCTATTTCACAATCACAAACGTCGATATAATAATGTAATATTAACGTTCACATATAAGCACTACCCTGGATAAACACTGCATGCAGTCCCCGCAAGTGGATTATATCGAAATATCTAGAGTACATACCGACATAATATGTATGGCTGCTCACACCGACATGATACATGAGGCATTCTCTCCGCCCCGTAACAGGCTCCTTGAGGCGACGACGACGAGGACGACGAGGCCACGAATGATTTTCGTTCCTTAGTTCTGGCTCCCTCTAACGTGCGCAGGTCAGGGAGGCGGAGTTCACGCCGTTGACCATACTCCTCCTACTGTATCTGTCCCCCTCCCCTCCCTCGCTCGCTAAAACTTGAACGAGCCTGTAGATAAAACACGTAGCATATCTAGATACATGAGCATATCTGATATGTGATTATGTATGATGATGATGAATAAGAAGACATCGGCAGTGATAGCGACAGAAATAGTAATCCAGCAAAGCAGATATATAGTTAGATGTCGATCCATTTTCAATGGTTCGAAAACACACCCGCACTGGATGTTGTAAGCTTCCCAACCTGATCATACATGTAATCTAATCCTATGAATAGATAAAAACCATAGGCAGAGGAAGTATCTGATCGATTGATTTGACTCTGGACCAAGGTGCGCAAATAAAATATTATCTGAGGCTGGCTGGATCATGGATGACAGAGGATCATCTCGCACTGACAATGACTGACTGGCAGCTAAATATAGACCTCACCAAAATACTTCAACTAGTTAACCCTAACCCTACGCTATCATCATCGACGCGCATGGACTTGTCCAGAAAGCGAAAAGCCCGCGAAGGTACATAGGCAGGTTAGCGAAGAATCCGGGCCGCGTGAGACAAATGGAAGGGTCAGAGTGCTGTTACGGAAGTTGCACGAGCCCGGACAAGATGGTTGGACAATTGGTAGAGAAGAGGATATCTTTCACTTTAATGTTTGTTTCCACAATCCTGAATAATTACGTAGCTCCGGAAAGCTCGGATCTGCGTTAAATCTGTATGTCGAACTTAAGTAGATTAAAGCCAGTAGAAGGAAAGTGGGGATCAAAGAAGAAAAAAAACCTCATGATTTCCCGAATTCCATGCAGCACTGAGGATTTGAATATCGACTGGGGGACTCTCTTGCTGACAGGTGACGTCGCACGTGCGCTCGAGTATCAGAATGTTCGAGGTCGGGGATTTGTCTATGAATTTCCTCAACTCTAGATCTTGTTCGGAGGTTATTATTGGATTCGTACACTTGAAACGTTAGTTGGTTTTTTCCTTCTTTTCATTTTCGTTAAATGGGATCGAATACTCAGATACGAGGGTGGCATGTAAGTCCAGCGCACGCGTGCGTTACGCACGTGGTGATAAAGATAGATTACATCTTGGGTAGTGTAATTGGTTGTACTGCACACCTTATACTTCACGATGCACTGTATGGTTTGATAGATACGGGATTCTTTCTTGACGATAGTCGTTGTGATGTCTTCGAAACGTGGGTTTAGACCTGTTCTTAATTCTAATTCTGGTGCGAAGGTCTAATATGTAGGAAAGAGATTATCATATTAGTATAAAAGTACTGTATTAGAATTATTTCTGGTGCGCGCCGATTGTAATGCTTCAGCTACTTCTCCTACATATACGAGGTATCAGGAAATACTACTATAATTATTAGAAACCTCACGACACCTATAGTTTTAGTAACACATACTAGCAGATATCAAGTCACACAATGTGTTTTGGTGACATAATATGATGTAATGATGTATCACCATTGTATAACTCGTATTACCTAGTAGAATCAATTCGGATCTTAATTAGAGTATGCATCTACTGTTATATCTAGGACTGGAGTATATATCGGTTGGGAAAGGCAATAAACGTCGTAAAGCATGCGCTAAGAACCCTTACCCTTAGTGATGGGTAAATAACGAGTGATAATCCGTGTCTTGGATATTTCGAGTCAGACTCCTCACACTAGTGTATACGAAACGAATATGAGCGTCATCTCTTAAGATCACTATGTTGCGCGTGTATGGCTCGGCCTTTAGAATGCATAAATAGTTTGAGCGGCTGGATTTCCTGTCAAGTTGATTTCACGCCCCGTCTGTGCTAACGGAGAACAGCCACTCATAGAAGTATACGTGATGTGATATCTGGGTTCCAAACCGCGGACACGTGGCTGGAAAGCTTGGAGATGCATAGCTTTCCGGAACAAAGAACTTATGCGATGAATCTTCTAAATGCTTGCTGCAATATTGGGCCTATCATTGCCCCGGTGGTGGCGGCAAGTGAGGCGGGGATAGAGAGGGGGCCACGGGAGAGATGGAACGTTAAAGAGAAACGCTTCTACTCTAGTAGTTATGGAACTACATCAGTAAATGTATCAAAGCTTGACGGAGGATTGGGATGAGTTAAACAAAAACAAAAATATAAAAACGGGGGATTGGGAGTGAGAGGGTTACTAATACAAAAATCAATGAACGAATCAAATGAATATGGGGGAACGAACCAGATATGAGACTGCAGCTATCTAGCTAGTGATGATGAAAGTGATTGTGGGGATTTGTGATGAAGAAGAAGAAGAAGAAGAAGCAACGGACACAGTAATTGGTGATTAGATATTTACATGTGACTTGCAGATACTCGACTAAGCGAGTTGCAGGAAGCCTCGCTAGCTGTCCTGAGCTGGAGGAGTCTCACACATGCGCATACGCATACACACTAGTCTATGCATCCAGAGAACTCTGTCGAGAAGTCACAATTCCCAAGCTTGCTCATTCACTGGTAGTACGACTCATACATGCATCTTAAGCAATTCCTCTAGATATCGCTATTCACACATATATTCATTTGTTATTGTGCTCACGCTGATTTAAAGCAGGAAACGACGCCACACTTACACCCTAAATCATTTGTCATGAATCCCAAGTATCGTGGGGGACGCTTGGCAGCTTTGACGAAGGATAAAGTTCAATGTCTAACGCAAGGGACGGGAATCCATTCTAACGAGGGGCAAGAAAAACGCATCGAGACTGACTAATTGACTTTAGGTTGCTTCCCATCTCCGGATCCGATCCATACTGAGTTAAGGTTTGTACACAAGGGATTGGCCTGATTGAGTGAACAGATCTAGATCTAGGGCCCGTGTCTACAAATCTTTGCTTCGTATAATTATATAATGGGGTCAGGATATTTGACCATACACTTCAGCAGTCAGTCATACAATCTGATTGCTACTTCTACATAGATCGTTTGTCTTGAAATTCCTAATCCGTGAGTCTCAGATATAAGAGGTGTCTTAGACACTAGCGGAACAACTCAAAGGGCACACATGAGAATATTCATCCTTCAACCTCCTCGCTGTCGGGGACACATGGCATACACTAAATTCCCGGGGCCAGATTTTGGGGACTTTTACCTGAATGTATCGACCTCAAAATACTTTTCTGCCATTCTGAGTAAAAGGGGAATATTTTGATATCAATCACCAGTCGGCCTGGGATTCCAATAGCTCAAGTCGGTTCAAAATATCCGGGGCTTCCGGTAAAGGGCCAACTGCCATGGCCATCCCAATACCAGAAAAAAAGTAGGATATCCAGACGGCGGTATTGCTACAGTGTTGCCGCGGTATTTCGGGCAGAGTGCCACTGCGACTCCGTATTCAACTACATATTAGTACAGTACATGTTATTGCGTCCTGGTTTGTCTGGTATTATACATATAGTTATGGTTTTGGCGTTTCTTATCTGTTTACATGTGCGTGTCAATGATCTGGAACGTTATTCGGTCAAATCATACTTTTCGTCTTCCAAATATTCTGCAACTTCTGCCTATGTCAATATTTTCTTTGTTGTAGTCGCCTTTATAGGAAGAACCCGCCACTCGTTGATAATTACTTTAATAATTAGAGCTGCAACTTACCATGTCAAGTCCTTAGGTTGCGGAAAGGTCAGAGAGCTCTTAAGATAGCGGAAAACAGTAACAACAACTTGCGATACATACAGAATAGTACATATATTTGGTGGAGAAGTAAGATACGTCAGCTGAGCAAAATGTACGAAAAACGAAGTATCCGACAATTTTAATGTTAATACACTCCTTTTCTCTACATTTCGTGTATTATCAGTCACTACTTCTGAGCCAGAATGCGTAATATTGGCTGACCTTCTTATAGATCTGTTTTAATCCCGAACAAATACTGGAATTCTGACGGGCTCCTCTGGCATCAAATCTTTTAATCGCTGGCTTTAGATTTTGCCCTCTCAGAAATGCACCAGTTAACATACTGCCAGAAGAAAGTTATCATTAGTGTTGTAGTGCTGACAACAGTATCATCCGTGGTTTTTGGTTTGAGGTATAGTTATAATTGTGAATGCCGTTTGTTTAAAAGAGTGCTGCTGACGACTATATATGATAGGATCTATGCGAGGGCGTTCAAATTGAAAAGATTTGGACTCGATGATTGGTTTATGACCGCGGCGTATGTGAGTTGTTTTTTGAGTTGAGTGATTCTTTTGTGATGCTGATATATTGGGACCTAGGTATGGATATTATTTTTTGAGGCGGCTAGTTTGGTACAAGTTTGCCTTGGGGCGGGGTTGCATGATGCGAAAATCACACCGATGATGCTCAATAAACTTCTGAAAGTATATATAAATCATATGTATTCTTTAATATGACGGCACAAGGAATTAATATTCAGTCGATGCTAATTTTTTGAGGTGAATATAGGGGCTCTATGCATGCAACTTTATATATGTTACTGCAATGTGGTATGTAGAATCTCGCTATAACGATTATCGAATAATGATATTGACACAAACAGTCTCGTCAAAATCAGTATTCTATCGTTCTATCTCCGTTTGTCAGTACGCAGATACTACAAAGTCACAATATATACCGTCATGGGCATAGTTGTAATAGGGTCTATTATCTGCGTAGTGGTATGATCAACTAATATCCATCACCACTACCATAGAGTCCTGCACTGACCCGCAGTACAAAGTTAAACATCTTTCAATGCAGTCCAGTCCCCGGTTCCTGGACCCCATTGGGTACTTCCATCAGATGTATCAGTATGGAGCTTAATACTATACTTGTGTCGGTTTTCCATATTGTCACAGATGTAGTTATATATATCCTTCCCATACCGGCGATAAATGCTATGCATACCTCAATTCGACGGAAGCTGGGATTGGCAGCAATCTTTGTTATTGGGGCGATGCCGGTGGCAGTATCGATCGTCAGGGTTTGTTCGCTGGCCGAGTTGGATTGGACGGTGCAAGTTATGTGTAAGCTCTGGGATCTCGTCATTTAGTCCTTATTGATTAAACCTAGACTGACAAACAGAAGTGAAATCTGGGAAGATAAACACCTTCTCGGTGATCGAGTTGAATGTTGCACTCATAGCGGCGTCTATGCCAGCATTGAGAATAGTCTTTGTAGATGCGGTGCGTAGAAGGATACCGTCCGAGGAAGCACCAAACACAGCGCCGCTTTTTATAGATCCTCCGAGTCGAAGACGGGGGACTATCGATATTGATCAGATACTTGAATCAGATCCAGAGAAGAATGACTTCGTCAGCTTTGCCGGGGTCAGGCCTTCAGATGGTACCAGTCTGAAGAGTCAGGAATGTATTGTTGAAAGGAGTTGTGATGTAGATAAAATAAGTGCTGAATCTGTTGCGTGACGTTGTAAAAGTTTTCTCTTCTTTTCTCTAGATGTAGTTAGTATCTTCTTAATATTACAAAATGTATATAAAGTCTGATATAGGTATATTGGTTCTGGGCAATCAGTGACAGTGTCCTTATCATCACGAAACTGCATGCGTGTACAACCCGGGATTGTGGCCAATCTGATTCAATGATGAGTCTATTATCCAAGGGCCAATAGGAACCAGTAATAAGACGTGTATTGGGAACCGGTTTAAATCCTTGTTCGCCAGTAAATCAGTTTGTCCATGGAACACAGTTGTTGTGAATCTAGCTATTGGATTTCTGCCAGTAGCAATTTAATGCGCTCGCGATCATTACCGGTAGATCCATACTTAACCAAACGGGTAAAGAGGCATGGATCACGTGATTCTCAGCCTCTGACGTCAGTAAACAGGCTAAAGACAGCAAAACAAGCACCTGCAGCGCTGTATATCGCTCAGTTAATCCATGATGTTGTGCTCTGCTGCGTCTATTTATCAGGAAGCTTCCCCTGATCATCATCTTCTTTTTGGACAAAGAAAAAGATGTCGATTGTCTTACTTAGGAATGAAACCCGTACTCTCGCGCTGAAACATGCGTCTCGATCACTGATAGTGCCTACATTACCTGCGAACTCAATAAAACTCGGGATCCGTACCTTTTCAACGACTTTGCAATTCCACAAAGACTGGGATGATAGGAGGAAAGCTTATAAGAAGAAATACGACGACGACGAGAAAGGTGGTGTGAGGAAAGATTATAAGCACAAATATGACGATAGAGAAAGGTGGTGTGGGAAAGATTATAAGAAGAAATATGATGATGAGAGGGGTGGTGTGGAGAAAGCTTATAAGAAGAGAGATGATAATGAGAAAGGCGGTGTAAGGAAAGGCGAATCTCTCGCCAACGCTGAACCTGTGCCATGGCATTATGAAAATGTCTCCACTCCTCCTGTCGACAAACAAGATAAGCCCAGCGTCAAAGAGAAAGGTTCGGGATTTTTCCACCCATTAGGAATTTCTGTTTTAACAATATACCTCAAGGAAAGCTTCTATCAACGCCTTCACGCCTCTTCAAGCTTCTCCTACCACTCAAGAATATCAACAATGCAAAGCAGCATGACCGGCCCGTCGAACCACTCGCATTACTAGTACACCCACGACAACCGCTGTCATACCTTGAACGTCTCATACAATCCGAACTACCGCCCATCCAGCCGGAGAATGGAGGGCCGGTTCGCCCCCCCGAGATCGCGTTCAAGGCTGTTAACGTCGGAGACGCCCTCATGTCCGAGCGTGACAGCGAGGGGAACGCAAGCAAAGCTGAAATGTTCCTCCGTGGTGATGAGGGGGAGGGTGGAGTCGAGACTGGAGGCGGACTGGGGAAATTCTCTACCGAGCCGAAATCAGGGGAGGGGGGGCTAGTTCGGTGGTCTACCAGTACGGAGCTGGGTGACTTTGTTAGGGATGCAGCGCGTGGGAAGGAGTTCATCATTGAGGTCGAGAAAAATGAGAGCGTGGCAGTGGGCGTGCCGAGCTTTCATCAGCGTACGCATTATCAGCGCCAGAAGCTGTTGGAAATAACGAGGCAGATAGCTGCTGAGGGGAAACTGAAGGACGAGTGTGATAAATTGGCGCACAGGGGCGCACAGAGGGTTGCGATGGGGGGTTTTGCGGGATTGATGACTTGGTGGGGGGGTGTTTGTTGGCTGACGTTCAAGACGTCGTACGGGTGGGATACTATGGAGCCAGTTACTTATTTGGCTGGGTATTGCAACCTTTCATCCCTCTATTGGTGATAGGACTGACTGGGTGGTGTAGAATCTTCATAGTGATAGTTGGTTATGGCTGGTTCCTGTACTATAGACGGGAGGTGTCGTACCGAGCTCTATTACACATGACGGTAAATTCACGGCAGATGAAACTCTATAAACAACGCGGATTCGATATAGACCGTTGGGAAGACCTAGTGAGTGATGCGCGGTCACTGCGGCGGGAAATCAAGAACATCGCGGATCAGTACGATGTCAAGTGGGATGAGAGAAATGATGAGGCAGGAGGAGAGAAGGTATTGAAGGTATTGAAGGAGGCAGATGAGAAATCAAAAAAGAATAGCGAAGTTGATGACGAGGAGGAAAAGGATGTGGTAGAGATGGGGAAGGAAAAGAAGGACTTATGAGCCTTAGATCATACACCATCACTCGTCTTGTAATTTTGGGAATTTTACCATAGAATAATAGATGAGATATGAAGCCGGTACAAGTATTTTCTAGATGTTCCTAGTCGGTTTGTTCAATCTTTAGGGCTTGCGGTCGTTATGGCCCTGGTTGTACTAAGTCTATCCAACCGTTGGTAAATCCTAGGAGCCCCCAGCCTCAAGCCGTAGTCCAAAAGCCTCCCCCCCAAACCTCAAACCCTCAAACCCAAAACCTCCCAAATACCCAAATCTCCCAAACATACGAACCTCCCACCATGTCGAACACCCCTCTCCACCCCATCAGAGACACCCACGCCGTCGAAGAGCACGTCAACGCCGCCTGGGAATCCTACAGCAGTCCCCCGCACCCCGCCATCCAGTTCATCAACCTCGAAGAAGAGCTCCAAACCGCCACCACCGAGCTATCCATGAACATCGACGACCTCTTCGTCCTCCTCTGGCCCACGGTTGTAAACGCCACTTCTGCGGAGCGCTTGGAGCTCTATCTGGCAGTGATCATCATCAGGTTCGAAAAGATCAAGATGATCAGGTTCGAGAACCGCGCGGTACTAAAGAAGGAGAAGCTCTTGGATAATTGTACGAAGGAGGCGGTATCTCACTTGGGGCAGGCGATTACGGAGTTGCAGCACCATATGGATGTGATGGTGCGGTCGATACGTTGACGAGCGGGCGGGAGGGTGAGTGGTGGTGATGAGAATGGGTTGGTTGTGGAGAGGATGGTTGTTGATGGTATGGTGTTTGCCTGTTTTATATATGTGGAGTAGCGGTCACTAACATCAACGAAGGATCCGAATAAGACACTCGACCAACACCAAAGCACCAAAGCACCAAAATCAGCACATGTAGGTAAAAACCCAACAGCATATATTTCAAGAACATTGCAATTAACAAACCACACCAGGTAGTCCAAACTAAATAAAAAGAGATCACCACCTATCATAACGTCCTCAAGGAAAGATACAAGAAATGGGAATAAGAAATAAAGAATAGAGTACCAGTACTTCACAAAAAAAGGTTAAAGAACAAAAAAAATATGCTGCAACTCCAGTCCTCCCATACTGCCGTACGATACCAAATACGACTCCATACCAACCAGCCAGCCAGCCAGTCCAGGCACTTTTTCGTTGATTTTTTGTTGTCGGAAACCCAAATACAAATCCTTCATGTTGCTCCCTAGTAGATCTTTAATAAAATAAAAGGAAATATCAAGAGAAGGTCATGATATATCAAACAAATCCCAAGTGGAACAGGAAGAGCAGAAGGAGAAAAAAAATACACAGCGAACCCAGCCCAAACTAGAAGTAAATAAAATCGAAACGCAAAAAAAAAAAAGAGGCAGCCTAAATAAAGCTAGCTAAACGAACACCACCTTATAATATAAAGTATAAAGACACCTCATCAGGGCATAAAATCATAACCGTAATTAGAAAAAAAAAATTCCTTGATATCCTTACGCCAGCGCTATCATCATCATAATCATCATCATCATCACGTGCCAAAGTTGCCACCCCAGTGTGCTGGCATACCCGCTATTGGGGTCCCTGCCCACATGCCATCAAACCCTCCTGGCGTACCGGCGCCCTGCTGGCCATGGGCTTGCTGCAACGCAAACCACGTAGGGGTTAAGGTATGTGCGCTTGCCGGTGTTCCTGGTTGCCCATACGCATTCGCCAAAGCTGCTGCCCAAGGAGCTGTTCCCAATCCCGATGCGCTCCCATACGCTGCCTGTTCAAGACTCATGCTCATAGTCGAAGGGGGACGTGTACCCTGTTGAGATGACATCAGCGACCCAGGAATCATGTTTTGCTGCTGCTGCGCTTGTTGCTGAGCCTGCTGCTGGGCGGCATGTTGATGCTGTGCCTGTGCCTGCGCTTGTGCCTGTGCCTGCGCTTGTGCTTGTGCATGCTGCTGCGCTACAACCTGCTGCTGATGCTGTTGCAAGAGACCTAAACTCTCCGGATTTCGCAATCCCAAAAGCGGACCGGAAGAATCAGTGCTATAGCTCCTTCTGCCCTCCCCATTTGAAGCCCACAAATGGGCTGTCTGTGGGTTCATGTGCGGCTGCATCAACATCGGCCTCATTGGCCATGCGCCCCCTCCCTCGCTTGCCAATCTCTGTTCAGCGTTACCCATAGTCATAAATGCTGGTCTAACCGGCACACCGCCGGCAAAGGTTGCAGCTGAGTTTAGCGGTGGGTTAGGCGCATACACGGGGCCTCCTCCAAGAAATGAAGACGGTCCACTAGAAATTGGGCGTTGAAGGTAAGTTGCATTCATAAGCTCGTTGAGCTTCATCTGCTGGAACATATCCGCCTGAGCCTGTGCTTGAGCCTGTGCCTGAGCCTGTTGCTGTGCTTGCTGTTGCGCTTGCTGTGCCTGCTGCTGTTGAGTTTGCTGTTGTGAAGTTACATATCCTGCTGGCATACTATGGTTTCCTGGCCCAAGCGGCCCCATTGAGCGCATGCCTCCAACACTACCATAACGAATAGGGCCAATGTTTCCTCCACCACTGCTGCTAGGCAACCCTATGGGTGGCTGTTGATATATTTGTGGGGGGAGAACATAATCTAAATTCCTGTCTGTTGTTGTGGTCGAAGGCCTGCTTGGTGGCTGTTGAGGTGGTGAGCGTGATCTGCTTCGGAACGATTCATTCCCGCCTGGTGCCTTTTCATGCCAATAAACTTCCGGAACCTTCCCGCGGCCACGTTTCCCTCTGTATTTAGCTTCCCATTCACCGTCGGCCGAGGTGCCCGAAACCTCGGAAGCCGTGTCTTCATATCTAGTAAACGTTGTTTCATCGTCGTCCCTATCCACAGTCTGAAATTCGTAGTTATTCCTGTATCGCTGCGGGGGCTTGTGATGACTGAGGTTAAACTTAGGGGGAGGCTTTGGCAACGGAACAAATGGGTCACCAAGGGTTCGTAGGGGCCTTTGTGTATCAGTCTGAATCTTTAGGGAGGGGCCACCACGATTCTGTCGAGGAGCTGGGCTGCCATCGCGAAGAAGAGGTGTGGTTGAGGCAGCGCTCCTTGATGTTCCCATGACCGGGGTATCACACTGACCGGGCTTTAGGTCTGCAAACGGGTTCTCGACATCTACACCGTCCCTAGGCTGGTTATCATCGATATCTGAATCTTCATCATCAAGTCGTGCACCTTCGACCGAGCTTTCAATATCAGTTCTTAGATATGGCGAAAGACCGCTCGTCTTCCGGGGCTCAGGCGCCGGAGGTGCTGGAGGTGGCGCTGGAGAACTTGCAACCTCTTCGGCAAAGGAAAAGAAAGGTCTGTCTTTCTTCTCGGGCAATGGATCACCCCCTTCGGAGAATACAGGCTGGTCACAATCGCTCCCAATCTTATCATCTTCTTCCTCCTCTCGAAGATTCTCTAACCAAGGCCCACTAGGTCCGTCTCTAAAATACTGCTGCGCCATTTTCAGCGCGTGAGTATCAGAAGGAGCATGTTGCAAAACTGATGGACTCTTTACAATTCCATCGGCTAGCATCCATTTCCACCCTGGTTTGCCACCGCTGAGGTGGTCCACCTGGTTCTCGGGGTCCTGTGCTCGATCTGCTTCCACAGACGTAAGCACTATTCTCTCCATAAATAACTTATCAGTCTCAAAATTTTGGGGAAGAGAGACAAACCTTCAAACAGTCCAACTATTTTCTCTTTACCCTTCCCCTTGTCGGCAGGTAAAGGTGAAAACAGCTCATCAAACAGCCATGAATCCGAGCCACTAGAACCGCCTGTTCTCTTGCCCTCTTCCCGCGCTCTCTCCTGCTCAGTTCCTAATAGATTTTCCAGGAAGCTGTCGTCACTGAGTGGTTTGGTATTGGCCGCACTTCTCCTTGCACTATTTCCCGGCAAAAGTGGCTCCTTCTCGAGGGGCGTTGCCGGTACAGGCGACGAAGAAATCGCTAGGCCGACACCTTCATCCTCAGGGTCGTCTTTGTAGTGATCCTCCTCATCCGTCACATCCTCAACCATTACATGTCGTTTGGGCATCGGACGCTCGATGTTCTCTTTGTTCTCATCATCCTCTTCCGCATTGCGAAGATCTTCTTTGTTAATTTCCAGCCCACCAAGTGCCCTGTTAATCCTTTCCAGCACCACAGTAGCATTGAAAGCATCGACTGTGCTTGGTGTATCGACCTGCACGAGCTGCTCCTCCGACGCCGGTCCCAACGGCTCCCTAGACCGCATTGTCCCTGTCCCTGTGCTTGTCGCCTTTAGCGGTTGGTGATGGTGCTGTTCCACAAACTCTTCTTCATCATTGAATACCGGGACGCTGTCCCAAAACTCTGCCTCGCAGTTCACTCTCAATGTGAAGTTGTCGTTCCTCCACAGCTCGCTCTCCCACATTTCCTCCATACCGTCGCCATCGAGGAACCTCATCCGCAGCCTGTTACCCGAAACAGCTTGATTCCATTGCCTGATCCTCCTCGCCTCCATGGACTTTGATCCAGATGTAAAGAACTCCGCAGCCGAGTTGAGGGCCTGCAAGTAGTTTTTGACCGCATGGCTAAGGTGTTCACTCACCGCTTTGTAAGACCTTCCTGGATGTGGGATTGACAACTCTGCCGCCGAAAAGGCCTTGTCGAGATCTTCAAACTCAATAACTACATCTAGTCTCCTTGATGGAGAGTGGTTAGTATCCGCCGGAGGCGTAGCAGCCCGTGGATGCGATGCCAATGCCTCGGCGTCCTTGAGCTGCCGTCTCACCTCACCCAGATCGAGGACCAATGATTCGATCTGCTTCGCGTAGCTCTGATGCAGGCCTTGGACAAGATCGTTGCCGAAGCCAAAGCCCCGTCGGGCGTTCCTCATGTCTTCTAGATGCGTCTTTTCGAGCCGCTTGAGCTCCTCCTGGTGGGCGCTGGTGAGGGTTGACATCTCGGTTCGGTGCGACTCAGCGAGCGATGCGAGTGATGAGCGGTGGTTCGCTTTGACTCGTGACAGGTCCTGTGGTACGACAAACTTTAACTTTTTGCGGTCCTTCTTTAATACTGTGCGGGGGTACTTGGATGAGGAGATGTAGCCGTCATAGAACATGAACATAAAGAATATGAACACAAAAGACAACAGCAGTTGGGAAGAGGAGGGAGAGGAGGGGCAAGAGGAGTGGACTGGGGTAGGGGGTAATGATGACGATGATGGGAACGGGAACGGTCCACATACTTCTGCCTGCTCTTCTGAAATGCTGTTGTTGGCGGAGGTGCTCCGGGCAATCATTGCTTTGAGCTCTGTAAGCTCCTTGCTCAAGCTCCCGACCTGTGAAAGAAGGCCCTGGCGCCGTCCATATGCGGCAGATGTGCTCCAGTCGAACTTTGTATTTGTGTTTGTTGCCGTGATTGTAGACGCACTCCCATCCATCACGCCAGCACCACCGCATTCATTGCCATTATTATTGTTGTAGTGGTTGCTGCCCTCTTCGTCGCCGAGATCTCCTCCACTAACACTGCTCCCACCTCCACGTCCTCCTCCTCGGTCGCTGCTGATCTCGTCACGGTCACTACCGTTACTGCGTTCATGCTCGTTATCGCCAATATCACTGCTGCCGCCGTCACGCTTGTTATTGCTGCTGCCACCATCCCGTTCCCGCTCACCCCCGCCTTCGTCGGATACGCTGGTGGACGCCGGTGTCAGGATTAGCATGTTTTCGCGGTGGTCCTCGTCGGAGGAGGAGGGCGGCGGCGGCGACTGCGACGCCTGGTTCGCGTTCATGGTTGGCGTTGTATTGTTGCGACTGTGCTAGGGTTACGGCAGGATTGTGGTGGTTAGGTGGTTATGGTGGTTATGGTGGTTAACTGTTAATAGTACTGCACTGGTGGTGGTTGTGGTGGTGGCCCCCCCGAGTGAGTGTGTAGGAGGAAAGAAAGAAGGGAGGGGAAAGATGGGAATAGTAGGCCCTGGTATAGCTGGGTATAGCAGATTGTATGTAGACTAGAGACTAGGCGTTTGGCTGTGCCCGCGACGTGGACGGTCGCCGGTGGGGTTGGCTGGGATAGTTGGGGTAGAGCAGGCAGTTTTGCTTGGGCTGGGGCTGGCCGCGGGACGAGGAAAGAAAAGGGCAAACGTGGGGTCGGGAGGGGGAGGGGCGAGAGAGGGGGGGGGTCAGTTAGGCAGGCAGGGAGGGTCAGTCAGGTCGGGGGTTAGATAGCGTAATCGGAAACTGGCTGTGATTTGTTTTTTGGGTGGGTTTGAAAACTTATTGCACGAGGGTTTGGGGGGGGGGGGGGTTTGTGTGTCTTGTGTCTTGTGTCTTGTGTCTGGGTTTGGGTCTGGGTATGGTTATGGGGGTTGAAACGAAACAGATAGATACTCTGAGATAGATGGAGTGGTGGAAGAAGGAAAGGAAGGATCGAAAGGGAAAAAGAAGGAATTATGACTATGGAGGCAAGAGAGAGAGAGAGATCTTCTTCTTTTGGTGATTGACAGACTGGGCCCTGGATGGAGGTAGGTGTGTAGAGTATGTGCTCTACATACAGGACAGGGGAGGAGCAGAGGGAGGAGGGAGTTACTGCCGGTATCGATAGGTGATAGGTACCGTCTCTACTACTCTAGAGTACTAGTACTGTATCGAGCTAGGTGTGGGGGGCAGTTACTCTAACTCTACACTTCTCTAGAATACTCTAGCGAACTAGGAATGTCGGCGGTCTCATGCGTGTAACAACCGCTCACTCACTTCACTCTACCTCTTACTTTTCTGAGTGCCCATTCTGTTCACGATGATGCAGGAGAGAGAGAATGAGGGAGGGAGGGGCAGATGATGATGGTGGATGACACTCGTCCGGGTGATCATAAGTGACTGAGAGTGAGTCTGTGTCTGTGGAATGAATGGGTGATCACGACGAACCTTGCTTTGCGCGCTGATGGATATGATGGTCTTGAGAATTAGAGGAATTGGAATTGTTCAGGGTGACATTGCAACCTGAGCGAAACAAAAAACAAAAAACAAAAAAACCTCTCTCTCCTCGTGCGCAGTTTTGAAGGTTCTATCGATATCTTTTATCTTTTATTTTTCTAATTTATTTCTCTCCACCCCCAAGGGTCCGCCCCCGGGTCCGCCGGATCCCAAGAAGGGCAAAGTCGGAATAGTCTTCTAGGTTAGGTTGAGTGCGGGAGGGAGGGAGGGAGCGAACCAGAAGGCGACGAGGGGTTGTGCGCTGGCCGTCACTGTTCCACAGACAAGACCGCACCCATGTCTGTCTGTCTTGACTGTCTTGTCCTGGTCAATCTTATCCTGGGTGGGAACGTACTCAGGCAACCCTCTTGTGGTTGTGGTAGCTGGAACCGTCACGCACGTTACTTGGAGGTTTAAAGGTGGTTAGTCATTAACTAACTACGGTATTGATTGAGTATCTAGTTCCTGGATTGCGGAGAGGAGAGGGGGATTTGGTATTGGGAAAATACTCGAGAGGAAGAAAGAGTTAATGGGTGATATGCGAGTGTTTCTGACCGGGTAAAATATCACGAATTCCTCATGTACCATGCCGGTAAGTTACGAGGAGTCGAGTGGGAAACAAAGTGTTTGCAGCTGTTGATACTGGCTGACTGACATAAGCACCCTCGATCGATAAGATAAGCTTAAATAAATTTGCAGTGCTGCCCTGACTGAGTGAGTATTTTATTACTGTCAGCTACATACCAACTGTGAGGAATATAATAGGTGGCGTGACGGCCTGTCCTCAAGCATGTCACTCTAGTCCTGTCAATACATCATCGTCTCTCTTCTCATCCAATAGTTTGCTCTAGATCTTATTACGTTTACGGCCATTGGACCACACACGCAATGCCTTACAGTAGGTACTTTACTTGCAAGGCTGGACTCTATCGACGGCAATCAATACATTCATTCAACTTTTCAGCAGTAGTGGTGTTTTCAGGCATCGGAATGGGTGTCTTCGATATATAATATAAGGCTACTATACTCTACAGGTGCTATCTTTAAGGTCTAGGTATAACTAACAATAATAATAGTACTTTACATGAGTATATATATATATATATATATATCTATGATATATATACGGACTGTATAAACCAAGCACACCCACAAGCACTCCTCCTTCTCCACGGCCACCATGGGGAAGGAAAGAAAAGGGAAAAGAAAGGAAAGGAAAGGAAAAATTCATCGAATCATCTACACATAACCACCAAACCAGCCAACCCAAAATGCCGCAAATAAACACTTTCGCAATTGCAAACCAATAGAGATCCCTACGCAAACACCACCTCCACCACCGCCCGCAGCGCCGCCAACCCCCCCGAATGGCTCTCCACCGTTCGCCCTCTCCCCCGGTCATTCAGATCGCCCTTATTCGCCAGATCCACCCCCACTGGAATCTCAGGATTCAGGTGATCGGTCGCCCCAGCGTCTAGTTCCGTTTTAAACCGCCCCTCCTGCGCATCCCAGAAGGGCGAGTCGGAATTGGGCAGCCCCGCGGCATCGGGCGCTCCCCACCACGCGCCTACAACACCATTGGCGTTCCGCGTCCGCCAGGCTGCGGCCGCGTTAGTGACTAGGAAGAGGTTGTACTTGCTGCAGACTTCACTGTGCCAGCTGATTGTATCGGCGCTGAAGGCGACGGTCAGGTTGCTGGCTGCGGCGCCGGGGAGGGGCACGAGGGGCGTGCAGAAGAGCGTTAAGTGGTGCATGAAGATTCCTGTTTGCCACAGAGGTAAGTCACTTTCTTTCTTTCTTTCCCTCCTTCCTGCTGTCCAATTCTGGGGTTTCAATTTTGGGGGGGGGGGGGGGGGGGGTGGATGGATGGTACAGACAGACCTTTAAACGTATGCCCATTCTGGCTACACCTGCTCTCAGGATCACACTTCTCCGTCAATATGCCCCCCGCCACAATCTCGCCGACCTTCCCCTGACTGCTCACCACCGCATCCACCAGCGCAAACCCCTCCTCCAGATACGCCCGCTCCCCCGTCACCTCCGCCAGCCCCCGCAGCCCGGAGAGCAGCACCCCCTGGTTGTACGTATACACCATCTCGTCCCGCTGGTCGCACGTCTTCTCCCCCGCCGACGGCGGCAGCTTCAGCTTCGAGACGTGGAACCCGTCCGTGTACAGCCCCTGCGCATTGCGCATCCCGCTCGCCGCCAACCACGCATGCGCGCGCAGCGCATTGCTCAGGTGCGCCGGGCTGTGCGCAGGATGGTACAGATACATGCCGACGGAGGCGGAAACGTACAGCTCGTTGGTGATGGCGTTCTTGTACGGCTCCAGCCACGGGCTCCAGATCATGCCGCCCCGGCACAGCGCCTCGTCCCAGCCGCGCTCCGCAATCGTGTAGAACTCGGCCGCGCGGTCCGCGAAGGCGGGCGTCCACTCGGACCCGCTCCACTCCGTGGGCTCGAAGCGGTCGGCGCGGAGGTTGATGGTTTTGAGGGCCTCGAGCCATTGCAGGACGACCCAGAGGATGTCGTCGTAGGCTTCCTGCTTGAGGTGCATGTCTTGGCCGTAGTAGACGGCGATGAGCTCGGTGAAGAAGCGGTTTGAGAGCGCGCGGTGCTGGGGCGAGGGGGAGGAGGAGAGGGTGCGGGTGCTGGCGGCGAGGAGCGTGCCGAGGACGGCGCGCGTCCAGTTTATGCCCGTCGGGTAGGTGCCGGTTGAGTGGGTGAAGAACTGCGATTGGAGGGTTGTGAGGGCGGCAGTCATGGCCGCCAGGGCGTCGTTGCGCGGGGAGGAGACATGCTCGTTGGGGAGGAGGGGGGTTTGCGCGGTGGAAGAGGAGGAGGAGGAGGAGGAGGAGAAGGTGGAAGTGTCTAGCTGGAGTGGGGTGCAGAGGCTGGAGGGCAGCGCAAGGAGGAGGAGAAGGAGCTGTGAGGACCTCATGGTGCTATCTGTAGAGCTTCAGACTATGGGTTTGAAGCTTCTCTCTTCTTTCTTTCTTTTTTTTCTCGCGGTGCCCGGGGGTGTATTGCTAATTATAATAAAATAGGAAAAGCAGCTTCTCTCCCTCCCTCTCTTTCTCCTCTCACCTCCTCCGAGCGAGAGAGAGAGTCGCACTAGCAAGCCAGCAACCCAGCCCAGCCAACCACGCCGAGTCCCGAAGAGTTTCATACCAAGTGTCTCTTGTCTTGTCTTGCTTGCTTGTCCTGTTGCGTTTATTTTGGGCAGCAGGCCCGCTCATTGCCTACCCCAGCAACCCCAGACAGACAGACAGATCTGGTGGAGAGGAAGAAACAGGGTAGGGTACAGTAGGCTGGTCGGGATAGGCTGAACCCCGCCGTTGGGAGATGTCTGAGCTGCTCGATATGGGACGCACTACCCGGCTTGGCGCTTCCCCGCCTTTTGGTTGGAGGTCGCATGGGCTGGAGGGGGATATCGTCCTGCTGATCTGTTTTGGGGGGAGATTGGGGGGGGGGGGTCTGGGGACTGACTGGGGGGTGCACATGATCATATAGGCTAATAGTAAGAGCGTAGAGTAGCTAGATCTGTTGTGTAGAGCTTAGTAGTAGGAGGAGAGAGGAGAGTGAGGAATTGGGCACATGGGTGCTAATGATAATATTGTCCCTACATAAGGCACACTCTGGAATGTCAAGCACTCGCGCGACAGCAAAAATGAGCACAAGGGGAAATGATGCACGTGCGTGCTTTCCATCCACACGGCCCCGTGATGGCTGTCGGGCTGTCCCATGGACCGGCAACCACGCACTCTGCGATCTAGATCTAGCTGCTGCGTCCATGGAGGTTCTAAGTAGGTATCTACAGAGCAGCAAAAAAGCAAGAGAGCAAGAGAAGCAGCAAGAGAGCAAGAGAAGAGAAGCAGCAAGAGAGCAAGAGCAGCAGCAAAAGAGCAGAACAGCAAAAAAGCAAGAGAGCAAGAGAAGCAGCAAGAGAAGCAGCAAGAGAGCAAGAGAAGCAGCAAAAGAGCAGAACAGCAAAAAAGCAAGAGAGCAAGAGAAGCAGCAAAAGAGCAGAACAGCAAAAAAGCAAGAGAGCAAGAGAAGCAGCAAAAGAGCAAACAGCTCGGGAAAAGAAACAAGAATCCCCTCGAAACAAAAAGAATGCCCCTCGAAACAAAAAGAATGCCCCTCGAAACAAAAAGAATACCTCCCCTCTACGTAGTCCCCTCTACCCCTCTACCCCCGGCGAGAAACAAAAAGAATGCCCCGAGAAACAAAAAGAATACCCCGAGAAACAAAAAGAATGCCCCGAGAAACAAAAAGAATACCCCGAGAAACAAAAAGAATGCCCCGAGAAACAAAAAGAATGCCCCGAGAAACAAAAAGAATACCCCTCGAAACAAAAAGAATACCTCCCCTCTACCCTCTATAGTCTACTCCCCCAACGGCTCCACCACAAGCTTCAACTCCCGCCCCCCCTTCGCCGCCGGCCTCGGCGCCCTCCCATTCTCCTGCACATAGAACCTCCTCAGCAGCAGTATGGCCTCCTCGCGGTACACCCCCCCCACACACTCGAAGCCCCTCCGCACGCTTACCGCGCCCCCGCAGCCGCCAAAGCGCTCGTTCGCACACCCAAACACGACGCGGCGCACGCCCAGCTGGTCCAGCGCCGACGCACACATCACGCACGGCTCCACCGTCACGTAGAGCGTCGTCTCCGCGAAGATTGACGGGGGGTGGGCGCGCAGGATGGACTCGATTGCGAGGAACTCGGCGTGGCGCGTGCCGAGGAGGGAGCGGTTGGTGTCGTTGTGGCCGGTCGCGAGGATGCTGGAGGTGGGCGTGTGCACGAAGAGGCAGGCGACGGGGACCTCGAGGGTGCTGAGTGCGTGCGTGGCGAGGGTGAGGGCGTGGCGCATGTAGTGGTAGTCGAGCGGGGTGGTGGTGGTGGTGGTGGTGGGTTTTGGTGGTGGTGGTGGCATGGTGATGTTGGTGGGGATGTTGGTGGGGATGTTGGTGGGGATGTTGAGAGTGGGCGCGGTGGGGATGGTGAGAGTGGGCGTGGTGGTGGCCGTGGTGGTGAGAGTGGCCGTGGTGAACGCGGACGAGCAGAGCACCCGCATCGAGCGTCCTTGCGTGTGCCGGGGCGGGTAACCGTGGCTGTGGCCGTGGCCGTGCCGCCAGGAACGTGCACAGCCGATCATTGGTGCCGCAGTGGTGGATCCGGGCGCGTCAAAGAGACGAAGGACCGATGCCCGGCAGCTAACGTCCCAGGCCAATGACCGCGCACACACAACACCAGCCATCGAGCATCACCACCACCGCTTGCCCACAACCACCACCAACACCAAAGGCTTCAAGATGGCCACCCGCGCCTCCCGCGCAAAGAAACCGACAAGCTACGCCCTCGACACCGACGCCACCGCCGCCGCCGCCGACACCGCACCCAGCAGCAGCGTCCCCGCGGACGAAGACTCCGACCCCTCCCCCGACTCCGCCGCCTCCGACGACGACGACTCCGACGACTCCGAAGCCTACACCGACGACGAGGACGACGACGCCTACGCCTCCGACGACGACGACGCCTCCGACGGCGGCGGCGGCGCCCCCCCGCGCCGGAAGCGCAAAGCCCGCAGCGGCAACGCCGCACGCATCCACAAGCCCCACGTCTTCCGCGTCAACCGCGTCACCGGCGCCCCGCCGGGCCTGCGCAGACGTAACCGCCCTGCCGCGGCCGGCGCCGCGGACGTGCCTGGCGCGCTGCGCCCGCCGGACCCGAGCGTCAAGATTACGTATCGGCCGGGGTTCATCAAGAGCACGGGGAAGCGCGAGAGGATCATTACGACGTATGGGCAGAATAACGAGACGCTGGTGAAGGCGATTGGCGTAAGGGACGAGTACATTGGCTTGCCGGCGGTGCCGGAGAGGAGGGGGCTGAGGGTGACGCCGTTTTGGAGGGGGGGGGAGGTGAGGGCGGTGGAGGTGGGGGAGCAGAGGGTGGAGAGTGTGCAGGAGGGGGGGAGGGAGAAATACCTGCCGGATGTGCCGGAGGGGGTGTTGAAGTGTATTGTGAGGGGGGGGGGTCGTGGAGTTTGAGAGGTTTAGGGTGTGGATGGGCGGGAAGGCGGTGGTGTTGAATGCGGGGGGGCATGTTACGGGCATGGAGTGGGCGCCGGATAGATCGAAGGGTGAGTTATATTGCTATATTGCTATATTGCTATATTGCTGTATTGCTATATTGCTATATTGCTATATTGCTGTATTGCTATATTGCTATATTGCTATATTGCTGTATTGCTATATTGCTATATTGCTATATTCCTATATTCCTATATTCCCATATTCCCATATTCCTTCCTTCCTTCCTCTATTTCTTTATGAGAATACCCACTGATACAACGCAGGCAGCCAATACCTCCTCCTCTCCACCAAACACGACAGCACCTTCGCCCCCTCCCCGCCACCCCCCCGCCCGCCCACCGCCGCCCGCGAAACGCCCCCCGCATTCGAGCGCGCCCCAGGCCCCTCCTGCATCCAAGTCTGGCGCTTCCCCACCGACGCCACCGGCACCACCTCCTCCGCCCCCCCAAACCTGCAGCTCGCCCTCTGCCACGACTGGGGCTACGCCTCGTGCCTCAAGTTCCACCAGGCCCCCAGAGAGAACGCGGACGAAAGAGACCTCGGCCTCCTCGCCGCCGTGTTTCGCGATGGCAACATCAGGGTCATCCAGGTCCGCCTCCCGGAACAGACAGCGGAGGAGGAAGAAGCGGGCGGTGCTACTGCTTTCGGTATGTCCCCCTCTCCCTTCCCGTCGGGGTAAACGATCGCCAACACACGTCCAAACACACAGTGAAGGTGACCGTGCCGGCCTACACCCTCTCCCTCGACGCAACCCTCTGCACAACCCTCACCTGGCTCACCCCGCACAGCCTCATCGCCGGCTGCTCCAACGGCTTCCTCGCCGCCTGGGACCTCACCCGCCACCCGGGCACGCCCTACCTGTACACGCCCATCCACCAGACCTACATCGCGGCCATCGCCTCCTGCTTCCCGAGCTTCCCCACGCACGTCGTCACGGCCTCGCTCGACGGGTACTGCCGCATCACGAGCCTGCTCGACCCGTACACCGACACGGTGGTGAACAATCGCAGCAGGATCGCGCCGACGAGTATCTGCTGGGTGGACGCGGTGAGCGCCGCGGTCAGCAGCGAGGAGGGGGCGTGGGTCAAGTTTTACCCGCTGAGGAGGTTCTTTTCGGCCACGACGGTGTGTAAGCATAGTGGCGTGGTGAATGCGGTGGCGGGGAGTGCGGTGCACGCGTTTTTGGTGAGTGGCGGGAGTGAGGGGGAGTGTGCGTTTAGCAATCCGGTGAGGAGGACGTTTCATGGGAAGATTGTGAGTTTCTCCGCTTTGTTTTGGGGGGGGGGGGGGGAGAGAGAGTGCTAATAAGATAAACGGGGACACAGAAGAACTACCAGCAGACATGGTTCCAGCTCGAATACGCGCGCAAGAGCAACATGTTCCGCATGAGCGAGGGCTTCAAGCTCGAGGAGTTTGAGACCAAGAGCGAGAAGCTCAAGCGCCGGCAGAACAACACTGCGCTCGTGCACTCGACGGTTTGCCCCCCCTCCCCTCTCTTGTCTGGTGTTGAGCTGTTCTGATTTTGCGACAGGCATACCCGGAGCAGTCGAATATCACGCAGGTGTGCTGGAACCAGAACCTCGTGGCGGGAGGGTGGGCTGCTGCGGGCATGGCGTGTGGGCTGGTGAGGGTGGAGGATGTCGCGATTGACGACTAGCTAGCTAGGGGTGGGGTATGGTGCGTGGTGGGTGGCTATTGTGATTTAAAACGGTTTGATTTAACGTGCGTAGCTATGGATTGGTTTTTCTTTCTTAATGTGCCCCCCTTTTTCAATTGTAGCTACTACTGGTGTTGTGATTTAAATTAAGGGTTTAATACAGATGTAGCTAAATATTTGTCTCTATCGTTCTGCGTGGTTCAATTGTAGGCTGGCTGTTGCTGTGATTTAAAAGATTGAATTGTAGCAGGATATATATTTGCCTCTTGTGTGCTGTAGTTACTGTGATAGCGGTAATGATACCAAACCCTGGAAATGATCGCAACACCCACTTCCCCCACCACCAGTTACCCTGCCTTGCGTCCCCCACCACTGCACTTCCCAACCCTACTCCACCACGCACTAAGCACCCCTGCAGCAATTTTTCTGCTCCGCACAAAAAAAGCTGCCATATCAAAATCTCGCAGGACCAACAACAAAAGAGACAAAAGAGACAAAACAACAAAACAGACAGAACAGACACAACTGAGACGTCAATTCTACTCTGAATATTTCTGTGTCTCTGTGCCACTCTCTCACTTCGCAATGTCGTCCCTCGAGGCGAAACTGGACAAGATCCGGTCCCCGAATCTGCAGAACCAGAAACAGGTCCCCCCCCCAAATACCCCCAATCGTACATATAAATCAAATGCTAACACCCCCCCCCCAGGTAGCCATAGTCCTCACAGCCCTCGAATCCACCCTCACCTCCACCTCCACCCCCTTCACCCCCACCACCTACCTCGCCTCCCTCCTCTCCCTCCTCCCCACCACCACCACCAACCCCTCCCTCGCCGCCCCCACCATCTACCTCCTCGACCTCATCACCCCCTACGCGCCCCCCGCCCTCCTACGCGCCCGCTTCTCGCAGATCCTCACCCACCTCGTCCCCCCACTCTCGCACCCCACCGCCGACGCCCCCCTCCTCCGCAGCTCCATCGGCGTCCTCGACGCCCTCCTCACCGCCCAGGACTCCTCCGCATGGGCGATCCCACAGCGCGAGATAGGGCCCAGGAGGGCACTGGCCGGCCTCCTCACCCTCGCCATGGACGAGCGGCCCAAGGTCCGAAAGCGCGCGCAGGAGGCCGTCACACACATCCTGCAGCACCCGCCGGCCAGCCCGGCAACAGAGCATCCGGCCGCCGACATGTGTGCGGCCACGGCGCTCACCACACTCACCGCGCTCTCTGCCGCGCACACCGGCGGCGACAACAACAACAACAACAAGAAGGGGGCGGCGGCAGACCCGCGCATGATGCACGCGCTGCAGCTGCTGCGCGCCGTCGTCGGCGGCGGCAGCGGCGGGTTCCCGTGCCGCCGCATCGACGCGCTGGCGGCCGCGCTGCTGGCCATTGCGCGGAGCAGCAACGAGTATCTTGTGGCCGCGGCGCTGGGGGTGTTTGAGGAGTGCTTTGCGGGGCTGGGGGCCGACGAGGTGTATCACGCGAAGCTGCCCGGCGTGCTGGAGGCCATCATGGAGCTGCGGCCGGGCGTGGGGGACGCGGGGGTTGCGCCGGCGTGGCTGGCGGTCGTGGCGCGCGGGTGGGAGGTGTTTGCCGCTGTGGACGAGGACAAGGCGTTTGCGGGGCTGCCGGCGCTGTGGGGGGTTGTGGCGGCGTATCTGCAGGGCGCGGCCAGGGACGTGAGGGTGTCGGCGGCGCAGTGCCTGGTTGCGCTGGCGACGACGGCGATCCCGGACCGGGCGCTGCTGGATGTGACGCGGAGCACGGAGGGCGTGTTGGCGAAGGTGGCGGCGGGCACGAACGAGCTGCTGAGTGTGCGGTTCCAGGGCGCGTGGGCGGAGGTGTTTGAGGTGCTCGTGGCGCTGCTCGATAAGCTGCTGTGGCGCGCGAGCCCGCTGCTGAATGACGCCGTGAAGACGATCGGGGAGCTGCGCGCGAACGAGGGCTTCCAGGGGAAGAAGGAGGCCGACGAGGTGCTCGGCCATGCGGTGCGCGCGATGGGGCCGGACGCCGTGCTGGCGCTGCTGCCGCTGAATCTTGTGGCGCCGAAGCCGGGTGCGCCGGGGCGGGCGTGGATGCTGCCGGTGCTGAGGGAGTATGTGGGCAACACGCGGCTGGGGCACTTCAGGGAGGTGTTTGTGCCGATGAGCGAGGCGTTCTTTGAGCGCGTTGTTGGGGCGGCGGAGGGCGGCGGCGAGAAGACGGTTGAGGGGAAGATCTTCGAGACGCTCGTCGGGCAGGCGTGGGCGCTGTTTCCGGGCTACTGCGACCTGCCGGTGGATCTGTGTGAGGTGCGTGTTTGATCCTTTCTCTCCATTCTCTCATTTCTCCATTCTCTCATTTCTCCATTCTATCATTTCTCCATTCTCTCATTTCTCCATTCTCTCATTTCCCTCTATTCTATCATTTCTCCATTCTATCATTTCTTGGTGGCGAGTGATGGGCGGTGATTCTGCACAGCTGTGGTTGTGGGGATAACGATCATTGACATTGCATCTACATCTCTCTCTCTGAATATCCAACTATTCCAACTATTCCAACTATTCCAACTATTCCAACTATTCTAACTATTCTCTCCATGAGCACAGGCATTCGACCAGCCCTTCGCCGAGCTGCTCGCAAACGTGCTCTACCAAAAGGTCGAGCTGCGCGCCGACATCTGCAAGGGCCTGCAATCGCTCGTCGACACCAACAAGTCCCTCCTCGAGCTTGTCGCCGACGGCGACGACGACCTCGTCGCCCAGCGCCGCGTCTCCAAAGCAGACGCCGCCCGCAACATCGCCCACCTCGCCTCCTTCTCCTCAAACCTGCTCGCCGTGCTCTTCAACGTCTACAGCACCACGCTCCCGCAGTACCGCGGCTTCATCCTCAAGTGCCTCAACAGCTTCCTCAGCATCACGCCGCACGCCGAGCTCATGGCCACGTTCGCAAAGGTCACCACCATGCTCGAGGGCGCGCTCGCGGAGGCCGCAGCCCAAGCCGAGAAGCCGAAAGAGAAGCCTGCCCCAGGACAGGACCGAATGCCGCCGATGGCACACACGCTGATGGACCTGGTCATCGCCATCACGCCGTACCTCCCCGCCGACAGCCACCACAGCCTCTTCCTCATCTTCGCCGCCACCGTCACCAACAGCGCCGACCCGCAGCTGCAGAAGAAAGCCTACAAGGTCGTCCCGCGCCTCGCCGAGACCGAGTCCGGCCGCTCCGCACTACAGCACAAGTCCGAAGAGCTGCAGCAGTTCCTCATCGCCGCCGCCGACAAGGCCACGCCCCCCGCGCGGCGTGACCGCCTCGCGGCCCTCGCCCAGATCGTCGAGTTCCTCCCAAGCACCGATATGCACTTCATCCCGAGCGTGCTCTCGGAGGTTGTCATCTCCGCCAAGGAGGTCAACGAGAAGGCGCGCACGGCGGCCTTCGACCTCCTCGTGCTCATGGGCGAGAAGATGCGCGCCGGCGGCACGGTGGTGAATCGCCGTGTTGCACATATGCCGGCTGACGCACCGGACGTCCCCGCTACGCTCGACGAGTATGTCACGATGATCTCGGCGGGGCTGGCGGGGTCGACGCCGCACATGATCAGTGCGTCCATCACGGCGCTGACGCGCGTGCTGTACCAGTTCAAGGACGACATTGGCGCCGCGCTGGTCGGCGAGATGGTCAGCACGCTGGACCTCTTCCTGACGAGTAAGAATCGCGAGGTGGTGAGGAGCGTGCTGGGGTTTGTGAAGGTGTGTGTGATATCGCTGCCGCGGGAGATGATGGTGGAGCGGCTGGCGACGCTGGTGCCGAATCTGATGGTGTGGAGCCATGAGCATAAGGCGCACTTTAAGGCGAAGGTGAAGCATATCATTGAGCGCATGATCCGCCGCTTTGGCTATGAGACGGTGGAGAGGCATGTGCCCGAGGAGGACAAGAAGCTGGTCGTCAACATCAGGAAGACCCGCGACCGCAAGAAGCGCCACAAGGAGGCCGCAGCGGGCAACGACGACGAGGAGGAGGAGAAGAAGCCCGTGTCGAAGGTTTGTATTCTCATTCTCATGATATCTATTTACAGCAGTAGCTAAACCCCCCCCCCCCCCCCCCGCAGAAACGCCAATCCAAATTCGCCTCCGAGTTCGAAGAAGCCATCTACGGCTCCGACAGCGACTCGGCCTCCGACAACGACGCCGACGCCGACTCCGCCGCGGCGCCCCGCGCCACCAACAAGCGCGGCAAGGCCACAAACACAACCTACATCGTCGAAGACGAGGACGAGCCGCTCGACCTTCTCGACCGCAAGTCGCTCGCGCACATCTCGTCCACGCGGCCGCAGCGCACGCGCATCGGCGACCGCAAGAAGCCGCAGCCCAAGACGAACGAGGACGGGAAACTCGTGCTGGGGCTGGACGATGAGCAGAATTACGAGAAGGAGGGGGCGGGGGCGGAGATGGATGTGGATGTGGCGGCGGGGAGTGCGGGTGGGGTGGATGCGTATGTCCAGGCGATTACGGGCAAGGATGCGCCGAAGAGGGGGCAGAGGAATAGGGTCAAGTTTTCGAATAGGGGGAGGGGGGAGGAGGATGATGAGATGGAGGAGGAGAGGGAGGTGGAGAAGGGGTATTCGTCGGGGGGGAAGAAGGGGAAGAATGGTAGGAAGGGGCTGGGCGTGAAGGGCGTCAAGGAGGGGAGGGTGGCCAAGGGGGGGCATCGCAGGAGGTAGACGGTACGTTGAAGAGGAGGGAAATTTGTATATTTAAAAGTCTTTTTCATGGTTTTTTTCTCCCTATTTTCTTTTTGTATGTATGTATGTTTGTATGTAGGTAACAATTGGTTCTGTGGTTCATGGGGTATCACTCGGGTGGTTTGTGTGACAATTGAACGGCTGTGAAGTGGGTTGGTTAATTGATAGATGTGGCTATCTATAATTTCACAAACCGGATAGAAAAAAGTGCCTATATGGTGTATTCAGGCCTAATCTCATATTATCTGAACAGCCAAATATCCAACAGATGTATAATTCAGCTATAGATTTGAGGCAGTACTCACGTGACACCAGATTTCGACCTTATCGATAAACAGCCACTCCCACCAATTGACTCCTCCCTCTCTACCCCTCTATGAACTACAATGTACCTATAAGTATCACTAGACGCCTTCACAGTGTATGGTCAACACGGGGGTATGGCCAACTCCAAGATTTTGAATAGTAACCAAAAAGGCAGTCGATCAGCCCTCTGCGTACCATTTATCACTCCGCCGTATATTTGAGATTGACCGTACATGCCCCAGTGGGACCGTCTACCAAGCCCGGGAGTCTGCCCCCATCAGGACAGCAGCTCTCCCTGCGAAAGATTGGAGGGATCCGAAGTACCCCCGAAGTAGCAACGGGTCCAGCCAGGATGGTGACCCTGCATTCACTAATCCAACGTTCAGAACCATAAGGCAAACTTCATTCAGCCCTGGATCTACAGTTTCCGGTAGAATTATTGCGAAAGTCAGAACTAAAAGAGTGGATTTGTTGGTCTGTCCCCGTAGCAAAAAACCTTTCGCAATAATTTTACCGGAAACTGTACTTCCTGCTTCAGCTTCAATCAATTGGTTGGAATAGTAATCCAATCGTCCGAGAAATATGGCGCCTAATTCTCAAATATGTAGCTAAGAATTGTAGTTTTACCTAATTGCCGTTGTTGCTATTAATTGTACATAACTACCTACGAATGTTTACCTACGTAATTCGATTGCAAACACCGGCCATTGGGTCAGCTCTTTATATGGCAACATCCCCATGCCATCGGCATGTTTATCGGCTATCTCCGCCCTGCTCCAACCCAACCCACAAGGCGTTTCTCAACCACCCCGTCATGACAGGCATGCATAGCGCATCCGTTTCGTTTCGTTTCGTTTCGTTTCGATCCCACACCATTGGCCCGCCCCGGCCCAAAAATGCCGAACACAACCTGAGTACGTCGCCCAGCCACAGCATGCCAGCACCAGCAAGTTCAGTAACACCTTCCCGCACCTCCCACCGGTGCTGATTCAGTACGCGTCCCACCGTAGCGCTGATCATGTGCACCCTCCAGACCGGACCACCAGCCAGACAGCCAGACCATCACGGCACATCACTCGAGGGGGGGTAACTCAGCGTGATTAGTAACCCGTTGCGGATAGGCGGTGATGCACGCTATGTCAGAAGAGGCTCTTGCACGCGCCGCTGTACCGCGAGACCTTCGGAGCCACGTCGGGGATCGGACTCGGATGACGCGTCACCAGTGGTGCCGGCTTGGCTCCTCGCTCCCCCCGGGGGGGGGGGGGGGGTGAAAGCAGGTTGGTGGCAGAGCAAGCTTATTTGGGGATGATTAATCGGCGGGTTTAGAGTTGGGGATTGGCATTACGAACTGGGCGGGGTGTGCAGGGGGAGTATGTACCTGTGCGGGTGGATGGTGGATGGTGGATGGTGGGTGGATGGTGGGTGGCTTGGTAGAGAGCTGAGTGCTGGGGAGGAGGTAGGAGAGCTCTATATAAGCTTGCCCCACGTCTCCTCTTCTACCCCCCCTCCTTCACATCATCATCAATTGCATCCACCATCACAATCTCTTACTTCGCTCCTTCATACCTAAATACCTAGACCAACTTTCCCCTTCAACAAACACTACATACATCAAAATGGGCGGTGGCTTTTCCGAATCCTGCAAAAACATCGAGCTCGTCAACGGGCACATCTTGCGTGCCGAGTGCCGCAACGATCAGGGTCACCATCAGACCTCGGAGCTCGACCTCAATACCTGCATTGGTAACCTCAATGGTAGCTTAACCTCTTCCCCCGCACATTCTTTCTAGCAATTATGGTTACTGACTGAATTGAATCGGTGTATAGGATACCTTGCGTGGGACACACCAAACTTCTCCCAGACTTCCCAGAACATCCGTCTCGTCGAAAACGGCACAAAGATCGAGGCCACGCTGCTACAGATCTCGGGCCACCACAGTGCGCCGCAGGGTATCTACCTAAACCAGAGGATTGTGAACAGGAATGGATGCCTTCGCTTCAGTATGTGCAATCTTCTACTACCCCCCCCCCCCCGTCTAGCCATCTCCTCGAGACATTTGCTAATATTCAGTAGTTCCCCACAATGAGCTATAGATTAGCTAGAACGGGGTGTAATCACAGTTTCATTTCATTATTCTACTTTTCTACCATAGCTAGCTAAGCAACGAAGGGAGGCTTTTTTTTTCCAATTGATTGGGGGGAACACGAAGCGTTTTTATATCCCTATCAACCGACAAATAAAAATAAAATCTGCAAATCTCATTACTCGTTCCTTGTGATCATTGACCGCTGCAGCGGGGTTGTTGATTAGAATTGATTAAACCCCCTGGTCTTCTCTGGGATGTGAATTCTTTGCTTGTAGAGATGTAAGACAGCGCCCTGGGCGTTGAAGTGGCCTTTGTTTGAACGCCTCAGAGTTGGTTGGGTGGAATGGCTGCCAATTGGGAGGTAACAGATTGTGGGCTTGAGGTGCAGTAAAGTGTCTCAGGACCCTTGCCAAGACCTGTCATTCCAACTGGCGGGTGCACCGCCACAGAGATTAGCCACAACGTCTGTAGATCCAATAAAAGTACTTCGCCATGAGCTGTTTATTAGTGATATCATGGGATGATCCTTTCTTCTTTCTATCTGTAGTTCCTGTGAGGTGTGGTAGGCAGTCAACTATTAGAGAATCCCTTTGATCGTCCCGCTGTTCACCCAAGTGTAGTTCAAAAACCAGCATATAATTCGAACAAAACACCAAATTTAGGGTGAAAAGAGTTCGTCTCAGGTTCTCTGCGGCCGGAAGAACTTCTCAATGGTCAGGAATACTGTGAGCAGGCGCATTTTAGAGTAATTACTGATGTCTATTCAAGTCTCGGTCCTCCTCTATTCATAAAATATAACTACAAGTTCTAGCTATGTGTTCTTCGCCTGATCTAGCTACATGTTATCTTTATACGCTGTCTTCATCTGTCGCTAATAACAGTTCCCTGCAGTCTACCACAGAGAGCTATAAGAACCCCACAAGCCACACTTTCTAAAATTAGAGGAAGGGATAGTCGAGAATAAGGTCAATATCAGGTATCCTTTGTTGAGATTATTAAGTGTGAGCCTGGGAGAAATGTCCTACTTCCCATGGCATGGTCATGTATGTCAGAGGGCGGTCATGTTTTATGAAGTCAGTCGTATTTTGAGACTACTTGGCATGTATAAAAGCTTAATCAAGCAGGTCAATCAAGAAAGTCAAAGATTTTTCCAATATATCTTCTTTTGTTCTTAACATCTTTCCCGCTTCGTTTGTTCACTGGCTAACGATGTTTGCTCCTAGTTAATTCGGGATCCGGAGGTGACAGTTATCCTTTCCGGTAGTGTTGGAACCTGCGAATGATTGTTCATGATCCAGGAAGAATAGAATATTCTGCTTCATGTCAACGAATTTCGAGAAAGTCCAACGATACTCTGTTGTAGGCACAAAAAAGGAGCCGCAAAGGATTCTCCGATACCAAGAGGCAGAAGGTAGTCCTCACTGAACTACTGAACTGCAGACCCACCGCCAAGCTACCCCCCATGCGCCTGCATTGCGGCTCTTCCCACCACCTACCCACCCATGCCAAGCACCCACAAAATTTTCCGTCTCATCCAAATATTCGCTTTTTCCACCCCAAGCACCAACCTCACCAACCACGCCCACCGCCAGCTCAATTTCTCTCCCACCAGGCAGGATGACGCACGTCTCCCTGCACCGATGTCGTTTCGTCGACTACACCCCCCCCCAGATCACCTCTATCGCATTCACCCACCCCTCGACCCCATCCTCCGCGCACCCCCCGCCACCGACGCTCCGCGCCGCAATCGGCCGCACAAACGGCTCCATTGAGATCTGGAACCCGCTCGGCGGCTCCTGGCACCACGAGAGCACGCTCCAGGGCGGCCAGGACCGCTCCATCGAGGGCCTCACCTGGGTGCAGGACCACGACGCCGCCGGGAAGGGCGCCCTGCGCCTGTTCAGCATTGGGTACTCGTCTGTTGTGACGGAGTGGGATCTAGCTGCGGGGCGGCCCAAGGCGCATCTTGACTGCAACGGCGGTGTGATCTGGAGCATTGCTGCGCAGCCGCGCTGGGCCGGTGTGGAGGAGGAGGGTAGCGAGGAGGAGACCGCGCAGAAGATCGTCGTGGGCACGGAGGATGGTGCGTTGACGGTGGTGTCGACGGCCGGCGGCGCAATGACGTATGTGAGGGGTCTGATGAGGGTTGGCACGTCGAAATCGAGGGTGCTGTCGCTCGTCTGGAAGGACCGGTATACGGTGGTTGCGGGGATGGCGGACTCGACGATCCGTGTGTGGGATGTGAGGTCCGGAAGGTCGACATCGAGGATGTCGCTGAATAAGGAAAAAGGCAGAGAGGTCCTGGTTTGGTCGGTGAAGGTACTGCCGAATGGGGATATTGTCTCGGGAGACTCGAGGGGTGAGGTCTGCTTCTGGGATGGGAAGAACTACACCCTCCAGCAGAGAATCAAGAGCCATGAGGGAGACTGCTTAGCAGTTGAGGTTGGCGGGATCAATGGCGATACGGTCATCTCTGGTGGTGTCGACATGCGCACTATTGTCTACAAGCACATTGGTGGTGCAAGACGGTGGGGACAGACCGCGAGGAGAAGATTCCACAAGCACGATGTGAGGGCAATGGCTGCCTATGAGTGTGGCAAGTTTAGTGTCGTCCTTTCTGGAGGTAATAAATACACCCCACCTATAACCCTCATCTAGCTGTCTTTAACTCGGAATTCAGGTGTCGACATGACCCCCATCGTTATCCCCTTGCGCCAGTTCGCTGCAGAGCATCAATTGGCGCTTCCTGCGATCCCCCAGACACCAATAGTCACTACGGTTCCGGAACACCGCTTGATGATGTCCTGGTGGGGACGGGAAATCAAGATCTGGCGGATCGAAGAGCTAGATGGAGACGAGATGTACCCTCTCACCGACCAGGAAGAGGAGCGCGGTAGAAAATTAATTAGTCGTATTATGCTTAATGTTCGTTTTATGCCCCCAATTAACTCCCGCCAATCCAATGCTCACACAAATATAGAACGAAGAGAACCTTACATCAGCGGCAATCACTCCTGTCCCCGAAAGCGAAGACTTCGTTCTCGCAATCTCAACAATTGCCGAAATCAAGCTCTTCCATCTCAAGTCCAGCTCCTCCGAAGCTCTTCGAGTCCGAAAAATCACGATACCCACTACCCTAACCCTCGAGACCTCCGAAGAAGATGATGAGTCCGACGACGAGCCCGACGAAATCGAGCTCGCAAAAGAAGGCGCCAGACTCATCAAGTTCTCTCCAAACGGCAAATCACTTCTAGTGATCACCCCCGACTCGCGGATTCTCACAGTAGCCCTCACCATCTCCGGCGGTAAAGCACCCGTGTCATTTACTGGCAGCGTACACGAGCTCGAGCGACAAGACCGCCCAAGCCCAGCAGTCAGCAAACAGCTAGTCCACAACTCCCAACAGAACTCCAAGAAGGGCAAGAACAAGAAGCGCCGGGTTGACGAAGGCTCCCTCCACCCCTACGACCGTACCATCAACCGTGCTGCTTTCTCAAGCAACAGCAGCATCCTCGCCGTCGCCGACCTCAGCGGCTGGATTGACACCTTTGTCTTCAAATCCGGTGTCTGGTCTGCCAACGAGAACGGCATCACACTCCCCAAGCTCAAATCCGCCGCCGCAGCGATGGAATTCCGCCCCTACGTACCTCCCAGCACACCCCCCCAACTCACAATCACCGAGAAGGGCGTCGAGGTTGAAGAGCTCCCGGTGTCCCGAACCCCAGACGAAGAAGACCGCCTCCTTGTCGTCACCGCAAAAGACAACCACATCCTCGAGTTCAACATCCTCCAAGGACGCCTCTCCGACTGGTCACGCCGAAACCCCTCCGAGCGCCTCCCGCACGAGTTCAGGATACAGAAAGACCGCGCCGCCGGCATCGTCTGGGAGGTCTCCTCGCCAGGGAACGTACGAGCTTGGATCTGGGCGACGTCATGGGTATGGATGTTTGACCTCTCCCAAGACCTCCCCGCCACAGAAGCAGTCGAGGAAGTCACCGGCCAGAAGCGAAAACGCGACGCAAACGGCAGCATCAAAGCGCCCAGCGAATACGCCGTCAAGGGTGAGAGCGGAGCCGGTGACAAAGTCCTCCTCGGCCAATCCCGTGGTCTCATCTTCTCTACCTCCGCAAAGTCCGAGCATCGCGGTATCACCTCCGACGATGAGGACGACGACGATTCTGAGATCCCCTTCAAGCTCATTCGCGACAATGATGAGGACGATGAGAAAGAGGATGATGATGAGAACCTGCTGAGTAATGGCGATAACAAGAAGCTCGCAAAGCCGCAGCGGAATAAGCCGTTCTGGAGAACAAACCGGTACAGAAACCTCATGGCCTTCCTGCCCGTCGGCAGAAAAGATGAGTTCACGTGGGGACCATCCGGAGACCGCATTGAGGCCATGGAGATGGTTGTAGTGGAGAGGCCCAGCTGGGATATGGAGATGCCGCCGAGGTTTTATCAGGGGACTGCTTAGTTATGTAGTTTAGTTTTTTCTTTCTAGTTTAGTTGGCTAATAGTTAGATCGCGGTGGGAGCGGAAGGCGGGGGCGTGGTGTGGTGGGTAGGAAAAGAAAAAAGTTCTGTTGTATGTTTTATTCCCTTAGGTTTGTTCTTTTCTTCAGCTTCTTTTTTTGTAGCATAGGTATGAAATTTGGGGAGCGGTTGTTTGGTGCTGTGTCAATACATTTTACTGGCCATGGAGTCGCTGCCGAACGTTGGTGCGAGTGAGATCTAGTGATAGCGATAGTGTGATAGGTTATACGTATGCTTATATAGGCGCCTGATGGCCTATTTTGTTGCTTTTTAGTCTTGCGGTATGTGTTCTATTTGTATTACTGGGGCTGTTCGGCAGTGCCAGATTAGAGATTAGCCCTTCAGAATCAAGTCCATCAAGAACATTACTTACTCACATATATACGGCCAATAGTCGCTAGAAATAATGATACCCAACTGCAAAACTACTCTTGTTCTAATGGTTAATTCTTCAGTGTAGTATTCGACAAATGCATTTGCGACACATATTATCACTCGTAGTGGCTAAGGGTAAGGGTTAGTTGATACCCTGATGATTGATAATTCATTAATTGTGTGCGGCCCGGAGGCTATGACAACAATACATGTAGTTGATACACTAGCTAGCTAGCGGATTTGTGGTGAGGCTTATAGCTTATACATGCACCTAGGATGCTCAACCGACTCTTTATCTGGTTCTGTTTAGATATGTAGCAGTGTGGAGTGAAGAGTTTGACGGTGGGTATATACGTGTGGGGTTTTGGGTTTTGGGGTTTCATCACTTTTCGGTAAGTTGTATCCTTGTGGTTTGTTTGGATACTGCTGTGGGTGTTTCTGGGCGGGTGCTAGAGGCTTTCATGCTTGTTTGGACGTTTGTAAAACAAGAATTGAGTTGGCTGGATATGCGGGAAGAAATAAGGTAGGATAGTTTTCGAATTCTGAAGCGTAAGATGTTACATGTAGTCAGAACTCGCACGACGATCATAAGAATTTGGAATATTATATTAACTCTAGTAACATGACATTGATAACCGAGAATTAACTGATGACCCAAAATCTCTACTCCCCCAACCTCCCAATCCCCAACTCCCCCTTCGCAGCTCTTGAGCTAGTATTCTTATCCACCTTCTTCAACGGCCTATACACCGGATCCCACATCTGCACCCCCACCCAATCCAAAAGCTCCTCCTCGTTGTCCACCGGTATGTCTTTAACCCTGTTTAAGCCCTCTTTGACCGCCTGCTTGATAACCGCACAGGCTATCTGCGCACTGATGCTTCTCACGTCCTCTACATCTGGCAGGAGCGGCCTGGTAGGGTTTTTTAGGGCTGGCGATTGTGCTGCGAGACTGGCGATTGCTGCGACGAGCATTTTGTCGCTGAGCAGAGTTGCGCGGGAGAGGATACACCCGAGACCGATGCCGGGGAAGGCGGTGGCGTTGTTGCATTCCGCTGTATGGTGTGTTAGTATTACACTAAATCGACATTTCCCCGGGAAACATACCAATGTCAAATTTCTTCCCATTATGTTCAACTGGCGGGAAAGGAGACCCCGTAGCCACAAGCGCCTTTCCATCGGTCCAGGCATATATATCCTCCGGGCTCGCTTCATGGAGCTTTGTTGGATTCGAGAGGGGGAATATTGCAGGCCTTTCCACGTGCTTTGCCATCTCCTTTATAACTTCCTCCGTGAATGATTTCGGGCGAGTGGAGCAGCCGATGAGGACGTGCGGCTTGACCTCGCGGATGATTGTCACTAGGTCCTTGGTGTCTTTAGAGGACCATTCTTCGTCTTCGCGGGCGTAGGTAGTTTGTGCGGTGGTTAACTGATCGCCGTGGGATTTGAGGAGGAGGCCGGGCTTGTCGACCAACCTGTGGTACGAGTATTAGGTATTGAGTGTTACATGTCTTAGTGGAGTCGTGTTATTCAAAACCTACCAGACCTGTGCAGTCGCTTCCTCTTTACTCTTGCCTCCTTCCGCTACTGCATCCCTAAATTGGTCGGCAATTCCTATCATATAACCCCCATCAGTACTCTACAAGTCACCCCCCCCAAATAGGTATGTTACCCGTTCCCGCAGTTCCGGCTCCAAACATCACCACTCTCAAATCCTTAACCTCCATTTTCGCAACCTTCGCAGCTGCCATGATAGCCGCCATAGTGACTACCCCCGTCCCCTGCACATCGTCATTAAAACATGTCAGTTGCGGCCGGTATTGCTCCAACAGTCTCCTAGCATTCTGGAGTCCAAAGTCTTCAAAGTGAAGCATGGCCTTTGGGAACTGTTTCTTGACTGCCTGGACAAAGGTTTCTATGAATTCGTCTTTGGTCGTTTAGTGCGAGTGATATTTTATGAATGAGGTGGAAGGGGGAGTGTACCGTATTCTGCGCCCCGAACCCGGGGCTGGCGAAGGCCGAGGTAGAGTTCGTCTTCGATAAGGGCTTTGTTCTGTGATAATATTTTAGCTACAGGGGCTTTTAGGGAGGTACATAGTTGGGACCCATATTCGTACATTTGTACCACAGTCTAAAACTATTGGAAGTGTACTTGGGGAATAATCAGCTTATATTGATAGACAAGATTCATTGACTCGAACTTACCGATTTGGATGTACCTAATTCAAATGTTAGCCCGTTCAATATGAGATGGGGGAGAGGGGACGAACTCACCCCTGCACAAAGCGTCATCAATACTAACTTTGCGGTACTAATGCCAATCCCGCCTACACCTTGATCCCCAATACCTAAAATCTTTCCGCGCATAAATATAGCTTTTCGCACAACCGGAACGTACGGAAAATTAAACAAACCTCCTCGCCATCAGAAACAACGATGTAGTCAATATCTTCCTCCTTGCCGAATTTGCTGAGTATCGACCCTATGTTATCCTTTTCGAGTATATTGAGAAAGCAGCCTATAAAAGTTACATAGCATTAGATATGAATCTTTATTGGTAGAGCGGAATCTGAGCTGACCATCAGGTCTACGGAATAGGCGAGAGTAGTTTTCGATTGCGTCCCCCTCGGTGGGCGTGTATATCACGCTGAACATTTCTTTGATATGCGTTTCGATAAGCTATAAGAGGAAGAAGTTCCTGTTAGGTTTGTTCGTTTCTTCTCCCCAGGCTGCTCCTTAAAAATTTTACCTTGTAGTATAGAACCTACATGTATTGGTAAGGTTAGTATTGATAATAAAGTTACAAATACTGATTTCTCCGAGTAATACATACATCATTCTGGTACTTCATACTAGTCATGAAAGAGTTCTTCGCAAGCGGGCTATCGCGAGAAGAATATTGTCCATAGGCTCTCTCAACTTGTTCCTCTACAAACAAGCTATCAACAGCTATAATTCGTTATATGCAAGCTGTATTGAGAACTCGCTCACCAAGTGTATGAACGGCGGCTGGCAGCATCCCTTCAAGTCCAAAATCCTTACGCTCTTGGACTGTAAATGCAGACCCTTTATTGAAGAACGAAGAATTAAGAAGTGCTCTCCCCTATATTACTGTCAGAGCTATATAATCAACTTCTGCAGATTTTGAAAAACACACCTCTAAAGCACATTCCAATGGCCCTTTCGCAGCCAGGGGATAGTCTTCCAGAGCGCGCTTCTGAGGCATTGTTGCTATTGACTTGAATCTGACAGATGATGTGAACGAAGCGGTTCTTTCTTTGATAATCACGAACGGCCGTTTCTTTGCGAAATACGAGATTGATGCTGAGAGACTCATTGAATAGTTTGGGCTCCGACAGTTTTCACATGCCCATAATATACGAATATTAGCAAGCGGGGTTCTATCTGTTTTGGCCGGTGACGTAGGTAAGCCTCTCCGGGTATGCTGGGGCCCTAATCGGGGTGCAGGGGCATTCAGGGATCAGATGTCACTAAAAGCTTGTTTGGTAGGTAGAAAAAGGAAATAAATTACGTCAAGCCGGGACCACGGGACAGCACTGAGGCATCTTACTGAGGGAGGATACATCGGCCTTTACATCACTCACTTCAGTAGACTGTGGCCCTTCCGCGCCGGGGGCAGCATACCTGTTGTAGTTTGCTTTACAAACCCCCGCAAACTATCACGGTAAGGGGGTGTTGATGATCACTCCATTCCTACATGCGTGTACATACTCTGTACTCTGGTATATCCTGGGATGCTGTTATTCGGAGCTGGGAAGTGGTGGGATGTCGGGAAGGACAATCTAAGGCCCATTTGGGGGCCGTCTGAAACGGAGCAACAGAGGTTACCCCGTCTTCCAAACGGGCCCTAACATGTTTATTGGCCACCTTTTTTGTCTTTTACTATTACTGCTACCGATGAGAGTTTCACATCAACTACAGGGTATTCCTGAGCGAAATCCCACTTGCCGAGGTAACTATATGTGTGTAAACCTAAAGTATACCAACGACTCGCGAGTGATTCTCTGTGAATGAATGATGTATCTACATGCGGGCAGGCAGACGGATTCATAACGCACCAAGATTAAGGAAGTACATATGTAATTTGATTGAACTAAACCCCCGAGAAAAACGCCCTACATCATACCGTAAAATAACAAGCAGTATGCAGAAGAAAAATCAAACTTACAAGGAAGAAAATTATTCGACTTTCGAACTGGCTGGCGCATTCGTTTTCGTCTAGGTAATGAATCGTGCGGCGTGAAGTATTTTTTCTTTTGCGTTCAAGATCTGCCGACTCAGCTTCCACAGCACAGAGCAACAAACGACTTGTTTACACACACGCAATTTCAAAACTTCAGGGAAAATAAGAACTCATCTTACTCCAAACTTACCAGGAAGGATCACCAGCACCGCGAAAGAGATCAAGCTGGGAAACGAAAAGGAGAAATAAGAGGGGAAGGCAGCTATAAAACATCTAGAAATGATAAATTAAAGTGACAGAGAAGACAATAGAACACCTCAAGACGAAGCCATAATGTAAACAGAGTGGTAAGAAATAAAAAAGCAACTGTAAGTTGAAGACCCAATGTGAGACTAACCGTTCAGCGTTCTCGATCACACCATCGTCCATTGCAAGCCACGTCCCTAAATATCGAATGTTTCTTTTTCGCTTTCGCTTGTCGACTTTGTTCGCGTTGGCGTCGACTCACTATGCCTGCTCGCTCTCTTTCCCTGTCCTGATAGCTGATCTGGAAGCAGGATGCTCACTTTTATTCTTGGATATTCTTTCAACCCCGACCCCCATTTTTGTTTCACCCACCTCGCAAGCACCATATACCATGTCTCATTCGTACGTTCTTCCGTCTGTCACATACCGCTGAACTCCACGCGAGAAACAAAAAGATGCACACACACACAAAAAGAGTAAAGAAAAAGAATCAAAAACACAAAAGATAGAACAACGACTGACCACCGTTCCCGAAAATGATCCAAAAGAATGGAAATTGAACTAAGTTTCCTCATTTCTTGTATTGCTGATGTCGTTCTTGGTTTCGAGTGGGTGAGTTTTCGGAGTTATTCGGTCTTCCGCGGACTGTCAAAGGGGCAAAAGAAAAGAGCAATAAAAGGACAAGAAGAGGAACGAAGATTAAGGAATATCCGCCGTTTGTCGTCACCGTCAAGAGCCACCTTATGCTGTAGTCGCAACCTCAACCGACGATTTGGGAGGATGGTACTCATACCTCGGTAGCAAAGCTCTCTTTTCTTCCTGTAAAATGCAAAAACGATATAAGTAGCTGTTGTCAGAAAATTTGGGAGTACCACGAAGCATGTTCAGTTAACTTACCGGACTAATTTCATTATCACCGTAAACCATTTTCGTCTCTCTTTTAGGCTTCTCATCTTTCTTCTTCTCTGTCGGTGGCACAATAACGTTTGACGTACTTGTATCTGGACTTTCCATTTTAACACCCTCGACACCTGTTGCTGTCAAAGATGCAGAGCTGTCATTTCTTCCCTGGTGGCCCATTGCTGATCCATTATTCTGCGCATGCGGTTGGTGTTGATGGTGCTGCATTGTAGCACCGAAGCCACCAAATTGTTGTTGAGAATGCGGCTGGTGGGGGGAGAACGGCTGCGGTTGCTGCGGCTGACCAAACTGCTGTGAAGGTCCTTGTGGAGGAGGAACATACGCGCCTGGGCCACCAAATCCACCCTGCTGTTGCTGATGTGCAGGAGGCTGGTTCCAACCTCCTCCTCCACTGCCACTAGGACCACCTCGACCGAACCCGCCATTATTCATGCCAACCATACCAGGGTTATTAAAGTTAGGACGAGGAGGCAGTCCTGGGGCATTAGGCCTAGGGGGCAGTCCCGGTATTTGGTGGGCCTGTGGGAGGGAAGGTGGGACTGGAGGAACTTGATGGCGTTGTGGGTGTTGTGGGTGTTGTACATGAGGTGGAGGTCCTTGCTGGAATTGATTATGCTGAGGTGGATTGAAGCCACCCGGATTGTGCGTGAAAGATGGATGTTGCGGGTGCTGCGGCTGAAAGCCATTAAAGGACGCTGGTGGCCCACCCCCACGACCAAATTGCATCGGCTGCTGTGGGAAGGGTGGTTGGCCGTATGCAGCTGGAGGGAAAGGTCCTTGGTTTTGTGGCGGATAAGTTGGGGCGGGATATGGTCCAGGTGCCTGTGGAATGGGATAAACACCCTGTTGGAACGGTGGTGGACTAGTAGCTTGTACCTGAGGCTAATACAGAGTTAGTAATTCTTATATCGATAGGCTTATAGGTTGAATATAGGTCTGCGAACATATGAAAAATGAAAAGAACCCACATAAGCTCCCTGAGGAGGAGATCCTTGGACCTCATAAGCTCCCTGGCCTGGACTCGCGCTTCTACCAGGGCTTTGGGGCCCGGGGACCGCGCCGTTACCACTTGTACCTTGTGCTGCTGCTGCCATCGCCTTTTTGTGAGCTTCGAGCTTCTTTTTGATTTCATCAGGGTCAAGATCCTTTGATATGTCGATTTTGGGCCTTTTAGATCCAGCACCAGGTTGTCCTGAACCAGCGCGGCGATCAGCTTCTCGCTGGGCAAAAGCCGACAAAATCCGCTGGTTATGGGCTGCGACTTCTGACTCGGGGATCCCCTCGGTGCCAAAAATCTCAAGATCGATAGATTCGCGCCCAGGAATCGCATTGTCAACAGCCTCAAGTTGTTCTTTGTGGACTTGTTCCATATGAACCCGCAAGCCTAAACAACAGTTAAAAAGAGCGCTCTATTCAAATGGAAAGGCACGACTTACCACCAGCAGTATTCAATCTTCTGCCGCATTTTTCGCATTTATAATGTTTAGCCTTTTGATGGGCGATTAAAATTTTCAAATCGTCAAAGTCGCGTTCACAATAATAGCACCATGGTCGCGCGAGGAGCTCCTCGACTTCGGGATTTGACCTCTTCTTCTTCTTCGCCATTGCTCCTCTCTTAATACTGTTCGGTACGCGTGTGACAGACGAGGTGTCTGACTTCTGATGAGTGGAAAGATATTAACAAGTGAGAGTTTCGTTAGAATACTGGTGATAACGCGGGGGGCTGCGCGACACAAGAAATCTTTTGAGACGTGGAGGGAGCGAGAGGGCGGCGACTTTTCTCGATAGGTGCTGTATGGTATGATAAGTACGCCCCCTGACAAACTTCACAGCACCTGCGGTGACATCTTCTTGCTGAGTCAACCACGGCTACGCAGGTTGTCGATCGCTTGGCGCACTACGTTGTTCCCCCACATGCATTCGACCTTACCAATTCCATCCGAACAGTACATACCGGTAATCAACTCAAACAACACTCGAAAAAGTGGATAGATAAGCAAAGTCACCTCTGCCTACTCAGCCACTTTTTTGAACTGTTTATCATGTCAGAATCATTTACTTCCGATTCGGACTTGGAAGGGTATGCTTACACTCCCGATACCTCTGTTTCCTCCCTTGAGGGTAGTGCCTCTATGATCGAAATCCCCCCTCCAACTCCGTCCCACGATTCCGCGTTATCCTCGGTATCCGAAAATGGCAGCGACAGCGACAGCGATGGCGGTTACAACGATGCGGAGGAGGAGTGGCAGGAAAGCCTGAGGCAGTTGGAGCTATTGATGCGCATGGTCATTGTGCCTTTCTTCGGCAAATGGGTTGGGCGAAGGACTGCATACTGGAGTATGTTTTTCTCGTGTTTTGGAGTCGCTTCCTGTTAAAAACTTACTAACCCGGTTTCACCAATAGCATGGGCGAAATTCATGACTTGGAAATATCCTGTCGATGTAGTAATCACCAATCGGGCAGCCTTCAACCTTGCGGGTGCCGTTTCCGCCGTTTCGGCGCCATTGTAAGATGATACCGAGCGATGCATACATTTCCAGCGACAACACGGAGTTTGGGACGTCGGTTTTAAATATCACTTTCTTTCGACACCTATATATAATACGCCCCGTAAATGATAGGAGCAGCAGCTGGTATTGCAATACGCTTGGCGAATTATGATCAAGGTACTCGTGGGAATAAGTATAGCTTACTCTGGATATCACGGCCACCTACTTATCCCAAAACGAGAAGTGATTTGATAATTTAATGCAATACTTTAGGGTGCTTGAACTCTATTAGCACATGATCATGAGAAATCACTCGTAAAATCAGACTCCACAAAAGAATTGATTACTTGAAGAGACCTGTGGGGGTGCGTTTTGAGCTCGTGCCTAAACATGTGCTTACCATCGATTTGCGTGCTCTTTTCAGCTTTTATAGACAGAAGAGCGCATAATCCTTCAAGAATGTCAAGATAGGGTGCTACACTCACTCACTCACACTCACGAGGTGACCACGGATACTATTTGATGGTGGGCAAGGATTTGAGGCCAATGGAAGAACTGGTCTTTGACAACGCCATACTCGATTATACCGCAAATAATCCCTGTCCGCTATCATATAGAATCCATCATCATCTAGTAGTGAATATAGAATTCAACGTAGTTATACAAGAAAATTGTGATGTTTAAATCACGATTCATCACTCGAGTGTAATAATGGTCATGCGTGGCTCTGAGAAATTCAGGAGCTTGTATCTATATGTGGTAGTGCTGCCATTTAAGCGTGGCAAACATACATGTATATTTTGTTTTCCTGAGCGCCTGGTGATAAGGAGTGAGATTTTATTTAAATAAATTTCAGCCGTGTGCTCGCAGCATTCTTTCCTCGTCTTTCAATTCCTCAATAAGCTTCCCTCTCAAGTAATCACTCAGCCCAAGTCTAAGCAATTAGCAAAACCCTCCTATACCCAAAAGAGTAGGGAATAGGTAGACTCACATGCCCTCGTTTGTAACCAGCCTGTACGAACTACACTCCTCGTATCCTTCTTGCTGAATTTGCCCATTCCCGTCCACCAATACACTTCCGAAAATATCCTCTGGATCGGGAATCCTTCCAAATGCCGGTGGGTTTCTGGTATCAGATACATGTACATACCCCCCTACACCACCACTACCCGCCCCGCCTTGATTGTTTGCACCTCCTGCGCCACCGCCATCATTTGAGACAGGTGTAGCCCGCCGTTTCCGTGCGCCAAATATAGATGCTCCACCGGGTGAAGCATATGTTCCCGCTGAAGCTATCACCACTGGATCAAAGTATACATTTTTCCGGAGAACTAATTGTAAGATTTTGAGAAAATTGCGATTTTCTGTGAAAGTATCCGGCGTTGGCGGGATAGAAGTTGTAGTTCCGATGGAAAGTTCGGGGGTGGGAGGGTCTGTTGGAAGCAAAGAAAGGATTTTGCCATTTGATGATGGAATTACATACTAAATGACTCTTTAGCAATAGCTCTATATCTACATGATTCTAGCAACTAAAATGAGAGGGGAAATACGATATGTGGATTATTCGGGAGTGTCGAAATGGATCTAATACCTCCTCCACGAACGTAAGAGCTAGTAATCTGGGACCGTCGAAAGGATCTGAAAAGAAATGACATTGTGGTGTTAACAGTCCTCCCAAAGAGTGGTTCTCCGAGATTGCTTGAGAAATCTAAGGCCAATTGAGTATCTCCGGCGCTCTCGAGCTATAGAGGAAGCTGTGTGTTCCAAGCATCAAGACCAGTGACAGAGCCCTACGACCGGGTAACTTCTTTGAACTCTAGCGCATTTGGACCTCTGATAAAGGAAAGGATGTATTTTGTCGCATAAAAGCCACACGTCCGTTCTTCCCCACAAGGACAACGATCCAGGATCTCTGTTGCATCTCGTATATATCCTCAGATTTTTTTTTTAGAAAGTTTCTCTAAATCAATTCAAGTTTTAAACCATCACGATGCTCCCTGCGCATGCAATTGTTGGCGCAGCTATACCCGCCGATACACCACACGTAAGTCGTTGTACTGCTCTATCCAGCTACACCGTTGTATTTCTAGGACTCACATAGTAAATCTAGGCAGTAAGTGTGTCGCTACCAACATGGAGAGCAAATGTTGGGTACGAAGAGGGTCAAGAATGGGTCATGAGTAAAATGAAGACTGGATATCCAAGGTTGGCAATCTATCATTTATACTTCTCATAAATATACCCTCCAGAACTGGCATACTATGAGTTTGATCAATTGTCCCAGATTAACAAAAAAAAAACCTCTAGATTCTACATCCATAAGAGTATCCAGAAACTTGTACAATCAATCCTCCAGAAGTTCGGTCAACCGGACGAAGATGCCATGCTTTTCCCCTCTCCTGGGGTTGCTAAACAATGTAAACAGTTCATTAAACAGAGATCTAAAACTATCCCTGCGCCAAATGTCAGGGTCATTGAGCTTGTCTACAACAAATCAAAGAATCCCAAAACACCTAAAGATTCGGAAACTCCAATTTGGTCAGACCTATGTACAGTACTATTCCCTACAGAGGAGTTTAAATGCGCCAAGGAGTTCTGGCAGCATAGTGGTGATGGGGTCTCAAGCCGTAGGGCAGAGTTCTGTCAGAGAGAATTTGAGGAAGGGTCATTGGTTGAGAAGAGCTTGGCCGCTGAGCTCGAAGATAACCATCCTACTCCACCCCTAGCCCCAAAAGGGCCGAAGCGCTACTCGCGCCTGCCTAGGGTTGATGCTAAAGTGCATTCTCAGAGCGATCTAAATGGGGAAATTGGCGAAGACAGTTCCACATATGTTGAGGAGCGCTTTGGGCGCAACCTTGACGTCGCATTCATCGAGAATGCAAAGTTAGCTATTCGTAGAAGGATTGCAGGCACTTTAAAGTCAAACTTAGCACTTAAGGATGCTCTAGAGCAGTCGGATGAGGGTGGAAGACTTGAGGGAGGATTTTCAGAGAATGATGTGTATTTGCACCCAACCGGAATGAGTGCGATATTCAACACTCATAGGTTTTTGATGTCAGCATTAGGACATAAGAAGAGTGTTTCCTATGGGTATGAAATGTACTTTTTCATGAACTGCCTTGGATTTCTAACACCTAATGCAGATTCCCATACATCGATACACTCAAAATTCTCCAAAAATTCGGGCCGGGCTGTTACTTCTACGGCAATGGGTCCCAGGAAGATCTAGATGATTTGCAAGCTAAATGTGAGTCCGGAGAAGAAATACTAGCCTTATTCTGCGAGTTTCCTTCAAATCCGTTACTTAAAGCGCCCAATCTGGTGCGGATTCGAGAACTGGCCGATAAATACAACTTTGCGGTTGTTATCGATGAAACAGTGGGGAACTTCCTCAATGTCAATGTGCTTCCGTATGCGGACGTGGTGGTCAGCAGTTTGACGAAAGTCTTTAGTGGTGACTCTAACGTCATGGGTGGCAGGTTAGTCTTCTTGAACAATTATTAGATTTTGTAATACTCTGCTTACCAAAATTAGTTCTGTCTTGAATCCTAAGGGCCGTTATTATCAACAGCTTAAACAGACTTTGAACACTGAATTCGAAGATAATTACTGGGGCGAGGACGCATTGTTTCTGGAAAGAAATAGCCGTGACTTTGTTTCTCGGATCGCGCGTATTAATAAAAACGCCGAAACTATCAGTGATTTACTCAGGCAACATCCACGGGGTAACCTCTACAATCCTTTAAATGCCTCTACTCAACTAATCTTTCATTTTTCTCCGATAGTGAAAGAAGTATACTATCCAAAGTATTCGCCTACGAAACCTTATTATGACAATTGCCGTTGCGAAAATGGCGGGTACGGAGGTCTCCTTAGCGTGATATTTTACAGCCGTGAAGATGCGATTGCCGTATTTGATACAATGGAAGTTTCGAAGGGTCCAAGTCTTGGGACAAACTTCACACTAGCTTCCCCATACACGCTTCTTGCGCATTATGGGGAGTTAGATTGGGCTGCTCAGTTTGGGGTGGCGAGTGATCTCATAAGAATCAGTGTTGGTTTAGAGGAAACGGAGGAGTTGGTAGATGTTTTAAATAGAGCATTGGCAGTTCTATAGGTCTGACCCGGTAGGGCGTGTCAGATTGCATCGTAGTTAGAGTGTAGATATACCGATATTCTTATAGACTTCAAGCAGCGTTTTCGTTTGATGTAAGTATACGTATTCATTATCTTTAGGTCGGAGTACAGAGTTCAGAGGAGTTGGGAATAGCAAGTAGGGAAAGATAACTTCGTTTCACTTATTAATGGGTGCCCGGGCGTATTACAGTGTACTGCATACATAATACTGGCCCACATAGAAAGAGATGCGCCAGGTAACAAGGGGGCGAATCGATATGTGATTGGCTTATCCTGAAATAATACATGTAGTGCTAGACAATTGTAACCACATGTATACACGTACATGTAATTTAGGTACCTGTATGCACCCTTCCATGATTGATATATGTACTGCAATTACTTGTATCCTGTATGTTGAACTTGCATAGTAAAAATACGTATCAAAGGTACATGTACATACATGTACTTATCTATATGTCCATTCGGATCCGGCTAAATTACCCCGTTCTGATGAGTTGTGGGGTTTCCATTGAATTCCCGTATCGTAAACGTTATATAAGCTGTGCACCCCCGGGAATTATCAGGATACAGTAGTAAGAAGATTACCACAACCCACATTAGCGCACTGCTAGCTCTAGCTCAACTATATATTCCGCCGTCACTCAGAGCTTCTTTATCCCCTCCATCTCAGCACCTCTCCATTACACTCTACCTACAATCGTCTAATTTCACAAATTCATCAACTAAAATATCATAAACATGATGTCTTATATTCCCAAGAACCGTATTCAGCTCAGAGAGCTTCAGGCTTCAAACCTGCATGATTTCCACAGAATTTGGTCCAACCCAAATGCCACTAAGTGGACGTAAGAACATTCACCATTCCCATCCCTATCTAGAATGATATAGTCTTTCAGGTTCTGATATAAATGTACAATACAGCACCTATGGCAATTGTTCTACTCTATCGCAGAGTCAAACATGGCTTGAGATTCTCCTATTGAAAAATCCATCCTCTCGCAACTACGGTGTCTTCTTGAAAGAATCGTCTCGTATGATTGGTATCGTTGGGTGCTTCCGCACCGACTCCGAAGTCGGATATATATTCGTGGAGGAATTCTGGGGCAGAGGTTATGCCAGTGAAGCTTTGGGAAAGTGGTTGGAGACGTACGGTGGGGATGGTGTCATCGGTGCCAAGGTGAAAGCAGGAAATGGGGCAAGCGTCAAGGTGTTGGGAAAGTGTGGCTTCGTACCTGTGGAAAGTACTGAAGGGGAGAATTTGCTGGCGTTCGAGAGGAAGGCTGTTAAGGCTTGAGTGATATTTTAGGTTTCACATAGAGTGAATCATGAATGGTCACTCGGGAGTTCTTTTCTTTTAAATAAACAAAAGTAATAAGTGCATGGGAAAAAAGGTTTACGGTTTTTTCAAACGAATTGAATTTAGCTTTTAATTCTAAAAGGGAATAAGTTCTTAATTAATTGTAGAGTTGCAATTACAGTTTAATAGAAAGTGAAGATTACGTCAAACCAATGATCGATTAGTAGGATTAGTATTGCCTTGAATATGGTATATCTGACTGCATGATATCGGAGACAGGGCTGAGATCTACAGTTGCAGATATTGGAACAATCACAGAAGTTATTATCCTACCAGCTCGGGTCGCATTCTCCAACACGTATTAGTACTAGTCAGCCTTCTCTGCACGGTAATTAATACATGGTACGAAACCTAATAATGACGCCAAGCCATTCTCTTTTAGGGCAGGCCTAATGGATCTATAATTGAATCCGTCATTGTACTTTATTCGAAATCCCATATAGGCTCAACAGAAACACCCAACCATAACAATTTTCCGTTCATCAACATCATGTTTCTCTACCTCACAAATCCAACAGGAACTAAAATCTCACGAAGTTTTGAATGTATATTCTCATTCACTTCCTACATGTATGCTACAACTTTAATCCCCATAGAACCACCTTTGAAAGTTTTAGAATCATAAATTATGATTCATCAAATACACATACTGTGGGCTTAATTGTTAGATTTTGGAGTAAACGCAAAGTCACTTTATAAATATGATACAGGATTTTTCTTCCGCACTAGAAGACTTATTCTCACCCTAATGCAAATGTACAAGATCCTTTACTATGTTTACTTCCTTTACCACCTGTAATACTGCGTTTGGCCGTAGATAGCCCTACTCGGGAGCTGTACCCACGGTTTCTTTCGCATATATTTCTCCTCCTTCTCCTTCATGATCCGGATTCTCGTTTTCTCTTCTTTCAGGACAACCGTAAGACCTATTCAAAACAAAAACAAAAGCATCTCATTAGTGCGCAATCACACGACCAAGACTTAGAAACACCTCTCATTTTGGGGGTTGACTAACTGGTATACGGCAGCCTCAGCCTATCGATCCGTCCCTTCGCCCTATGACTCGACGCGAATTCAAAAGGCCCCCTCCCAACCCACGCCTGCTCAATATATGTCTGCCCAGGGTCCATACGCCTGTGGAGAATAGCCTCGTTCTTTGCCTGCTTCAAGTGTCCCAGTACATCCCTGGCCGCCTTCTTCGGCGAGAACTTCATCTGCGTAATTGCATGGTCCAAACTCTTGCCAGCGATCTGCCTCGCAATAGGACCAAGCTTCTTCAGTGACGTCTTGAACATGTGTGACTTTGCCAGTAGCTCCTTCTCCGTCTGCATGATCTGCTCTTTCTTCGAAAGCCTTCCGCGGCGACGATGCTCGCGGGCGTCGGCGCGCTTCGGCCATGTCCACTTGTGACGCTCCGGGTCGATAATGAGCGGGTTGACAACTGGGAGGACGGGAAAGCCGCCTTCGGTCATTTCCTCCTGGTCAAAAAGGGTATTTCCTGCAAGATCTCCGCGTTGTAACTGCGCGTCGGCAATTGAAATTTCGGACTCCGGAGCTGCTGCTGGTGCTTTGCGCTCATCTTTGCTACCACCAAAACCGAACCAGCCACTGGATTTATGGCGCTGGAAGGTCAGAAGAGTAGGAATTGAGGTAGCGATGGGTCCGAGTGAGGGTCGGCCAGCCCACCGTAGTGCTACACGAGCGTTCATGGCGGGTATTGGGGGGGGGAGTGTTTGAACCAAATGATATTTCGAGGTTGAAATTGAAATTCGGTTTGTATCGCCAAGACTGTATGAAAGCCCCACTAATTGAAAAGAGTGGATGAGTGTGGGAGGAATTACCCTACCGAGGGTCTTTACTAGCTAATTTATTAGGGTGTAATAAAAAATAAATCCTCCATATTCAATCCTCCGCTGGTGAAAATCAGGTCCACCGACTAATTAAATGCCGGCCTCAGCTACAGAAAAGAAGCCAAAACAAAAGCAGAAGCCTCTAAAACAAAAGCCTACGGCTACAGAGACCCCCCAAACCGAACCTCCTACCACTGAAGATGCCCCACCGTCAGAGACGCCCGCAAAGCAATCATGGCAGTCGCTCAAGCCTCAACTGTCACCCTGGGTCCTCGACGCTGTGAATAGCATGGGGTTTTCAAAAATGACACCAGTACAGGCCTCGACTATTCCGCTATTCATGGGTAATAAGGACGTTGTCGTCGAAGCCGTCACCGGGAGTGGTAAAACACTCGCATTTCTAATCCCCATTGTAGAGCGCCTTCTACGCGGAGAACCCCAAAAGAAGAATCACGTTGGTGCAATTGTTGTTTCGCCCACTCGGGAATTGGCAACTCAAATACACTCGGTTTTGAAGTCACTATTAGCCTTCCATGCGCCCTCAGCTTCGAAGGAGGGTGCCGAGGCCGACCCTTCGGCGACGAGGATTACACCACTTCTATTACTAGGTGGAACTACACCCCCGGCGCAAGACCTTAAAACTTTTCTGCAGCAGTCGCCGAACTTTCTCATTGGAACTCCGGGACGCCTTAATGAGCTACTAGCATCACAGCATGTTTTGTGCACTACCGACTCTTTTGAGACATTAGTTCTGGACGAGGCAGATCGTCTTCTTGATCTGGGTTTTAAAGAAACCCTCACAAAAATCATTTCTCGTCTGCCTAAGCAGCGAAGAACAGGGCTATTCAGTGCATCTGTCAGTGACGCAGTCGTCGGCAGTCTTGTTAGAACCGGACTCCGAAACCCGGTCAAGATCGCTGTTAAAGTACATACTGCGAAGAAGGAAAAACGAACACCAGCAAGTTTAGCAATGACATATATCCTAGCAACCCCTAGACAGAGGCTGGTCCACATCCAGCGCATTCTCTCCCCCACATCAGGCCTATTCCCGGTTACGAATCTGCCTCAGAAAACGATAATATACCTCTCCAATTGCGTCTCCGTCGACTACTTCGCCTCACTCTTCCCTGCTATTCTTCCGGGACCAAAGAGTAAATCGGGAGGCTATACTATTGTTCCTCTACATGGAAAGCAATCACCAAAGATCCGCCAAACTAACTTTGCGCAATTTACCTCCTCGGCCTCGCCATCAATTCTACTGACTACAGACCTTGCAGCTCGTGGGCTTGATATCCCCGAAGTCGACCTTGTCATTCAGATTGATCCCCCCACAGATCCTAAAGTCTTCCTTCACCGTTGCGGCCGTGCCGGTCGTGCCGGCCGTAAGGGTCTTGCAGTCATCTTCCTCTCCCGGGGCCGTGAAGAGGGCTACATCGACTTTCTAGAAGTGCGGAAGACCCCTGTTGTGCCACTCGCGCTTATCCAAGACTCATATGACGCCGAAAATCCAACTGAAGAAGAGACTGCAGAAGTAGTGCAGAAGATGAGGGCTGTGGTGCTGCGAGATAGGGCGCTCCATGAGAAGGGCATGAAAGCGTTTGTGTCGCATGTTAGAGCACATAGTAAACACCAGACTGCGAGTATATTCAGGGTGAAGGACATTGAGTGGAAAGACTTGGCGGAGGCTTTTGCGTTGTTAAGGATGCCGAAAATGCCGGAGTTGAGAGCTGAAGGCGTGGAGAAGGTTGTATTGGGCGTGGAAGTTGATGTAGGTCCTCTTAGACTTGTTTTCTTGAATCAGCGGCTAATAGTGTTTAGATGTCGACTTTTGCGTACCGCGATAAAGTCAAGGAGAAGGCACGGCTTGAAGCACTCGCAGTCGCCGCGGAAACTGGTGCCCCGGAATACTCAAAGGTACACCAGAGCGACAAGGACAAGAAACGGAAGAGGACTGAGGCATGGTCTGAGAAGACGGATGCGGCAGACGTAAGGGAAGCTCGAAGAGAGAAGAGAGGTAAGAAGAGAGAGGCGGAACGCCAGAATAAGATGGCGCCTGAAGAAAAACAAAAAGAAGCGGAGTGGAAAGAGTTGGTTGAGGAAGTCAAGAGGAGAAGAAAAGAGAGCGAGAAAGAAGGAGATGCGGAGTTTGAAGGTCTGGAATAAAGGAGGTTGTTTGGCCTTTAATGATATATAAAAGTTTGGCGTTTTCTTTCAATGGGATGTGTATAATAACTTTTTTAAGATATCACAGTTTCTTATGAGCTGCTTTCGTTGATCACATATTCATTTCTGTGCCAGTAAGTTGAATGAAATGGTCATAGATATGAGTGCACTGCGGTGTAAGGCCGCCGCCATATCAAAAACCCTCAATTAGTACTATAGTTTGTTTTATATATATTATTGCTGAGTACTGCTGCATGCGCCCATTGATAGGGATGGGGTCCCTCCGGCCCCTATCAACCACGCACAGTATATATGTTGTTTTCCTAGCCATGCAAGTCTACGGTAGCACAAACCCATAGGTCTTCACCTAAATATTCTCTATTGGATTAATTCGGCCTGACTCTACTGAATCATCCACACCCAGAGACTTTCCCTCCTCCGTAAAAATACCATTTCTCCAAGAGAATAAATCTGGATAGATGTTTCTTTACGCTTTAAATGACAGCGCACAGCCTTGCTGGTTAGCTAATTGCTAATCAGGCGACATTTTTTTCGTGGTCTTGGCGATAAATAACCGCGAGTGATACCTTGTGATTCATACCTGAATCGTTTTTTTTTTTTTTTTTTAATTCATTAATTGTATCATACCTCAGCTGTACAATTATAAAAACTCGCCCATTTCTGTTTTTTTTTAGAGCTACGGTGGAATGTGAATTGGGTAAACTGAGTGACATCTACTGCGAGCGGGGAATCTCCCACCCACCCTCAGGGTTGACGAACGGCATTCCCTCGGCAACACGGTTAGACATGATTTAAAACATGAGATATCACTCGCGTCCAAGCCTCACTATTTGGTACTCTAAAAAGGATAAAATATACGGATACCCTGATCCTCTACCTCGCTCGTCTACTAATTTTACTGCAATTATATCCTACCCTAGTCGCCTCATCTACCTATATATAATTGAACGGCATTTCTCTAGGCTCTAATCTTACGATATACACCCTTCACATTAAGTGTATGTAAGTATATACATATGTATGTAGTGAACAATTGCCCTGCGCTAGCCTACACTAATCCTCCATACATACTGTGGCATTAATTCAACAGTTGTAGGTCTAGTATTCATCACTATCCTGTTGTTGTTAAGCATGCCTCCCTTCTCCTTTTTCGTTTTTTCAGAAACTCTACTTGTCTTTCTTAACCTTTCGGACTTAGACTTTTTCTGTCCTTTGAAGCACTGACTGGTTGATCCTGTTTAGCCTTCAAACTTGGGATTGGTAGGAAAACTATTGGATATATACAATGCCACTTATATTCGAGCAACCATGAGGCAAGCCAGGAGCAAGTAAATACCACAACTCTTACTACTGAAAACGTAGTAAGCCAACCTGTAAAGCTTACCCGCGTTTTACGCATTAATCTGGGGAAGGCTTGTCAAGAAATTATGGTTACACAATGACGTAAATTGGTTCTCTTATTGAAGGGGATACAGATTGGCGTTTAAAACTCAATCCAATGGCTCGACTCAATATTCCATCTTAATAAGAGATGTATGTAGCAAGAGAAATCTAATCCAAGAAAGGCGCCTCTCAAAACTCTGTGCTTTAGGCATGAAGACCTAAACTCTCAAGATCTAGATAATGGGTACCATAGCTTGCCTGGCGAGATCGAATAAAATGACTTATATACTCGATCATCAAGAATAGCCACTCTCGGGCCTACACCCGTGTATTCTTCATTACCTGTGTTCGCCCAGGAAATTCGTTTCCGCTCCCGTGGAAATCCAGTTAAAGAAAATGGCCAGTAATGAGGCCAGCGAAAAAGGAAATAAAGGACCAAAAAAATCGAAATTCCCCACCATATTGACAAAGAACCCTCGGTAGATAGCTAGCAGAAATATCCACCCCATACCCAATATCAAGCCATCCAGACTATTAATGCCACCATTTCCACGTTCGTGAGAACTGATATGATATTTAATGTGGTGGTCATTTCATGGATATAAGAAAAGATGCGAGAAAAAGGTAAATTATGGGGGATAAAGATGTCTTTGCCTTACCCCCGCATCACAGTTTCCATAAACCCCTTCCAGTTCCGATTGTCATCTACCGTCGGCACTCTCCGTCTCCATCCCTTCCGTTGCGATATACTCCAGTAAGAAAGGCACCACCCCACCTGCGTATCTCTGCCATCCATCGGATCCCATATGCTGATCGAATGTATGGCCAAGGCCATTCGCAATGACCATTTCACTTCTTACGCCAGCTTCCCTTAGCATGCGGTCACACTCAGTTGTCTCGCTAACTGGAACTGCCCTATCCTGGTTGCCATGGATTAAATATGACGGCGGAAAGGTGTTGGAAATGTGAAGTTGGGGAAATAAACAGTTCGCTTCAGGTGGAATTGCATCCACAATACGTTCCCAATCGTAGCTTTCATCGTTTACTGGGACCCCGGATCTGATTGCAGCCGTACGAAGGCGCTGCCCAAGTCCTTCAACGCCTGTGAGGAAGTCTAGGTATCTTCCTGATTTGAGCAATGTTACGTAGAGGGTTAAGAGTCGGTCGGCGTATCCAGGAATAGAGCGTGTGGTGTCATCAAAGCCCATTGGACAGTCGGCGATCGGCGCGACAGTATCTCTAGCTTCGAGACCACCGGGGGACATAAAGCGGGCGTTTGTTCCGATATCCAAGTCACCTTGTGCGGCATCAGGAGTTCTCAGATAGAACGGGTCTAGTAAATTCCCTCCAGTGCCATAGAGAGAGAAGAAACATTTTGGCTTGGGATTTGCGTAGAGTGCAGCGAGGCGTGCAGGGTATGCACCTGCACTTGCTCCAGCAACAGCAAGATGATCGGGAGAAATATGGAAGTTGAAAGGGTCGCCGGGATAACTGGAAGATGATAGAGCAGGGTTGAGTTGCTCCCCTATGAAGGCAAAAAGAGTTCTAACGTCGACAAGGATATCATGCGCTGTGCATGGAAAGAGAAGACGGTAATCGGCTGAGATGAAGGCTATTCCCTGGGCGAGAACATCGGCTGGGGAGAGAGGGGCAGGTGATTGTGTCAACCAACCAATAAACTTTCCAAAAATGCAGCAGTAGTAGTGGTAGTAGGTAGGAGGTGTAGTGATAGCATTCTGGTAGTAGTAGAAGGTATGCTGCAGCGGTAGCGTAGCATGAGTGGTGGTAGGAGGTACATGTAGTGCTAGCAGTGGTAGGAGCAACTGTAGAAGCTACCGGAGAAACAACGGCCGGCCTACCAAGAACTACCACCATACCACCGCTCGAACAAAAAGAACATATTGAACATACCCTTGAAATCCCTTGGGAAAAACTCTCGATTCCCGGCAGTTAAGCCACCCCCATGAAAGAATACAACAGCAGGTATGCGTACAGGACCAGCAGGGGCAGAGTTCGTAGATTGTCCCTCTATCATCTGGTTTACTCTCTTCATCAGAAGAGCGATGGTCTTCTTGGCCGCACCCGTTCTGCCATGACTACTTGTAGGCTCTCCGACACTCGGGAATGTGAGGTCGAATTTGATATTGATGCCGTTGATGCGTGAGTAGACAAATGTGCGGTTCATAATGCGGGGGTGGGGGAGGGAAAGAGTTGTTACAGCCGTATATCTGAGCTAGATAGGATGGTGGGGCTGGCTGGCTGGCTGCTTGCTGCTGTTGGGCTGCTGGCTGCTTGCTGCAACCTAAGTGAGGGCTCGACTGTGGCAGTTCTATGAATGGTGAAGACGATAAGCGCCCAGATCCCGCAGAGCCGCATGGAGGGTGTTTTGTCAGCCGAATCGAGGTGCTGTTCAGCCACACTCGTCTCTGCTGGTGTCAACTGAGACGTGCCCCTATGAAGCTAGATGCATGTATGAATCGTTGTTTCACTATTCACTAGCCACAATAAACCCTTTTGATGCAGTCACAAGCCACAATGCATGTTTTTCTCTAGCCACTCAATACTAGTACCTTGTCTCTTGGCACCATACCCGCAATTTTCATCTGCGACTCCAAACCTTTGACAAGAGCCTCTCGTTCCAACGTTAACGTCAACCTCAATTCCCTCCAACAGAACCCACTAGTCAGCTTCACCTACCTCCCTCGACCCTAGTACCAATTTTTCAAAATGAGCAGAGGAGGATTCCGTGGCGGTAGAGGAGGCGGTGACAGAGGTGGTCGCGGTGGTTCTTTCGGTGGTGGTGGTTTCAGAGGTGAATAAAGGCTTTTTTCTCTCTCTAGTTTGAACCTCACCCTGGAAAACAATGCTGATAGAAAATTGTAGGTGGCCGTACTGGATTCCAGGCACCTACTGGCCCTCCCGATACAGTCCTAGGTTTGTGCTCCAACCTTAACCCACCCCGCAGTTGGTGTTTTTGTGGCTAATTGGTCATGAAATAGAAATGGGAAAGTTCATGCACGCTTGTGAAGGGGAAATTGTATGCCAGTCAATCAACACCAAGATCCCCTACTTCAATGCGCCAATTTACCTCGAGAACAAGGTATTATTTTCTTGAAATTAGTTTACTATCTTTTTTCTTCAACAATATTGACAATTAGGAATTTGATTTCTATAGTCTGTTATTGGTAAAGTCGATGAGATCCTCGGCCCTATGAACCAGGTTTATTTCACTATCAAACCGCAAGATGGCATCGTCGCTACTTCTTTCAAAGAGGGCGACAAATTCTACATTGGCGGCGACAAGTTATTGCCTTTGGACAGGTCAGCACCCGCCCATTTGTTCTCCCACTATGCGAGCTAATAAGCTTGTTAGATTCCTCCCTAAACCAAAAGCAGTCGGCCCCAGGGGCCCCAAGCCCGCTGGCGGACGCGGTGGCTCTCGAGGCGGCCGTGGAGCTCCCCGTGGTGGCCGTGGTGCACCTAGAGGCGGTAGCAGGGGCGGATTTACTCCTCGCGGTGGACGCGGTGGTTTCACCCCTCGTGGTGGCTCACGAGGTGGCTCTGGCGGATTCACTCCCAGAGGCGGATCTCGTGGTGGATTCACGCCCCGTGGAAGGGGTCGTGGATCTTACTAAGGGTTCAAATGGGCTACCGGAGGAATTTGGAAGGAGGTGTATGAGGGGACAAAAAATATTAGTGAGGCTGAGTTTTCATGCGGTTTCCTTTTTGTGAATTTTTCTGTACAATACGAAATAAAAATTAACTATCCTACCAGTTGCTATCATTGAAATGTCCATACTGAACTTATCCTATCGTTTATTAGAATAATATAGTTTCACCTTATTAAGTCTCACTTACTTTACGTAGCAATCAGCATATCAACAAACCCAGGGGATAGGTTCCATCAATTTTCGGCTTTCACATTATGTTATTATCCCTTTCATATCTATTGCGGTTGTGGAGTTAGTTATTATGTCACATTCCCATACAAAATCTGGTTGCAACGCAAGATCTTGTCACCTAGCAATCCCATCAGCTATTTAAAGCTACATACAAGAGTGATAAAATATCTTGCTATCCCCAAAACGCCAGCGAGACTCGGTCCCATCCATTGAGAAATCGATAATCTTCCGTGTTAGAGATTATGTTTCCACTGTAAAAGAGTGGGGAAAAAACAATAAAAAAAAAACAATGCCCAATCATCCAATGCATACGATCACCGAATAAAAAAAGAATAAAAAGAAAACCCCAGGCAACACCCGACTCCAACCATTGCATCCAGATCCCTCTCTTAATATATATTGTCCACTACCTCATGCTAGCTCCTCTTCTCCCACCAAACCTAACACTAGGCGGCACTAATTTCATGGCACTCATGGCGTTCGCAACGTCGAGCATATCTACTTCTTTTACCTCTTTTCCTTTCTCCATTGAGGGCTTTCCCTCCTCTTCCTCCTCTTTAATGCCCATTGGTCTTTTTCGCCTACTTGGATCTTTTTGTTTGGGGCTTGGGTTCTTACCACCTAGCTTCTGTGGTTTATTGGGGGTTGTTGGTGTGGCAGCTATAGTCGGACCAGTAGTTGAGGTTGTAGTAAGAGTATTTTTGGTGGTGGAACGAGTGAGAAGAGTTGTATGGTTATCGATACCCCATTGCACAATTCCCCAGTTATATTCCTGTAATCAATTCAATCAGTATCCAAGCGCCCACAACCCTATAATAAAACGAACCGAGTCGAAAACACACCTTAGGAAAATGGTGCTTATCGATAACGTGCCTCCTTCTCTTCTGCGGCGTTGAGCAAAACCGCTCACACCCCTCCACAAAGCACCCATACTGTCCACATCACCGAATCAGCTTCCTTCTAACTCATTTTCAAAACGTATAGGCATGAACAGCAACATACCCCCTTCTCACCCCTCTCTCTTCTCAATTCCTGCAACGGATCATGATGTTCCGCGATATGCAGCTCCAGAAACCTCCCGCTCGGAAAGTTTTTCCCACACTCTAAGCAGCGATTGGTATGCGCCTGTGCATAATGACTCTCAAACAGCTCATGGCTAGCAAATGCGGTTCCTGCTGCGCATGATGGCGGTAGGAAGCATGTTATTGCTGGGGCCGAGGTGACGGCATGACGGGAGTGTTTAGTGTCATGGGGATTTGTGGGAATAATGTCACCATCGGCATCTGGGGCCGAGGACGGCTCAAAGATAGTCCAGGTATTTGGGTCGGTAGAGGCGGCCGAGTCGGAGCGAAGACGTTTTTGTGACATCTTGAGTTCTCGAGGGTGGGGTAAATAAGTTAGTGGGGCAAGGGAAGTTTTTTGTATTATTTAGTGGGGGTAAGGAGGACATATGTAGTGTAATTTGGGGTTGGGTTGTCGTCCAATTAACTACAGGAATCATATGATAGTTTCTTACAAAGGGACAAGACACACATTTGCGCTGCCAACGCATCAAATTAGGGGCAGAAACCCTACTTATCTACCTCTCTCTTTTGAATTCCTACCCTCCCGATATTACTTTCCATGGCATAGCTATTAACCTGTGACCTGTCCGTCTTAGCCATTATCTAAAATACAATTGACACCCCCTATGCCTGGCGTGCGTCTCACGCCACATCTGATTTTGGTACAGAATACTTGCAAACGTAAAGTAAAGTAAAAGAGAAAAAGAAGAAGAAATCAACAATCCGCAATCCATAATAAGTCAAACCAAAACAAATCATCGTAACTTCATATCCCCTACAAAGCTTCCAGCTCTTCTCTCCTAGCCCTATAGATCTCCTGCGCCTCCCTCTGCCTCTTGTCCAAGAACGCAACCTCGGCTCTAATCGCATCTAGTCTCCTTGGGATCGCATCAGATTCACTAATCCGCAGAGTTCTAAACGACTCAAGGTCTTGTTTGGTTTCAGATATGGCTTGTGAGGCTTGAATGATCTTTTGTGTGAGGAGCTTAGAACGGGATTGGTAACCGCCGAGATGGAGACCTAGTTTCTTCTCAAGTTTATTACCTTGGATGGCATCTTTGGTGAGCTTGTCTTGCGCGGACTATAGCATTCAAAACATTAGTTACTCTGTTCGATGCGATAAGAGGTAAAGAGTTAACGTACGTCGAAGGCCTGCACAATCAACTGTACGCGATCCACACTATCTTTGCCATACTCCTCCAACCCTGGCAATATATTCCTTTGCGCTCCATGAACGTTCTGCCAAGCCTCCTCAAACTCACTACCAGCCTGCTTCGCAACCTCCTCTGGCAGCTCCATCAACACCTCCATTTTTGCTCGCTCTAAAAGATCATCTTCAAACTTCTCGAAACGCCCTGGTGACCCACTGACTTTCCCGCCCTTGATTGGATATTTTAATGCATCTGAGCCGATCAAGGTCGCCATCTCTCGTGATACCATGGCTCTAATTGCATCACTTTCGTTATGTGCCCGGTTGAGCAGAGCGTCGATGTCGATCGTTGATGGGCGAGGGAGTGATCGTTGGAGAACTTGGGCACGGCGTTTTTGCTCAGCCTCGAACTCTGCTTGGCGCTTTTCGCGCATGCGGCGGTCGATCTCTTCCTGGTCAATTACAACGGCGGGGCCGGCCTCCATGTCTGCATCTTCAGGCTCCTCAGGTTCCTCGAGCTCAATATCTTTTGGTTTGGGTAGGGACGCAAAACTACAATTAATTAGTCAGATAATATAAGAATTGAGCAGCTTCACATACCCAGACTTCAGCCGTTCCTTCAAAGACTGCTGCTGTAACTTCTGGTCCCTTGGTGTCATCGAGACCATAGCTCCCGTATAGGCTCCATTGTTTATAGCCAATGAATCTCTCGGCGTTCTTAAAGGCGTTTGCCCAATTTTCAGTGGCGTAGCTCCAACTCCTCCGCCCTGGTGGAACGGTGTTGCAAGAGGGTTGGGTGTAGAAACGACCATTTTTCTTGGGGCAATTCCATCAAAACCTGTTGTACCTGCTTCATGTAGTGGGGTATTTTCTCCCCCAAGAAGCGAGGATTGTGTTTCTGTCAGGGCGCGGATATTCTTGATCTCATTGGCAACACGGTCCTCCGTTGGAGGTGCTCGAGGAGTCCGAATTGGCTGTCCGGCATTGATACTAGTGTAGTTTCCTACCAAACCCTTTGTAGACTCATTCTCGCTCGCGCCTGCGATCTTGTTCGCATCCTCACCAGTCATTCCCATCTTGACAATTTCTTCCAGCTCTGCTTCTCCGACCTGTGGTGACGGCAACACAAGCTGTCTGCGCTTACTGAGCTGCTCTGCCTGCCTAATCTTCTGCAATTGCCCAGCCTTTGCTGCAGATGCAAATGCCGCCGCAGCGCCATTCTTGTCCTTATCACCTCCTTTTCTTCTTTTGCCCCGCTCAGCTTCCTCGTCTTGATCGCCTTTACGCTTTGTATGTGACAGTGCCTTTCGGGGATCGATATTTGCGCGCTGCCTCTCGTTTCTTGCCTCTTCTTCGCCAATGTCATAGAATCCCAACGCTGGTTGCTTCTCGAATGGGATGTCCGCATTATAGTCCATCTCACCTTTGCGGCGATGGGTGAGCTTGATATTAATACCAGCATGTTTGAGTTCTCGGCGCTTCTGAAGGACAGCCAGACGCCGTGAGTCCTCAAGTTGCCGCTCACGAGCTTTACGTTTCGCCTTTTTACCCTGTGTGTTAGCGAGACGAGCACGTGCCTCACTCAACATCTCCTTTTCGTCCTCGTCCATGTCCACAGCATCTACAAACCACCATCATCAGTACATAAAACAAAGATAAAGCTTGACAGTAAAAAGAAGCCCATACCAGGTCTCGCAGGCTTCGTCTCGGGGTCAGGGTCAGTCTCCCCCGGTCTAAACCTCCTAATATCATCTGCACTCGGCGCGCTCGCCTCTCCACCTTCTGGCCCCGCCAGTCCTAACTCTGTGCTCTCCCTAGCTTCCGCCTCGTCCAAAAGCTTCTGATACCTATCCAAGCACTGGGTCGCTGTCCTTCCCACAATTGGAGCGATAGTCCTCCATTGTGTCGGCATGAGCTTCGCCAAATGAAGAAGCTTCTCATCCTCATCGCGGGACCATTCCACCTTGCGGATGCTCGGGTCGAGCCATTCTGCCCAACGAGCTTTGCATTGTTTGGCGGATTTCCGCGCGAGCAGCGAGGAGACGCGTTGCCATTGGTTTAGACCGTATTTAGAGACGGAGGCTTTGAGGATCTCGTCTTCGACATTAGTCCAAACGCCGCCCTTAACAACGGGCATGATTCTGATGATAGTATTTTATAATATGGGTTGGTGAATGTGTTGAAAGTGGTGCGCCGGTGGTAGGTGGGTTAGGAATTGTTTGCCTGGGGGTGTTCGTGAATAGGAAACGAGGCTCTTCCGTAAATGTCTCGAAATCTATAAAAGCATTACCCGGATGTTCTTGGCACGAACATAACTCTGAACACGTCTGTATCGAATGGCACAAATCAAACGCATTTGTTTTGTAGTTTATTAAAGTAAAGAATTAAATTTATAAATACTATCCATAGATAAGAATCGAAAACACTTGTTGTTATTAGTGAGAATTATAGATGCAGCTATGGGGCGGTAAATGTGTCAAAAGTAATTTTACCAACGGTAGTAAATTATTTTACCACCAGTGGTGAAAATAATACCAGTACATGTATTTATACCCTATAATGCTAATTTTTATGATAAAAGCACAGACCTTTTGGCCAAAAGGGGCCTTATAATGCCAATATATATGAAAATTGTCCACCGGTGGGGAATCTCACCATCGGTGGGAAATTTTCATAAGTTTTGGCATTAATGATTGAACATTTACTTATTTAGTATAGCGCAGCATAAAGACCGAAACAGTGTTTATACCGGTGGAAATGTACTAATGTAGGATAGCGTGCAGATACAATGACTGAAATTCAGTGCTTATACCACCGGTGGTAAATAATTTACTACCGTTGGTAAAATTACTTTTGACACATTTACCGCTCCATACAGCTACACTCAACGTATGGTGCGCCCGCTCTTAAAGGTAACCGAAAAATGAGGCAAAGTCGATTGCCTAAGGCTTTTCAACAAAAAAAGTTAAAAAAAATCGGGTCTTACAGATTGTAGTACTAGTGATAAACTTTAACTTGTATGACCAGATTTTTGATATCTATTCTAGTTGTGAAGCCTTAGGAGTTTGAAATTCCGCATTTTTGTGTGTAAAAAGCGCCAAGACTAAGCAAGTGGAACAGTATTATACCCATTTATACCCCCCAAAAGCGAATTGTGGCAGGAATAAAGCAGGAATGCTAGAAATAGGCCTTCTGATTGGCCTAAAACTCACCTTGCAGCCACAATTGTTCCACTTCCAAATCCTGCCGTGTCACCTTTAAGAGTGTGCGCACCATATGTGTTTGATCATAAGCTATCACTCGATCAAAGAAATGGTACCACTTGTTTTTTGTTGTAGACGTAGTACATGTAGTTGTTTAGGGCGTGACTGTGAAACTTAAACCCCATGTTTATTAACCACGTTCGTAATCACTTGCTAGATCCCAGCGCCCACTGGTACATATTGTACCTACAGGTATCAAACACTACGCTCCGCCTGAAGAAGTCCCTGGTACACATCTCCAGATCCAATTGAGCCTTACGACTCTAACATCAAGCTTCAACGGCTGACTCTCGTCAATAAACTCAGCAGCTATCGTCACCAAAAGGGAAATTAATATCTTAGTAACAATATCGTCGCCGATTTCTGGCCATGGTGCACACCCACCTGCAGCTGACCATTATTTACAACTAACCCGCGAGCGATCGATGACTTATTACTATACTAATACACCCTTAGTTATAATAGAGAATTAATATAGGTACTAAGTAACTCGAGTACACATCATCACAAGTGCCAATTGGCGTTGGGGGTGGGGGTTAGTACCGCCAGTGAAACGAGAGTAGTTCCAATTAATTGGGATGTGGATGGATATATGACTACTAAATATGTACCCACTACCAAACTAGGTGGAGCTTCTGGCCGAGATAGTTTAAGAATATTATGGCCTAAGAATTGGGGTGGACACGACATTAAGGGTAACTGCTTACGCGTAGGGCATCAGTAATATATACAGTGCTGGAAGCCCAACTGAGCCGGCTAAAACCATTTTTACGGTGGTTCTAAATAAGCCGTCAGTAAACTGACACGGGAAAATATTACAAAGAAGCTAAAGAACTCCAGAGCCCTGCGAAAGTACATGTAGCACTTCAAGTTCAACAAAACAGCTGACTAAAGACCAGGAGAGATAGGAAGTGATTCAAGGGGTAACGACTACACATCCTCAATCCTTATTTTTAGCTCGAGATTCAAAAGAGATATTGGAGAAACATCAACCCTAGGTAGCTTCTTGTGGTATAAACGAGCAAATCACTCTCATTCTTCACCATCCATCTTCATGTTCTCTATCATCCCCGATCTACCTACATAGCTCGCCCAATTGGCCAACCGCATGGCTTCAAATGTGAAAATATCTTGGTAAAGCCTAAGAATCCAAACTGAAGGAGAGGGAGAACATAATTCAAGGCCGGAGCCTCGTATAAGTCAAGGTATATAGATGTGTGAACCGGGAGGCGTGAAGTGGGAATTATTATCCTAAATAACCATTGATCCGTTGTATTCATATATACGATCCAGTGGCCATGCACTAGAGATTCTTAGTCGATAGGGAAAAGGTAAGTAGGAAGGAAAGGGCCTGGTCAAAGAATTTTTATGGGAAACGTATATATATAGTACGCTAATCGAGGGTTTCCAGTCAGATAAGAATTCAAAAGGTTGGTTTGGAGCGCAAGTATACTAAGTGCTATCATAGGGCATGTCCCCCTCTCTAAGTCCCCTGTCTTCTTGCTCTAAACCTTTTTGAATTAGGAATATGGCTCTTTCGTCGGTTTCTCTGTTCCCAAAAAATAGGACAGGAGCCGGGGAAGCTACGGCTAGAGCGATCGGTGGTGGGCTACTAGTGGGGTCTCGCTTACCATAGTACGCAGTCACTACTCTACGGCCTGACTTCAGTATCAACCAAGATTCCCACTAGTGATAGGCACGAGGCGAGACGAGACCAGACTTCCCCAAGTATCGTCTCCTCTTGTATTCTTTCGACGGAGCCTTGAAAGTCTCGAGACAATGGTCTAGACGTCTCGTCAAAGTCTCGAGACTTTTCGTCATGTGACCATGGGGCTGGGGAAACGCTGAAGTTATGCTATTCAATGCAAATAAAGGTCGGTTCTTCTTCATTTCTGTTTTCTCTTTTTTTGTTCTCGTTTTTGGGCTGGGGCTTGAACATTTGTTTAGGTGAGGAAAAGGTCTCGGGACTTATCTCGGGACCTCTGGACCTGGTCTTGTCTCGTCTCGTCTTGTCTCGTCTCGTCTCGTCTTGCTAAAAGTCTCGAGAATTCGTCTCGAGACAACTTGTCTCGTGTCCATTACTAATTTCCACCCCCGTGTTGTACAATTGTGTCGAGTGAACGTAGTCCATGATCCACCACCCCACCTCTCTGCAATTGTACATTGTTTTCTTTCTTTTTTTCAATTTGTTATAGCAAGGGTTTGTAGTTATATAACGGATGGAAAACTGTATTTCGCAGCCCCTAAATTATAAGCTACATGTACATTGTACATATACTTTATAGGTAAGTAGTGACCAAAAAAAATCAAGACCCTCGCATTACAAGTAATTGACGTCATGACAGTGTTGAAAACGAAAATTGTAGAATCTTTCTTTTTTCTTTTTCTTTTTTTTTTTTTTTTTTTTTTTTTGGAATGAAAGGATATGTACAGTCCTATAGTGAACCACCGGGGAAAAAACTTATTTCAAAGCCGAGAGTGAACAACAGAGGCGCTTGGTGGTAGTGGTATACGGCCTCCCTTAAGTATTACTTCCCGACCTCAGTCAATTGTGTGGGAGTCTATACTGGCATTACGTGTAATAAATGGCACTAACTCCCCTGGAGAGCGTATTCTTCAGCAAGACTTTTTGTAAATTTTATTGACATTTTTTTCTGAGGCTTATTGGCCCTTAATCTCGCGGGCCGGTGTTAGCTCGCATGGGGCGATTGGTATTGGTTGCCTCGGGGGATTCGGATCTCTAGAATGTAGGGTGTCTGCCTCGGCTTGGCTGAATTTGAGTAATATTATGTCTGAGTTTGTGCCCCCCCTTGCAATTGCAGCTGCTAGCATTAACCTCAACACTGGTACTTCTAGGGCTCGAGATGCTCTGACATATGCAAGCGACCCCTATTCCAAACTAGAATATCAATATAAACATCGAAGTAAGTACGTAGAAATGGAAAGAAAGTTGGGTTCCGAACCAAAATAGACTGTTCATGACACATAAGGTGCTAGAATGCAGCCACTTTGACTCCCAACCACAATGGCGTGTGAAGTCTCTAGATCTTCAAGAGGGCGTAGATGTTGGAAAAAAGAGAAATAGTGGAAAATGCGATTATTGAGCTTTTTTTCGGCACGTGTAGGCGTAATCAATCTTGGAGAATCCCTAGGTGAACCAAAGAAGATAGACACATACGTGCGTGCGTGGGTAAGTGTCAATGATCAAATTACCAGATTTTGTGGAATTAGCAACTACTTACTCATGATACAGGTGTTCATGCATGGCTCTTATATATTCGTGGGTTTAACAAAATTTGATTTGAGTATTTGATATTGTCGTGAGAGATGAGGCTGTAGCTAACCCTGCGAGAATGGCACCTAACCCTAATGTCAATGATATTTTGACAAGTAATACGCCAAGCGTGAAACCTAACCCTGGCTTCTTTTGTCATGAAGTACAACCCCCAATTCCGATAACAGAGCTCCTAAATCATCTCTTAAGCCATAAGCTGGCGTCAAGTGCCATCTCCTTGCTTTGTACGCTAGTCATGATATCGCGAATGGTGAGATCGAAGGTTTTGGTACAGATATTCGCCCTGTGTCCGGCATCTAGCTAGTGGTGCGGGATGTATGTTAGCTACACATGCCATACACTGCTAGGAAATGTTATTGTAACACAGCCTGACCGCTGAAGGGATAATTCTACTTTCCAGGAGATATCCAATGGCTAGGCGTTGCAGCTTTCCATACATCTTCTTACTCGCGTTCCAAGAGCAGGTATGATGTAATAATGAATCGCTTATATGCACCACGCTTTGCTCAATCTGGCTCTCGAATCAAATTTTCAAGCTATTAATATCGATATGTGATCATAAATAGTCCGTCCGTAATAATGCAGCCATATCTAAGCATGATGATCGGCATCAAACTAGTATCATGTACTACTAGGTTTCTATCATTTTTGTACACAACTACGTACGTTCTTCCTACTGATAATCTTCCACTAAATACATATACCTACATGTACATATATACATACATCATGCGTATACTCGGTATCTATGTAGATATATCTAGATATATTCAATAAGAAAAGAATTTCAGAACGTTTGTTCGTCATTGTGAACGCACGAGCTTTCAACAGTAAATCAATCGCGGCAGTCATGACATTCACAGTATTCAGAAATAACCACCCCCATGGGATTTCTTACACGTTAGCCTTACCTATTATTTACAACCGATATAAGGATATAGCTGTGTTTACACAATTGCGTAGTTATTGTTATTGCAGGCTAGCCGCCGTCATGAAAACTTTCATCTTGAGGGCTGTAATCGGTAACTGCACCGTGGTGACCGAACACTTTGCATGTACCGGCTGCGTAAACATGACTGCCTCACACTCGCTCTGCCTTCACCTTGAAGCAATTTGTCCTGATACTCAATGGTATACGTGGTGGGCCCAAATGAATATAAATACAAGAACCCCGGGACCCCGGCCTTCGAACTTCTCTTCTCCTCGACACAGGCAAACAGAACCTGTTCCCTCGACCGGTTTTCAATAGAAGCTTTTCTTTTAAATCCTTTTTGACAACCTTCGTACCAACAACCTCTTAAGCATAGCAGAATGCTTTTCACCAAACTCTGCAGCTTCTTCCTCCTCGGTCTTGCTTGTGCGCAAGACCTAATCCAGTCCCCTCCCCAGGCCCCCACTCACGAGATCTCCTCATACGCTCGTGACAATGTTGAGATTTGCAAGTCTCGTCCCTTCGCGCCAACCCAGCTAAACTACCGCCGCAGTGGTAGCGACGTCTGGCTCAGGGAATACACCCTTGAGAATCGAGACCGTGAGTACTTCAAGCACCACGGTCTAGCAGCTACGATCGCCTATGACTTTCTCGGCGACACAAACTTCAAGTGCGCAATTGGTGCCCAAAGCTCTTGCACCGTGCATTGTCTCAATGCGGTAGGGCACATTGAAGATCTCGAACTCGCCCGACGAGTTTACTTTGTCCTGGCCTCGACCGGCCATTTTGTGGTGTCGCTGGATATAATCCACAACGCGATGCAAGCCGCGCAGAGCAATGTCGGGCTCATGGCCGGTCGTATGTCGTACGTCTTTTTCTGGTTCCAGCACAGCGCCGATGAGCTTCAGCGCATCGCCGCATTCAACCAGCTCTCTGAGATTTCTCTGTGGGCCGCCCAGTCCGCGCTTAATGCGGTTATGCCCTTGATCCCTTGGGGCAGCATGAAGGACTGGGTCTTTACCAAAATCTCGGAGAAGCAAGGACGCCCCATCTCGAACGAGCCGGGGCTTGTTGATATGTTCCCAGCACCTGCGGATGAAGAGATCTCGGAAATCCAGCTAACGAGATATACCGTCAATAACGGATATCTCCCCGATGCTCCGTACGCACTTCGTGTACCGCCCCGGTTTGGCGGCTCGCTGTGGTGGAATCCGGATGGTGTGTCATTGGCCAATTGGTGGTACAACAATGGCAAGTTGGACGGGAGACTCAACAAGCAGGAGTTCTACGGCAAGTGGGAGGAGAATGCGATGGCTCGCCATGACCCTGCAAAGGCAGCAGAGGTCGGCGATGTGGAATATCAGCATGGCTGGTTTCCTGACTTCAGTGCCCGCTGGAATGTCCATGGGTTCACAGAGGCTGCTTCGCATGCCTGGAATGACTTCAAGGATCTCTGTGCTGGCACCGCCTATGGATGGAGAAGATTCGTCCACGGTATCTGGCCCTCTGCAGAAGCCCAGAAGATCCAAGAGGAGGAACTCGATGGATATGGGCAGGTCGACGGACACACGGTCACCCGAAAGATCTGGGCCGAGAACCAGGACGAGAAACGGGATTGGATGGCCCGAGTAGCCGCCGGCGAAAACATCCTCGAGGACGAGCGCAGGCAACAGCCAGAAGGTAGACTCCAACCAGGTCAGCTCAGCTACATCACGTATCTCCGTACCAAGGACAAGCTTAATCCTCCTACCAAGCTTGGTGAAGGTGATCGGATCGCTAGCTGGGGTCCAACAACGGAGCGAGAGGCTCTGGGACGTTTCGAAGGCTGGGATTCATATGATGAGTACCGTCTTGAACAAATTGCAAAGACGTGGCCCATCCCGGACGAGCCCGAGAAGATCTGGATAAAAGAATCTTCAGATGAAACGAAGATCCCAAACCGGACCTTGGGATTCTACCAACTGGCACAGCGCACTGCCGGTGTTGGCCGCATCCTGTTTCCGATGGTCACTCAGGGTTTGGTCAAGACTATGGTCAACAGTTTCTTCTCCAAGTGGAAAGCGGATGATAAGCCGAGAGAGATCAACGAGATGGGAATGCAATGGTGGATCCAAGAGTCTGGTCGCATCTCCCGGATGGCACTCAAGGAAACCGTCAATCGGGTCATCAGATCCGAGAGTATCAAAGATGACGGTTCCTCTGAGTTGGCCGATCTCCTCGCGCTGGGCACATATCTTCCAGCAACTGACGGCGTTCTCGGTGCTTGGACTGCTTCCGATGTTGAGACGTGAGTTTTTCCAATTTACCTGTCTTTCGATCATTGACCTTACTAACCACCTTTACAGAACCTTGACGAAGAACATCTTCTACAAGACTCTCAACATGGCCATAACCTCCCAGAAGATGTTCATCTCCTGCACGAGTGAGTTTCGCAGATCCAAGGGTAGGAGCTCGATCCCTTTCACGTCCCCCAACCCCATCAAGGATTTCGAGGTCGTCAAAACCTGCGCCGAAGACACCACTGGACCGCAGCACAGTAAGGCATGCATCGACAATGTTGCAGTCTGCTACCTGTACCGCTGGAACGACCGTGGTATCATCATGACACACACCGTCGAAGATCCTTTCGGCTTCAATGATCTCGCTGCGGACCCATGGAACCTCAAGACGGCCGATATCATTACGAGCTCGTTCTGGTCGCATGTCATGGGCCTTAAGGATGTCCAGTTGGCGTCAAACCTGAGCATCCTGAATGATGGACCCACGGTTCAGCAGGCTGCAGACCCGCAGACCCCCGGCTTGTTCACTGTTCCCATTTGTCTGAGTTCTTACAACTGGAACTCCCCAACCACTAAAGACGGTCTCCTCGATGACCTCAATGTCAATGGCCCCCGCAAAGCGATTCCTTGCTATTGCGGTAATCTTGGGAAGGACACCAGCTCTGTATGGCAGGCTATGGGAATCACAGGGACTGCGGCGACCAAGGAGTACGCGAAGACGGTGTGTCCAGCCCAAATTGGTGTCAAGATGCATGATTGGCTCGAACGCTATGTGGCCTATTGTCGTCTTGGGATTCGGAAGGGTCCGTTGGGGACCGTGAAGACGGGCAAGGATGGGATGTGCGACCTTGTAATCCATGAGCTTGAGAGCAAACGGATTATCTCGACCACGGATCTAGAACCAGAGCAGAGCAATGCGTTCAAGTGCAAGATAAAGGGAAGCAACAAGAAAAAATGCAAACCTTACGCAAAGACTCCGATTTCCAGCGTGTGGGACGATACGATGGAAGCAGTAAGGGAGAGGAAGGAAAAGGAGCGGTCAAGTGCCTAGTACTTCAGGGAGCTATTAGGCAGGGGCGGGTGGGCGGCGCTGTTACTCAAGAAGACGAGAAATAGGAAGACAGCACAAGGGGAGGGTGGCAGACCAATTTGGATAAGGAAGACGCATCTGTTGTAGTTTTGTTACTTATATGTATATACCTATTTTTAATCTGTAATTTATTGCTAGCGGTTAATTTGAATTGAGTGTTTACAGAACGAGATTTAGATTCGTGATATCGTATGCATTTGTAGAAACACTGGGCTCATAAATGTTACCTCTACATTAGTGACTACATGTACAGTCACTACAAGAAGTCTTCGTGATGGCGCACACCACGCCCACCAAAAAAAGGTACAAAGCGACACACCAAAACACAAATATCTTTGAATAACTTCACAACCACAACAGATATTAAAATTCTGTTTGAGATGAGAGCAGGTATAGCCCTCAAGAGGCTCTACGTTTAAGCAAAAATTAACGGCTGCTATTGGTGTCGAGTTATTTAAATTTTGGTGTATTGCCTTTAGGATTGGGTGCACCTTATGTAGATAGTCACTTTGAACATAGTATAGGTTCACAATCACAGAATCTATTACTTTTGATTAGATAGAAAGTCTCTTGGATACTATATCTGCTCCTGTACCAAACATAATTTTAATATCTTTTGTGGTTGTGAAGTTATTCAAAGATATTTGTGTTTTGGTGTGTCACTTTGTACCCTTTTTTTGGTGGGCGTGGTGCGCGCCATCACGAAGACTTCTTGGTAGTGACTGTACATACATGCAACCCTAGCTAACCCTACCAAGCTAACCTCACTAAAGATGCCTGAGCTGGAGCTGTTGAATTATCTGTTATGATAAATAAATGTACAATTTATACATGTATCTGAGTCCTCGTCCTTGGGTCAGAAGACGCCACCATTGCGCATGCCGACATTATTTCGGATCGCCTGGTTCACAGTGTTGTAATTGTATATATAACATGTACATAATAAGAAAATCTATAAATTTGATTTTCGCTACCCAAATGAAAGTGCACCCAACAAATAATAGTGCAAATGGAACCCTAGTTAACTCTTAAAACGAATGACAAAATAGCAGAACAACTACTCCTCACTATGCAAAGAGCGATTTAAACGTCCTTCCGCTTCCTAAACAACATATTTACCCCTCGATCCGGAATGCACGAGACACCGAAGTGACCGTTCTGGGGCCTCTCTCCCGTCGGCGACTTGAACTCGTAGTTCATGATGATGGACGCCACCAGAATCTTCAGCTCGTTTGCTGCAAAGAATCGCCCTGGGCAGGCATGCCTTCCATGGCCAAATGACAAGTACTCTACCGATGTGCTGACCATTTGGTGCTTTGCCGCCTGGCCTTCCTCCTTTCGCAAACGCTCCCAGCGGAAACCGTCATATTGCATTTCCTCTTGTTTGTGGATGGCGGCGGCTGGAGCGCAGAGCCAAGTGCCTTTGGGAATGAAAGTGCCGTCAGAGAAGGTGTATGGGACCATGGCTTTGCGCATCATTGCAACTACGTTGTGTTAGTAAATATATATAAAATAATTAAAATCGGATATTTGAGGCCGTACTCGAAGTGACATTGTTCATGCGCTGGGATTCTTTAAGAGCACTATCAAGTTTCTTCATTTTTGTGAGTCCTTGTTTAGTCCAGCCACCTTCTTCGGCGATAACTGAGGCGATTTCATCCTTGAGGGGGTCGTGGAGGTCTGTGTGGACTGCCAGATCGTAGAGGGCTTGGGTGATAGAAATCGAAGTAGTGTGAATAGCCGCGAAGTTCAAGAATAGGATCCGGTTAACCAAAGACTCAGTATCAGTGTCAGCGCCAAGTGGTGCGCTGTCCAAAATCCATTGGATTGCATCATCCTATACTCGTGTTAGAAGCTGAGCTAGGCAGAAATCAGTAGCTGGACTTACTGGGCGATCAGTCCACTTGTCACCAAGCTCCTTCATCTTCTTTTTCCTCTCCTCAAACAATGGTCCAACAAACTTCATTAGTTTCTTAAGTTTCTTGGGCTTGTCCAAAATATACCACGAAACGAGACTAGCAGATAAATTAATACTTGGCGTCTCAAAATTCGAGATTGACATAGATATACTAACGGTTTGAGGATGCGAGGGGCCATGTCAATGATAATGCCACTCCTTGATGTTGTTGTAGCATATTCGACAAGGTTGTCCAGATATTCTTGGTTACGGCATAATGGCAAGCCAACGTACATACGGTTAATAGTTCTTGAAATAACTTTTAACATAATATCCCATACGTTGACCTCGGTCCATTCTGTAGAAATAAAAGAGTTAGAACAAAGACTCCTTCGTACTAGGCCTAGAGAGTAAATATATACGGACCATCTCCGATGTTTGTGTTTTCCTGCCAAGCTAGTGTCACTTCACTTATAATTTCCGGCAGAATACTGCTCAATCTTTGAGTTAGGTAGACTTGGATAACTTTGAGGTGATATGTTTCTGTACGAAAACTATGATCCATGGTGTAGTCGATGGAAATTCTCTAATTGCGCCGGAACTTCGTTTAGCAAACATATTTCACTAGGAACCTAGAGATTGGAAAGTATCACGTACATCCGCACCAGCGTCCCCAAAGGAAAGAACATGATCAGGTGCACTATTCATCTCCTGCAAATGCTTTGGGTCGGTTGGAAAGACGAGGTACCGGGGAATGCTAGCAATCTTGAAGAATTTCCCATCTTTACTGTATTTTTTGTATCCCTCCTTGATGAGAGCGTCGGCCTCTTTGGTATGTCGGAGGGCTGCTTTCCAGGGTCCTAAGATTCCTGGTGGAACTCCGACCGATTCGACATCGACCTGTGTCAACAGAACAGTCAGTACATGATAGTCATTTCGTTGATGCTGTCGTGGCACGTACGTAGACTGAGTAGTGATAATACACCCTATATGTAACCAAACCAACAAAAACCACAGCCGCAAGAGTAGTTTTGTCAATGGAAGAAAGTTCTTCAATCAGTTCCCTCAACGCCATCTCTCTAGAATTATGTATTTATGTGTGTGAGTGGCAAAGTAACAAAAGAAGAAAGCGCTAATGAGTGATCGATATTATCCCCTTCACATTTCCAGGACGTCGAATAGTTATATACCAGCGGCACTGGGGATATTTTCGCTCGGAAACCGCTCGGAACCCGTCCGGAAGCCGAGTCCTTCGATTCTCGGAGGTAGCTGTCAGTTTACAGTAGAGATCGACAATCCCTTCTTGGCACCGACATGAACTCAAAAGTCAAAGAAGGTATGCAGCGCACGATGCCGTTCTCCTTCTCCAGAGAAAACGGGTACCCTGTTCCGGGATTGCGGTAGACTGTAGACCTGGCTGGTATCATGGATAAATCCGCAACCTAATAGGGGGTGGTTCCATGTAGGTTAGCATTGTACCTGCTAGCAACATAGGAGCGAATCATCTTCTGGAACTGTTCCGACGCTAACCCAGCTACATCCAGGTGAAACATCACCGGGCTTAGTCACCACACAAAAGCAAGCAAGTGAAGACCAACGGTGAACATTAGTCAATTAGTAGATTCCTGTATGGCTACTAGTCTTGTCCCCGGAGCGGATCTGATCCGAAAGACTTTCCCGAGATGTTAGAGGTGATTCAATTGGATGGAACGTTGACGTCCTAAACATCGTGAAATTCACGTATGGCCTTTGAATCTACGTACATTATCTCGGATACCACCCTTACTAAATATATGTAGGTATCAAGGATGTATATAGATACCCCGACGATATCGATACTGATGTACCTACATAAATTAACTCCAGCTCCCAGCTCCCCTTTTTCTGGGGCCCCGTTCCCAAGAATCTATCTGAACCTACTAGACTTTTTTAAGTCTCTCGTGCATTAACTACCCAACCATCCCTTTCACATAGCCTGTGAGACGTTTTTGCCCGACGCATCAATTCAGGACGTTATCATGGGTAGTAATAAACTTTAACAACCTATAGGAGAAGCGTTAGTGGTGGCTAAAGAATGCTTCTAGGCATAGCGCCGGTGCGAAGCAGCTTATAAGTGAATTAACGATTGACATATTTATCGATACCTTTATCAATTAACACCAAACTCGTTTATCGCTTCCTGCACTCAAATGTCTGGCTGCCCCGCAAAATTATTTAGTATAGGACCATTTTCCTAAAATGTGGTCTGAGTCGGCTATGTGGTATCTATCATGTATGGGTTACGATATCTATCGATCTTATCCTAGGAATCGAAATTTTCATTTATTGATTTGCAGGCAATGGGGTCGTATCCCTGGCGGCCATCACTAACGTCGTCGTTGTTGTCGCGGCGCTTTATTAGAGGTAGGATAGAAGGATTTTTCAAACTAAAGTGGCGAGCAGAGTTAGATAACGCTTATTGCACCTACACTCACCCATCTACTTGCTGCGAGAATAGGTTTCCGCCACCACTTTTGTGTTGCAACCGCATTTTCACGTACAAATTTGGCGGAAACTTATTCTCGCCGCAAGTACTGTACCAGTATATATACAGCCTCCGGTAGAATTATTGCGGAAATGTGGCATTGGAGAATCGCTCTGTTCTCGGCGTGATCGTTGTCCCTGTTTTCCACTTTAATTCTACCGGAGGCTGTAACTTCAACTGGTCATACATTATCACTCGGCCTATACATACCTACTATACTGTGAAACCAAAAACCTTATTAAAGAACGATTAACGACCAAGATGCACAAAATTGTTATATCGGTTAATTTATTGTGTCTTTAAAGTCATCAGTGTTCAAAATCAGAGAAGCTGCAAATTCTACCATACACAAAGAAGGGGAGAATTAACTCGTCTACGAGGAAGTGGGATGAAGAAAAGTAGTAAATTGTGAAGAGAAGATAAACCATTGAGGCACGTGAGAGGTTTGAGTCAAGAAATTTACTTTTCGCAGTGTTTTTAGGTCATGTGCAAGTGTGTGTGCTACCTTACATTCTCGGAAGGTGTGTTGGTTACTTGTATCTCCCGAGTAGACCTTAGTTCAACCAATACTCATCCTTCTAGATCTGTCTAGAATTCATATGGTGAAACAAAATGCTCCTTCCAGATCCCCAACTTCTTTACTGGACAGATTAGTTATATTTTTCTTCATCCTCGTGCCAAAAAGCTGGCTAAATGGTTTCCCTTCTTATATAGTTTGTTCTGAATGCGCGGATACATACCTATACGTATACGTAGGAAGTACAAACACTACGGAAATTTACTTTCACTGGACGAGGCGAGGTTTTCAATAGAATCGTTCGTTACCAGCGATACGGTTTTCGGGAGAACTGCTATGTGCCTTTTCTATGTACAAACAAATTCCTCTATAGCTACAAGATTTGTGTATGTGTTTAAGTTTTAACTGATCACCGCATACTAATTTTCAGTCGAGATCTGCTAAAATTTGCCAGTTGGCATAAGTGCAAAACTTATATCGAAGAATGCTGCATGTAAAAAAGAAAAGAAAAAAGAAAGAAAGAAAGGGGAAAGGTGAGAGTCAGACGTGGAACTATAGTGATTGCGGACATGATAGAATTTGTGAAACATATATAAAGTCCTGAGATCCTTGAAAAGTAGCCAAAATCCTCTACCCTCCCACGCATGCTCAAGACCAACTTGTTTCGAAGGTAAAAATGTCCTCGGCACTCCCACCTATTTGATTGTCAGTTCTAATATTAATATATTGGCCTTAGATCTTCAACGTTTCTAGAATGTGCAATTTTATCCGACTTTTATATGATTGCGGTCATCGCCCGCCCCAATTCAACACAATTTGCTGGATTATCTGGGAACAATTGGAAGATACGAATCGACGCCAGCATGGCGATTATATATTTTCTGATTGTAAAATGGACCGTATAACGGAGGAAGTACGTATGGCTGGAATATGCAATGAGTGCATGCCAGCAACCAGTATATCAGTTAATTCAGTCAAGAAAGCGGAGCCACGATGACTGAAATGGAGTGTGCACGTGTGTAATAGGCTATATTTCATCATATTAATCTTTATGGCCATTGGTTATGTAGTTTAGATCGACTTCAGGGATCATACTCGTCTAGATTAGTGATAATCCGTATCCCCTACATATACATGTATACTAGCACTTCTTATTATATACAAGAAGTTGACTTTGAATTCAAAGTCGACACAGTCGTAAGTATTAGACTTACTGAGCACTTAATTCAAGGGAACCCATAGAATGCTTAATACGTAATGAGTATTAAGAATGATCAATATCTGCATTTCCCGAAGCTGCAGGGTAGAATTATTCAGTGCCTATTTATAGCTAGGCGAACGTGATGAATGGTAAGAGATTTCTCAAGAATCATAGAATTCGAGAATACAAGTCTTCTCGAGATTACCTCTTCTAGTATCCCCCCCTTGATAGGACAGCTCAAAACATCAAAAATGCGGTAGTTTTTTTTTTTTTTTTCTCTCATCCTGCAATGCTGCCCCTCTCATATTAATAATAAGTATACCTGAACGTACTTTCATCTCTTTTATAGGCTTCGATGTTATTCCAATAGTTTTGTAACCAAGGTTTCAATTTGGTAAACACCTTGGGCAAACAACAAAATGAACATCGCGTATACCCCTCAGTACAAAAACCCGGCAACTATGTCTGATAACGCAGTGAGGTCGACTTGGGTGGAGCGTTGCCCAAGAACGGCGACAGAAGTCCTGTAGAATAAGTGGTGAGTGGCCGCACCTCGAATAGTGGTGATTTGTATAGAAGCACATCTTGATAAGCTATAAGAGAGTAGAGCAAAAGGCGTTATGATAAGAAAGTCGAAATCAAGGCCAATGACTAAATCTTTATCATATCGACCTCATTTTGTGTTAGCGATTTTCACCTGCTATAAGAATTGATTCTCCTCGAAGAAATGTCTATCTACTAAAATAAAGGACGAAGAAATAGAAATCCACGATCGACTGATAGCATGTTGATCTATGATAAGTCACTTACATTACCTGGAGAAAAGCAACTCGACAACTTCAATGCAATTTCGGGATTAGATGTAGTCCTATGGACTTTGTGTGCAACGGTAACGACCTTGGAAACTTCGGATTTCGCTAGAACATAGAAGACAATGATCAACAGAGATGATGCAGCCAGAAAATATTTCCGATGCAGATGAGGATATAGCAACGGAAGAGATCCAAGTTGGCGAGCATGTGGTTCCGTTGAAGTAGGATGAATGTATGTATGAATGAATAAATATATCGATTACATACATGTATATATATACATGTAGTATACATGTACAAGTTGGCTTTTTTCATGTACTTTACACGTAACACCACCAAACACAATATGAATACATGTACGCAATAAATGCTCGCAAACAGAGGCTTATGTAAAGTTATTTAGCTGCGCTGGGGTTTAAATTTTGTGTTAATACATTAATTACGGACGAGGGGGTTGAAATTCCTTCAACAGGACCTAATACCTGCATGATCATGAATTAGGAGGATGATATATATCTTTAATTCTCACATGGCCATAAACAAACTAAACATGTAAGGGGAGGCCATCCAACTGATTCTCGAGGAGAAACAAACCGAACTGCCGGAATGCAACCTCCAATGAATGATCGGCAGGGAATATATATGCACCCAGCCATTCTGTGGGGGGGGTGACTTCCACGTCGGTGTAGCGAGCAAATATTCTCTCTCGGAATGTTTGACCACCCTTTATCTAACCACTCCTTTTCTTGTCAACATTGAGAAAGGTTGGGTAGCTAGCTATAGTGCGACGTATATAATTCATTATAGAACGATAACCTCGCGATCGATTATTATATCCTTATCCCACCCTGTTCCATGTTTCCCCATAGGTACTATCTAGTTATACTCGCAGTCCTTCAACTATTATGGACACCACTACTAGCTCACTTGGTTATGCAAGACCCGAAGCCATTCAGGATCGACGCAGAAGGTGGCCCAGACTTTTATAACGCACCACTGAAAGCCGATGGGAGTGACTACCCATGTAAAGGGTTCCACCTAACAGCGGGAATGGGTGCCCCAGTAAAGCAATGGTTTGCTGGGGAGATTGCAACATTTACGTATGTAGTATACTACTACTTTCAAATGCTCTAAATGCTCACCTGCAGAGTTCAGGATCGATATGAAGGGTGTGGCTGCACATAACGGCGGGAGTTGTCAAGTATCGATATCATACGATATTGGAAGAACGTTTAAAGTTTGGAAGTCATTCATTGGCAACTGCCCACGCGGAGCAGTTGAAAACGAACTTACGACCTCAAATCAGACATATGAGTTTCTTATCCCACAAGGAACACCGAGTGGAAATGCGATATTTGCGTGGTAATCCAAGTTCCCGGTCACATCACCAAACTCAGTCCGTACTAATTCTAGACGTACCAAATAGGACATGGTTTACAGTAACCGGTTTCCGAGAGATGTATATGAATTGTGCCCACGTCGAGATCATTAACGGCGGTGATGGCCTGCCAGGAGTATACCCTGCAATGTTTATCGGTGAGATCAACCAATGCATATCACAGGCGAATGCCAACCTGGTTTTTCCAAAAGCGGGTCCGCAGGTTGAGAATGCTGTCAACAAAACTCGTTGGGTTGGTGCACCGCCTGTAGGGTTATGTCTGGATCCTCCGGAGATCCCAAAGAAGGCGCTAGTACCATTTATGCCTCGGGGCAGAACTCGCAGGGCGCTATTGGAGCTGGATTATGCGTGGTCAAAGACTAGACTTTAGTTAAAGTTTTATTGGTAATTGGTGGATGGAATGATCATGTTTTGTTGATGGTTTCGTCGAGGAGTCAAGTGGGTATGGAAATTAGGCCACTAGTTGATATTAGCGCTTTACTTCTTGTTGTAGGGTCAATATGGATGGAGTCCGCTAAATACAGCTTGCGGTAAGATTATTGTAGAAGTATGGGGGGAGTTCTATTGGCTTGCCCAGCCATAGAAACCCTGTTTCTAGACCCTGTTTCTACAATAATTCTACCTCTCGCTGTAAGAAAATGACACATTCAATAACTGGAATATAAAAGCTGCGGGGATGGAGAGAAAATCATTTATATCATATTAAAAAATACATATATCAATTTTAGTTCTCCAAAGCGATGCACTCAATCTCGACGGGTACTCCCTTTGGCAGCTGCTTAGCAGCAACGCAGCTTCTAGCCGGCTTGTGCCCATTGAAGTTCTTCTCGTAAACCACATTCATGCGCGCAAAGTTTGCCATGTCATCAAGGAAAACACTGGTCTTAACAACCCTGCTCAAGTCACTCCCAGCAGCTTTCAAAACTGCCCTCATGTTGTTGAAAACAACATCCTGCAACAACCCGTAAGCATCGAACTTGGGCAAAATTACTCAGAATTTCCTCACTGTTTGTTCCTCAATGGTTCCCTCGACAACATTCCCGTCCTTGTCGGCAGGAATTTGGCCAGAGCAGAAAATCAAGCCATTGGCCTTGATAGCTTGGGACTACTCGATTATTAACAACAAAATTACATCACTGGCAGTTGATAATATCTTACATATGGACCCGCAGCTTTTCAATCAAAGCAAACAATATCAGCAAGTTTACCGAACATCAATCAAGAAGAATCTTACCAGGCGCAGCATCGGTGGTAGAAACCTAGCCATCATCAGCACCAAGTTGTATCAATGAAATTGGAACGAAGACGATGTACTTACGGGAGTAATTGAAGACATTTTTCGATGATTTCTGAATACTGCTCTGAAAACAAGATGGTTCATGTAAGTGGAGAAGTGGGGTAGGCTACAAATTTACTTTACAGCTTGGTGGTGGGGCGCCTACATAACAGGAGCGGTTAGTTCCGTGACGGTCATCACAATGATGACGCACCCACCAGGGTGCTCCCGCTCCCATGGTCAAGGGTCCATAACACAGTACCTACATGTAGTATATTTTCTATATTTTCGTTGCATCATTTGAACTCACTCGAATCTTCTGCCAAGGCCTAAGATAATTGGACAGAATTTTATTGCCCCAAACGTACTTGCGGCGAGAATAAGTTTCCGCCAAATTTGTACGTGAAAATGCGGTTGCAACACAAAAGTGGTGGCGGAAACTTGTCTCGCAGCAAGTACATGTATGTACTACAAAATAAGGTCTGACATGGGAACTAAATAGATGTCAGATAATCAAGGTGTTAAGATTGGTTATAATTATTAACTGTTAGAACAGAATTAGAATATAGATAGGTTTTTCGGTACATACAAGCAAAACGAGAAGCCAACACGCCGTGGTTGTTTCGAGTGTGCAAAAGTTCATAACACTAAAGTGACTACGTCTTATACACGTCACCTTAGAATGCCCCATTTCTCAGGCCACAACCCCTAAGTGCAACTTCAACACAATTATCAATCAATCGCCCATAATGTCTCAGTCCCCTATAGCTGATAAATCATCTATATCAGCACAGCAAACTATCACATTCAATGATCAACTAAACATCCTTTCCATCGCCCATCACCATGGAGACCATAAACAACATAACTATCATGGAGCGGCCCATCAATTCTACTATAGACACCCTGGTATGCGGTTTCTAGACCTCGTTTCTCTGCTCCTTATCACTCGGGGCCCTCACGACGTCGGCGCCATCTCTCTTATCAGATACCCTCAAAAGATCTCAATCTATTATACCAAAAAGGAACCTTGTAATCAACAAGAGCATGAATACATCGAGCGTGTATTGAAACGCGCCCTCGCTAGTGGTGACGAAAAGACAAAAGCTGCATGCCGGACGGACATTCTACATAACGTCATTCAGAACTGTACTCTCAAGATCAACAGGCGGCTCACCAAGATCTGCCATCGATTGGGACATCTCAACAGAGCTATAGGCCATTATAGAATAATTTCCAGTCCTTATATCATGGATATCGAGACTTCACTCAGGAAATTTATTCCAGGATATTACTTCCCGAAAGAAGAGACTATAAAACAATTTCTGACCCGGATTTTTGATGGAATGAGAGCTGATGTTGGGAAACCTGATGTTAACTTCGGAACTTTAATCAGGCTTTCCTGGGCAATATCTGCGACGCCTAATATTGATCTTATACTTGACCAAGTCCTGTTGTATCGCATCAGAAAGCTTGGCGACTATGAATTGGCCATTCGGATGCTGGTGGCCGAGGTTTCAGATTTGAAAGGACCAAAAAAGCATTGTACGACAATTGAAGAGGTAATTCTTTTTATTTAAGCTCTAGAATACTGCTTTTACTTATCAGTCGTTTCATATAGGTTTTATCGCTTGAGTCGTTTAGCATTTCTCTCTCTGTAAGCCCAGAGCAAATTCTCAAGACATGGGTCAAAGATAGGAATACAGAATCTGTATTCACACAGAATCATTTTCATTTGGTTTTCCCACAGATGAAACCATCTACAGAAAGTTCCGCCAATTTGACTGAGAAACAGATGATTGTGTCATCTGTGCATTGTGAATGCGCTCTTGCTTTGTATCTTCTGAAAAAGTATTGGTATATCAATGGTCAAAAGAAAAGATATTTGAAAATCCAGCTTGGGGTTTCAAAGTCGGGTTGTCTCATGTGCCGAAGATTCATCGACATTCTAATGGTGGAAAACCCCGGTGTTGCCATCATTGTTACGAGCTTTAACGACAAGATACCGGTAGGATGGAAAGTTCCGAATGCCTCTTCAACTCTCGTTAAAAATACCATCCATAAACAGGTATCGAACCTTGTGGATAATGTTTTTGAAAGAGTTCTTTCCACGTGCCGCGAGTTAAAACAAAACGATGTTGTTTCTACATCAGTTATTTCAGGAAGGCATTCTGGCTTGTAGGCCGAGGCTTTAAACTTGAAGTAGGCTACATATTTTGGCGGTCCAGCGGGGTATATTTCTTTTACTGGCATGATTGTGTATGATATTTCGGTCTGTTTCTTGTGCAGAATGAAGTGGCATGTGAGGGAATATCCTTTAGTTTTTTTTTTTTTTTTTTTTGTCAACCTCGATATGTTCGGTTCATTCCTTAGGCTTCTGTTAACTACGAATAGAATACATATTATAGTCAGGTAGGTTGTACCCGAAAGATTATAGATGAATACATGTACATTCTTCTTTCCGGCTCTATTACAATCCCGATTATTTTCGCCCACAGAATACAAGGATTATAATTTCAATAAGATAGAAGGGCGGGTACATGTGCTTTTATAAAACCCCCTATATATATCACTTGAATAGCTTACTTAATTAGAACTATTGAAAGAGAGGGCGAGTCGAATGGCTCGCGGGTATCTTCATTAAACCAAATTTAGACCTTTTGACCTTAATTCAAAAGATAACCTTGGGTAGCAAATTTAAACTCGATGACACAACATTTGCCCTAACTCTCCTTCCACTCAGAAAATATTTCAGGCGCGTTTACATCATGCAGAGGATAAACATTAAGGGCCTGTTCGGTCGGGCGTGGTATTCAATACTATGGTGTGGGCGATTCGTGGTTGTGGTTGGAGCTGGGTAGGCAAGGAGTTGAGATTCAAGTGTTGGGAATAAAACATGTCCGGAGGTGTTTATTAATACCATAGTAAAATAGCCTAATACTATAATATTAAATATGGTTGACCGAACAGGCCCCAAGTATGTAGTAATAATACTTCCTCGCATCATTTAAAATCACTCGCCTTTGAGCCAAGACTTCGGAAAAAAGTTCCTAGGTGGAGTAACGTAGAGTATATGTATGTACCATATGTTCATGCTGTCTTGGCAAAAATGAACTTTGTACCGGTATGAAGCTAATAGCTATCAAAATCAACTTATCCAAAAGGTCAAGAATTTTGAATGTCACTTTGGCCAAGACAACAGACATCGTTCCTCACCAATATTCAACAAGTCGACGCCATTACTAACTGAGCCCTTATATTATCCGCCTCGATAAGTTGCTACTTCAACAAGTTGTTGCGAAGGCTTTAACTGTAGTTACAAGCGAGCCCTTATTTGGATTTCTCATAAATGTTGTGTATGCAAAATTTTGTGGAAATCCATATTTAAAGTTAGTTAGCCAATATTGCCATTTACGCAACAGCCGTAGAAAGATCTAATTGATGATTTCCCTGCCTACCGTCAAATTTGTGTTGGATTGGATGTAGTCAAGATATGAGTTACGACAAGACCAGGTCTGACGTTTATTCAAGGTCAACGATTAACCTTTTTGCCTTTCCCGAAAGATATTCTCCAGCCCAAGGTTAATTTTGATTGGCGCTCAAAAATATTATTAATACACATAGTTCGTGAAACAGGGAACCAGTATCACCAAGAGAGAAAGGATTTCCATCTGTGGTTCGACGCCCCAATCGCTGACAACACAACAAATTTTATCCGATCCGGCTCTCGGGGGCAGCTTGTGTCCGTTCCTCCACGTCCTCCTCTTTCGTTGCCGCAGGCGATCTACTCCGGCTCGACCTTGCGGGGCCACGAACTCCCCTGTTTCCGCTGTTTCTGTCACGTCTGTTGGATCTACTATCATCGGCCCTCCCACCACCGGCCCTTCCGCCACCGGCTCTCCCACCACCGGGACCGCGGTTGCTGCTCTTATGGTCAGGTGGTGGACTGACGAAGGCAAAATCGGCATAGATGGTTTGATCGAGATGTTTAGTATTGTCTGTTTGGGCGATTGCATCGCGAGCCTCGGCAAGGGTAGAGTATTCTATTAAGGCGTATCCCTATATGCAAGGAAATATAAGGTAATTAGTAAATTACGAAGGAATTGAACATACTGGACGACTGAATAGAGTATGGCCACACTTGATTTCTGAGTTTTGAGCTCAATTCTGTGTGCTTGGCAGTGGAGAGAGCACGTCTATGCTGAACGCTGCCACTGTTAACAGTTAAAATAACTATCTAGCATGCGATAAGAAACTCAATGAGAGTTAGCAGCGACAGCGTTCATCACAGACGTGCTCTCTCCACTGCCAAGCACACAGAATTGAGCTCAAAACTCAGAAATCAAGTATGGCCATACACTCTGTTCAGTCATCCAATCCAGCTGGAAATCGCTTTGATATACATCAAGTCGAAATTGCATACCTTGACGTAACCCGTCCTTCGATCGAGATTCAGATGTAGATTCTGGATTTCCCCATATTCCCCAAACTTGTCATGAAGCTCCTCCTCACTTGCCTCCTCGTGTACGTTTGTGACGAGTACAATCCATCCCTCGACAGATCTTACAGCCGGTGCACCAGCTCCTGTTTGAGGAGGGGCAATTTTTGACGCGCCTGTTTCCTCGAGTTGTTCTTCAGCAGAAGGTAGATCACGCATCTCATCGTCCTCCATGGTAGGCTTGCGTTAATTCCGGGGTTATAAGAATTAAAATTCAAGATGATCGAAGTAGGAACGTATGATTTTGTCCTTGAAAATTAAAGATCTAGAGCCTGGCGAATGTGCGGGAGTTGCTGATGTGCGAAGTTGAAAAGGCTCAGGGCTTGTTTTGGGCCATGTCGCGCATGTAGGGACAACAAACCTTTGGTAACACATGAGTACGTAGTGTTACCCGGCTTTACTTCCTTATTAGTTACCCGGTCCTTCAATAATAGAACATCACTTGCGTGTATCGTCCTGTAGGGCCATGCATCATCTACTGTCACTCGAGCCTTTGTGTGGTGTATTACCTTTTATGAAAAGTGAAGTCGAGAGACCTATTAATTGATCTCATTTTTAGCTCGTCTCGCTTCTATCTTAAGACTTACCATATCTGGCCCCCCTCATTTTCATTCGTCGGCTTTTTTTATCTTCCTGTTTTCTGTCTTCTTCGATCCTCTACGCAACTACATCCCCGCATTTATCTCTCCAACATTCTCCATCTTTCTTCGGCTTGTATCGGGCTTTATTAACTCATATACTCTTGGTTACGCTGTTATATATTATACCGCTTCCCTGCACATCTCTTTCAGATTCTGGGCGCATAGAACTTTGATCCCTGGAGTATATTCTGTTTTGAGCTCTTCCCGGTTACGGAACCGATCTTCCTTTTTGATACAAAGGCTCAGTATCTGAATCCACAAGAGAACGGTTTCAGCCACTGCTACGAGTACTGCTACAGGATCACCAAACATCCAGCATGAATCTGAGTGCCTCACGATGGGCACCTACAGGAGATGAGATGAGAAATACCCCACCTTCTGCTGTTTTTAGGAACGGTCGGACATCTCTCCTGATTACTCAGGAGCCTGCCAACAGCCCTGGAAACTTTGATAATGATTATGATATGGAGGATATGCACCTCGATTCGGGCGCTACCGACGATTACGTCTTTGATACGGCGATGGATTACGATGGGGATGTTGCTATGGTGGATCTAAATGATCCTGGAATTATTAAAATGGTTACCGAGCTCACCAGAAACGAACGCCAGGCCGAAAATATGAGGGAATACGTTGATGTAAATCTCTCTACCTCCATTTCTCAATACTGAATTGCTGACGAGCGTAGTTGAAACCTAGGCTACGACCTGCAGTTTCAAAGTCTCGTATCTCTCAACCATCTTGCTTACTTATAATTGATACAAACTTTATTGTTTCCCATCTTCAGCTAGTTGATAATCTTGTTCGCTCTCATCATCGCTGGAAAAATGTTGTTGTCATCCCTTGGGCAACTATACAAGAACTGGATGGTCTCAAGAAATCTTTGCACGCACAAAAAGGTGTTGACCTTGGAAAGCGGGCCAGAAATGCAATCAACTGGGCATTCGGAGTGTTCGCCAAACTTGACCCCGGTGTTTGGGGTCAGACTAAGGAGGAATGTGAAGACTCTTATGTTCGTGGAGATGCTGCAATCCTTGAATGTTGCCGGTCAGTACACATATACTTAACCCTGGAATTCAGTGTAGATTTGAAAGCCAGCCCCTAAATTGGCGGCTTCCCTTACAAACACATCCATATTAGCTAGTGAAACCGTGAGGTTGACCTATGCATCTTTGCTATAATAGCTCCCCTTGACGCCGATATTTAGATTCACATAGCACTATCACTTGGTGGGGCGTTGGGGAAGTCGTTCTTCGAGAAATACGTAACAGATAGTAATGATCTGTACGGTTTACTCAGGAGAATGAATTACCCTTAAAAAACGCCCTCACTTTAGCTGATGGTATTCTTGAATTGCTTGCTGACTCCGTATTTTCTATAGATACTTCAAAAACAGCCACGAAACAGTTCTTCTATCCAACGACAAGAACCTCTGCATCCAAGCAATGATTCACAGTATGTTTCAGTTTTCCTACCCATATTAGTGATCAATATCATTGATAATTTATCCGAGATATCAAAACCGTATCGGTTGTTGGTGAGGTACTTACCGCTGAAACAATCCTCACCCGTATTCTTGGAAATTCAATCAACCCAACGGAGATTAAAGAAACCGCTATTAGTTCTCGAGAGCCATCCAGGCTAAACCCTGGGTATAATTCAGTGTCTGATTATACAACTTATAACCGTGAGGATCGTCAGGCTTCTATGCATCATATACATATATCTACCTCTGCATATATGCAGCCTGTTTATAGAGTTGCCGGTAGAGATAGGGGCATGAACGAACCATGCTTCTATCAGGGGATTGATCGTTCCCAGAGTGGGGATATGATAACAGATATTGCACCGAAACGCGCAATGGGAAATGGCTTGGAAGCGTCTATATACGCCACCACTGCAACATCTGTGCAAAGATCCCAATATCATACCAAACCCAACAACATCCCCAGGCGTCTGCTTCGAACGTCGGATTCATTTTTGGGGCCCTCAAGGAACGATGAAAATAAAGTACAAGTCAAAAGAAATCTCAACAGCTTCCTTCAGAGAGTTTCTACAGGATTAGTCGCTACTCTCGTGCCGTTGTTGAAACAATGTGTGCAGAGCAAATTAGTCGGGACAACTGAGTTCACCCTTGAAGCACTTAACTGCCATCCAGAGGAGCAGGTTCGAAATATCATTGACCTGGAAAGGTTTTTCCACATGTATTGGGCTTCTGTGTTCCGTGAGTATCTGCCGGCGGATTATGGGCACGCTTTTAAAAATGGTGATCTTAACAGACGCTTGTCTGAGTGGATTCAATGGACTGAAACTATCGGGTCGAACTCTACAGGCCCTAAATCCAAGGAGGTAAAGAAGTGGATTGATGAGTGGGACTTTATCTGGAAAAGGATTGTATTTACTGCGGAGGAGGCGCATGTGAACATAGAAACGGCCGATCGATGGAGGACTGCCTTATTGGACGTCGGGCTTGTAGCGGAGTGATTGCTCTGGGTATGGTATGTACCCCAAAGCCAGGTATGAACCAATGTTTTTCTATTTAGATTGTTTCAATGGATTCCCTTTTCTTATCTACGAAAGCGCTAGTGACGTCTATCTGCCTTCTTAACTTCGTTTACTTTATTAACCTTTGGCTAGACTATATTTCTCCCAATTCATCTGGCCTCTTCGTGATATCTTACCTGTAGCCCTTATTTCGTAGGTTCTTGGATATTATCGATTCCTTGTTCTTGATTTGGTTATTGCTGTTTCTATTCCCCCCATTGTTCTCCGGGGGTTTGCCTTCGAGGCATATTCACACTTTTGAGAAAGTTGCCTCTATAAATGTATGGGGGTATGATGTACCTAGCTACATTGTACTTATTTATGTACAGCACCGAAATCGGTGCCATGACATTTAGATGAACCTCGTGTTTGAATACAACTAGAATGAGGTGATGCTATAATATTTCCGCAGCTTTTTTACAACTATGTACTAAGTATACGTAGGTAGACATTGATAATACATGATCCTTACACAGTATAGGCCGGTACGAGGAGGCCTTTAAAGCTTTGCCAGTTCAAGCTATGAGGGTTAATTATGAGGCAATCGTTCTCAACGCAATATTTTTGTTCGCCTCGAGCCGCTCAAGGTACAATGTACTACAATGCAGCCAAATCATTATACAAATAAACATCTATGTATGTATTATACCTAGTACTGTACGCGTACATGTAGTATTAATGAGAGGTTCCACTTATTTCCTACTGCACAGTTTTTAAAAATATGATATTCTGAGGAATGGCTATTTTTCTGTCGAGACCTATAAGTGGAGCCACCTTTTCGGAAGAAGAAAAAGAATCAGCCAATCAGGTATTGGGTTGGGCAGTCGCATCTTATAAACGCGCGTTTTGGTGTTAACCGCGGATTTCAAGCGCTAGGACGGGAGGACCTGCATCAGTTGGGATTCTACTAAGGCGTACATATGGGCATTTCCCAAAGCGGGGAATATTCAAATGCATTTATCCCGGTCCTGGTCCAGTCTATGTAGAGTATGGTAAATTCTATTTAAATACCCACTTGTAGGCATGCACTCAACATTCCGGCTACACATATGGAGTTAGCTGTCACACCGTCTAAATACTAAATACGACGACTTTATCGAATAAAAGCGCACAGACAATAGATCTTGGTTTTATTTCCCAGCGAAAACTACATGTATGTAACTACATGTACTCGTAGTCTCCTGGCGTTTTTGGACTGGGCCACTATTGCATACACCCAAAATCAGGATCTTGGCGTATTTTTGTATGGTATGCAATATCAGTCGCGTTCAAAAACGTCAGGAAGTTACGAGTTCTCGTAGTTTTTTGACGCGACCACTATTGCATGCCATACAAAAGATAGCCTTGGCGGGTTTTTTCTGTGTATGCAATAGCAGTTGCGTCCGGAAACGCTGTGAAATTGCGAGTATACACATACATGTATGTACAAACCGGGATTCTGGCTTGTGAACTGATCTATATAATGTACCTCTTTATTAAAATAGTTAGGCAGGCGTTTAATGATGCTGCAACTTAGTACATAACTCTGATTTGACTTCGCCACACTTAGACCGGTGATTCCTGGAGTTCATGAACTGTTGTATTGGTGCGCAATGGTACTCTAATCTGTTAAATGATGTCTATATGTAAATACATGTACCTACACATAGCAATGCAAACAAACTCCGTATGATTGGTGGTAGAGTAGTATTTAGTTAGCGGTAGCGGTGTTAAATGCATGAATACCCTTGCTTTTACAACAGCTTAAGGAACCCACTTGAACTGATTGTTTCACCGCGATCAACATCAAACATGTAATCACTAGGGGGCCTTGACCCACCAATAAGCACCTCTGATGTTACCTTAGATCTCTCCTGTGGCCCTTCTTGTTTGAGCCTTGGTGAATAAGAAACTTTATTTGAATCTGCAGCTGCTTTGTCGCACATCGGGCGAAATTCGAAAGCCTAAGCACCCGTTGCCAACGTCAGATCCTCTCAATGCCCGCCGGTACATGTAGAGTGCATGCAGGTCCCACAATAAATGCCTTCTTGTATCTACTTACTATGCCAGCCCCGACCACTGAGAGACATATGGCAGAGTAGGTACCTACTTTACCCACAGATCAGATCCTAGCTCGCCCGAGCCTCATAACGGCCCCGATTTCCGTTGATTGGCAAGCAATGTTTCAAGCCCTTACCTTGCTCAGGTTAACCTCGGGGAGCCTTTTTCTTCCTTTAGTTTACATCCCGTTCCAAACGCTTGCCCAATTCCGGGGCCAAAATAATCATCTATTAATTGATCTAGCTAGGTGTAAGTATGTAGGTACATACTCATAAAAGCGCTGTACCTATTACGCTTCAAGATATCACTGGCGATTTGTCGGCCTGTATTTTCGTAGGCTATTGCTCCTATCGGACTCGGACTACAGTCCGGTTTTGGTTATAGTCTGATAAGTAACGTCGTGTTAGCCACATGTCTAACGGAGAGTAAGGGAAATCAGGCAGGTAACAAGATGTCCTCCATGCCACTGACGCAGTGACACGAGATCGATCATTGTCAATAACTTGAATAGATAAGTACCTATGTACTCTCTCTACCTTGAAGCAAGAAAAGGTACCAGCCGTTCCAGAAGCAAGAAATGAAGCCCAAACTCGAAACCTGTCCATGGTCGATCCGACCCAACCAGGAGAGCCGGTTACGTTTCGGCTGATGAAATCATGCAGTTGGACTTATGTATTGCTTTCCGTGGGGTGGCCGCCGTGGCCGTTCGGCTGCATCTGTCCACGGGCAGAGGTCGTTACACAGCACAAAACAAGCCCCAGGCAAGTGTGGGAGGGAACATTGTGACATTGGCAAGGAGCACAATCGCCCACTCCGCTGGAAATAGTAGTGGCAAGTGGCACATAGAGAGGCGAGGAGTTGGCGGATTACATGTTCTACTCTAATTTGTGTGGACTGCCTACGTTCAAGGGGAAATTCAGGGCGTGGCGATCTCAAAGCTTCTTAGAAAGGGGGATTACTCTATTATTGTATGCATGGAATTTGCATGTTGAAGTGAGAGTTGTGATCCTGAGCTGACCCGAATTAATTTGAAAGGCTGCAGAGTATGTAAATATTGTAGGTAGAACCTGGTGTAAATTTCAAATTACTACCAGTAGATATTCTTAAAGCACCCTACACATCTTTCAGGTTAGTGGGTACTTGCTAGAACAGGTTGGTACGCACTATTATTTGCCTGCATACATAGGCTCCCCGCTCATGTATGTACCTACAAGTATCTAGAGTACCCAGATGGATGTACGTAGGTACCACCGTTTGCCTGTACTTGCCTCCTGGGAATTCTCCTTAGAATATATATATGCGCCCGCCCCCTGCGCCTGTCTTTTCACAGAGCTTCAGTCGTCCGTTCATTCCTCAACATACCCTGCCCTGTGACCCCTTTGACGGGTTGATGCTTTATCCGTAATAAACCCTTTTATCAACTCTCTTCTCCCCCTCATTTGTTTGTTTGTTCCTCCTTCGTTCGCATATTTTCAGAAAGCAACACCTTCATTCACGTATTTTGCAAAAAAGACCGCTCCAAATGAACTCGCCAATACGGAAAAAACCGTTACCCATGAGGGATAACACTGATACAACACCTGATCGCAAGGGGAAGGGTAAAGAGAAAGTACAGTTATCAGCCTTTGAAGCGCTGCCGAGGGAGATCATACAAGAGTACGTTGTTTGAGATTACATATTTGCACCAAGTCAGCTGGCGACATCTGGCTACACGAGAAAAGCAAACTAATGATATCCTAGAATACTGTACGCGGCCGATCCAAATACTTTCGATTCTCTCACTCTTGTCAATTCAAAATGGCACCAAGCCTCGAAAAGCCCACGGCTCTATGCTCACCAACTGAAGCAGTGTGGTGCAACCGATGTTCCGGAGGAACTTACCGATGATTCATTACCAGGACTTATTAGAATGTTCACAGCAAAAGCGCGTCGTGAGTTATTCGAGACCATGCTGAGGCCGCGGGTGACGGAGATCCAACTCATCTGCGAGGCTTCGTCTTCGGCCGCTGCGTTTCCTGGAGGCGAGGCCTTTAGGTTCGAGTTCTCGCCAAAAGGAACACACCTATTAGCATTGAGCTCGAGTAGAATATTTGTACTGGATTTATCAGCGGAGGATATTTGTGTTAAACGTGAGCTCAAGATCAGCAGGAGACCGGTATGCGCAGCTATCGTTGATGATGGGAGCGTGCTTGCTGTCCTGAGCTCAAATCACACTGTCGCCCTGTACGATCTTACCCAGACAAAGGCGCAGCTCATAAAGAGCATTCCGCTCGAAAACGCACCTCGTACTATCGCACTCTCACCAGGTGCGGAGGTTCTTGGAGCAGCTTATAATGGCGGCATAGAGGTCTACTCATTGCTTCCAGATGCTCTCCCAACAGATCGCCGGGCAGTGAACTGTGATCCTGTCGATACCTTGGCCTTTTCACCAGATGGATCAATATTAGTGGGCACAACGCTGAACTGCAAAACGCCTACGACCGTCATGGTTTCTGCGCAGCATTTCTCAACAGATTTGCCCGTTGAAGGATTGGCGCAGTTATGGACAACCCAAGTCCTTTTCCCCAGAAGCTCGAGGGACAGCAGTCATGCAAGCTTATTACCGGAAGAGGATGATAGAGAGAATACCTGGACTTTTACCTATGATCGGGTCTATGAAATGTTTAGAGCGGTCAGGGTTGATGATTTGAGGAACGGACACACATATTTTACAGGACCCAGCGACGAAAACGGCGCTGTGGCACCGACTACGTTGCCTGCGCCCACTGGAGACGGGAGGATGGTAGCTGCCGGATTCTCGGGGAAGGTTTGGATCTATGGCGTTCCTAGGAAATTGGAGTTACCAGCAGAAACACCGAGCCAGGATGGGGATGGCTCTAACGCTCCATCTAGAAGCAACAGCACTTCCGGGAGGACGCCAAATTGGGTCAGTGGACAGCTTGGAACGATTGTGATGCCCCAGTGGCAAGTATTATGCGATAAGATGAGGGGTCCATTTATTGGAGGCAGGGAGGTTGGAGATGTACATGCGCTGTCCGGGATCAAATTCGTCAAATGCAGCAACGGAACAGAGAGGCTGGTTGCCGTAGCTGGCGGAGGTGTAGATGGAATGCTCGGCGAAGGAGGGGAGGAGGAATTCTTGGCAATTGGAGGTGGGCGAGTGGTTTTATATGATCTAGGGCGAACTCCAAAGACAGCAGAGAAAACGATAATCACTATTGAAATCGGAGACGGGATACAAGGGCCGGTCGAAACCCTTGAGGAGCAACATAACGACATCGAAGTGGAGGTGGATATCGTCAGACGTAGAACTGTAGCTCAAAAGAGGGACAATGATAGAAGACGAAGCATGCGTCCTCAAGGTGCATCAGAGAGCAGCCACAACAATAACTATATTCCCCCAATCCCGAGACTACCGGCTGCATTACATTCCTCTGCGCCGCCACGGACTTCCCCCGGTCCGGTTCCAGCACGGAGACAACGCACCTTCGACGAGGAGGATGAATCTGCCGAGCCTATAGATCTACCTTATTCTCAAGGAGAGCCACGTTCAAGAACTACTCTGCATCGTGCTGCAACAGCTGCTAGGAACACACCACAGCCGGCAACTGGAGGTCGATATGCCCGTGCACTCGGACCAGACGGCAGGCCTGTGCCGCAAAACGTAGCAGCACCTCAGCAAACCCGACATGATGACGGGTCAGCCTGGGTTCCGCCGCCACCGCCATATACTCCAAGAAACGAAGATAATCTTCCTTTACCAGAGCATCTACTTATGACCTTACAAGGGCCTCCTCGAGTAACAGAACCATATGTCTTGAATGATCAACTATCTCCATCGCCATCAAGGTCAATGACTACGCTTCAGAGGACTAGAACAACTATCGAAAGCACTATGGGGAACATGATGAGGCGACCAAGCGTTTTCAGACCCACTGTTAACACTGGAGCCTCTCAATCACATCTTTCCATACACCCAAACTATAGCGCAGGAAACATTGCTCAGTCCCGTTCAGCGCCCGTTAGTCCTGCTGTTGGGATGCCCTCATCTGTTTTCCAGGGTCCAAGAACTGGTCCATTGTCTGGCAGTACCCTACAACCTCAAAGAACATATGCTGCGAATCAACAGCATCATAATTTCCCGCAACCACAACAGAGTCATGGCCGCAGAGGTAGTGCAGGAGATGCACTGAACTTTCCAAACGTTCCGCCAATTCCTGCTATATATAGGGAGAATCCTGCTCCGTTACCCCAGCAGCAGCAGCAGCAGCAAACACAGTCCAGACAGCCGCCACCAATACAAACCTCGCCGCCTTCACAGCCGCCACACACAGCGCCTCCGCTCAGACAATACCGCACTTCAATGCTCTCGCCAGGCTTACCACCCGGGCAGAGAGACTCCCCCAACTACAGAGCAATGCCTACGCGGCGACCTAGTCCTGCAAGGTCTGCCTCGCGCGGGCGAAGGGTCGCATTGCAAGAATCATATGTTGCCGGAGCACCAACTACAGGTACTGGCGGACTCAGGCGCGGTATGAGTACAACTAGAGGAGGAAGTGTCAGGAGTAATGGGGGTAGCAGGAGAGGAAGCAGAGCGCAGAGGAGTGCAGCGATTAATGTTAGAGATAGAAGGAGGAGGCAGGAAGAGAGAGCGCAGGCGAATGAGGGGAGGAAGAGAGGGGGCGCTTCTTGTATCATCTGCTAGTGAGTTGTGTATGGAATTTCGGTTTTTTGTTTTGTTTGTTTTGTTTTGGGAAGGGGCGTTTAATATCAGGATGGGTCTAGAAAATCGGTCGTTTTCTGCTATTTTGAGGGATAATTTACTGACGTTCATTATAAATGGGTTGGGTTTAAGGAAAGGGAATAAGGTTTATCGTCAGTCGTTTTACTTTATAATTTCTTTGGTTCTTTTTTTATGGGAGGGCCGTTTTATCCTTATCTGTAGTTAGTAGTTTGATACCCGTTTCATTACCTCACGCAATATATCAATAATCTCTAGGAGAAAACGCGGCAGAATCACAGCAATTTGAACTGCATAAATTGATTGATTCTCCTATATAAATGTACATGTATACATGTAGATAGATGTAGAACGCAAGGAGACACACCCGAGTAAGTTTGGAAACAGAGAGGTTTCGTCCGAATATGTACTATGAAGGTTCTTTAGGTAATGCTTACTCTTGCAACTGAGCCCATATCGTAAGTACGATACAGACAGCCCTACAGCCCCCACCACACCTTCGACCACAAGACGCAGTATGGAAGGGAGTGGTTTTCTTCCGAAGAAGAAAACTTGTTATGATTCCTAGGTGGAGCAAGTGGCTGGAATAGAGTAGGTTGCGGTTATTTCGAGAGTAGAGAGATCGGGATAAGTAGTATAAATATTTCTGCTTTATTCATATTGATATATACAGAGTAACAATAGGGATTAAGCGGCGGTGAAACATCGACAATTGTGAGACTGGTGATAAGTTGTAGGAACTTGGAAGGGGA